AACTGCTTTTCAAGAGCTTAAAATAATTTCATTGCTTTTAAAGGATCTCAGAAAAGGATCATAGAAAGGTTTGAGTCGGAAGGGACCTTAAAGATCATGTAGTTCCAACTCCCCTGCCACAGGAAGGAATGCCTTCTACTGCACCAGGTTTCTGAGAGCCTCATCCATCCTGGCCTTGGACACTTCCAGGGATAGAGAGTCCACAGTCTTTCTGGAAAACCTGTTCATAAAGTGATGAAGCACTGGAACCTTATAAGAAGTAAAGAATTTCCTTCTCAGATCTAAGCTAAACCTGCCCTCCTTCAGTTTGAGGGCATCCTGCTTTGTCCTATCACTACATAGAGAAGTATGTTAAGTATTCCTAGTACAGTTAATTGCCTGAAGACTGAAACTGTAATGAGATAAAAAATGGCCACTCAAGTTTCAGCAGCAGAGGTACCTGGGCATTTAGGATTTTATATATTTAGAAATGGACTCTGATTTCCCACCTCTCAAATAATTTTAAAGTAATTAATTTCCAATATATCCAAAGTAAACATGTAGAGTAGTGCTTTCCCTGCCTCATTTTATGCCTGATGAGAGACTTTATGCTGTGAATAAATCCACTCCATCTTCATATATGGCTTCTGTGTTCCAGTGTACTTTCATTTTATCTAATAAACCCAGTTCATATTTTGCCATTATTTGCGTGCTGGTTTCTCCTTTCCTTTTTAGTTATCCTTCATAGTTTTGTGTTTTTTCATCTACGGCGTGAATCTTTTATTTCTTTTGTTTTTATATCTTTGTGTCCTACTATAGTTATCAATCAGACTGTTTCCCCTGTTAAATAGAAGGAATTTATGCTATGGCTCACTGATTTGTAATCTCATGTTACCTTTATTCCTTAAGAAATTCTCTTATTACATTGTCCTTTTCACCATCATGGCTGATGGGTACGGCTCTATCAGGTACTTCTTCAGATCAGTACTGGCTTATGTATTCATCTTCTGTTCTGTATTTTAATATTTGAAATCAATATTCCCTTAACACCTGGATTCAGTCTATTAAGTGTATAGGCATGATATGCAGATTTGTCCATTTATGGAAATGGATACCAGGTCAAATTTTGAGTCTGAACTGCTGAATCCGAACTTCATTTAAAAACACATGATCCATGCATAGATAATGAACACAAATTCTGCTAATTTAGAAGGAATTTATGTGTGTAGTATAGTGGAGGTATTTGTCAAAATTTTAAATTAAGAAAGGTGGGTTTTAGGAATGTTGAAATTATTTATTAGTTAAGACAAAAAGGCAGAGGTTGCATAAGATTATGTTCAGAATTATTATGACAGAGTAGGGCTTTTGAAACTGTGTTATTTGTTTTGAAGTACCTTTGACATCTGGAAGATAGAATCAATGGAAATTCTTTAAGGTTTTCATGTGCCTTGTGAGTCATAAAACTAACATGCAAAAGTGGGAAGAATGTTGAAGGTCAATATGCCTGGGAGAAAAGAACAAGCTGAAGGAATATTTTTCAGATTAGGAAGTATTTTCATGGACTTAAGCTACAAAAGTTAGAAAGGTCCAACTAGAAAAGTAATACCCTACATTTTGTTCTTAAACTTACTTTATTTTTCTCAAACAAAAATCAGAAAGAACTTTTCAGTTCTGCTGAATGGCACAGAAAGCAGAGAGCCAAATTTAGACTTTCTCTAATATGGAGAGACTTGAAATTTTACTTTTGTTTAGAGTCTCATTGAAAGGTGTTACCATGGTCAAGATCAAGTGTGCTAAATAGTCTATAATGTCTGTGACTGTAGAACTGGAATATAATCATTTGAGATCCAGAAGAAGAAGCTGATAAGGACAAAAATGTGATGTATTTGATCATAAATTAGAAAGTGCAATTTGGACTTCAGTACTTAGGATGATTGTCCAGTTTGAGGTACAACAATCCTAAATAGAATAATGATATTTATCCACATTTATTTTCTATGAATCTGACTTGGGGCAGGGGAGGAAGAGGTAGTTTGATTTCTTTTCAGCAGTTATGATGCGATCCTCAAGAATATTACCTTTTACTTTCCAAAACAAAGAATATAGCATAGAAACCATTAGGAATTTAACATTAGAGGTTAGATAGTATGTAGGTACTTGGAAAGCTGTCTGTGAAAAGCATCAGTAGAACAGACATTTCTCAAAAATAGTATTAAAAATTTTTATCTGCAGTAAGCAATCATTTTCTTACCTACATCTCTGTTATTATTGCTGTCTGCTATTGTAATGATCATTAGAATTTAAGAGGTTTTGGCATCTACCTAGGAAAAATTTAGTCATCTGTGTCTTCACACAAATCACCAACCCTTCTTCCATGTTTTGGCAACCTGTTTAAAAAGTTACAGAAATGGTGCAGTGATTAAATGAGCACATTTGCAAAACATTTGCACATTATTGAAAGTTAAATAAAAAAAAAAAGTAAGTAATTAGAAGGAGCTTAAGGAGCTTTATAGCAATTAAAAACTTTTGCTTCAACAAAGCAAAAAGCAAACATTTATCTTTATTTCTAAGACACTGAAGTATTTCCATGCCTCCTTAGGAGCACTAATTCTGCCTTAATGTATTCATTAAATCAAGAATAGAACAAGTATGAAAACAATTATCTGTGTGGTTTTTCACAGTTTAGATCTGTTATCTTATGACTACCCAAGAGCTGAAACTTCTGCAATGTGCCAGACTTCAAAGTCTTTGTTGTTCCTGTAAATATTTGCTCTGCATTCATTACAGTAATAAAATCATTGAAACCATGATGTGTAACAATAATGGATTTTTGGCAAAGTGATTGTTCCAAAACATTAAAAAAATCAAGAAAATCCCTCCAAATAATGATACACAATATTGCATTATTTTATTTTACTGTTGTCTAAAAGGGGAAATTGATTTTTTTCTTATTTACTTACCTGGAGAGTGGTGATACCTAAAGACCTGTAGAGGCTAAGAAAAATATGTGATAAAATGACAACTTTTTCACAGGTGTTTAGAGTATTCTTATTCAGCTAAAGGTGTGTTAAGGATTTGTGTAGATAGAGGTGATATTTCAAATGAATGCATAGTGATATCTTTTTTTTAATGGATCAACAAAAGATTATCATATGAAAAATCCTGATATATTGTTGCCTGCTAATATATCCTGTGATTTTACTTTTTTTTAATGTTATATGTAGTTTCTCTACATCAATGATAATTTTATAATGTATGTGTTGAAGTATCTCACTTCATCTACCTGAAAGTATCTTTTAGTAGAAATTGATGGCTAATTTTGTTGGGTGGAAGCCATCATTTCAGTAGTTTTTATTTGATTTGAGAACTGTTTGAACCATAAAGAATAAGTGAGTGAAGCTATTCAGAAAACAAACCACAAATATTAAATTACTGATTGTGCAAAAAGCTAGACAATGCTAATGAAATTATGCCGTTCTTTTTTCTGTTACTTGAGACAGACATAATTCTCTTATTTAAGCAAAATGTTTTAAAGTTCAGTGTATTTGTACAACCCCCAAAGACACAGATTGTCTCAGTTTTAATTCCCACTCTGGTAGTTTCCTGTAATTGCTTGGATGAAATGTTGCCTTCAACAAGTCTTGGTCTTGGCAGTGGAATCAGTGGGAGTATATGACTTCTACAGGGGCTGTAATTTGGAATTTATAGTGAGCGGTGAATCAGCCTGCTCATCAGAATCTCCTATTATGGCAATTTTCAACATTTATATTAAGGAAGAACTGTTTAACTGTTCATACATCTCGAATGTTGGTCAGATTCAAATGGTCTTTACAAAAAGCACTTAAATATAACTTAAACACATTTAAAAAAAAAGGTTTCAAATTAAAGTCAAATTATTCATATCAAAGTAAATTAATCTTGAAGTCAATTACAACTAAGTTAAGTTTAATTTAATTTAATAAATGTTCCACAAAATCTTGGCTGCTGCACACACTAACCAGGTAGTTCCACCTAAAATTCTTGCTCCTACCCCATGCTTTTGTATTCTAGGACAGGTCCTTTAGGGTCTTTCTGACTCAGGATCTATGCAGCCAAAATTTGGTGACAGAAGCTTTAAAACTTACACCAGCTTTCCAAAAATGACATCTCTGCATCCTACCAGTGTTCTACTGTGTTTAATGCACAATGTTATTCATCAGGTAAATAATTTACTGTATGTGCCCGTAAAAGCAGAACAATACAAAACTATCTAACTGTGCAATTTAACAAAATAAATTGTTCAAATTAGCCAGATCTTCCATTTTATCATATTACACAATGTAAAAAAATGATTAGGTCCAAAATCTTTCTATGCTGTGTATTGCCTGAGCGTAAGACACAAAGTCAGAGAGAAAGCAGCTTATGTTCCAATAACTGCATGAGAATTTTAGTAGCATTACCAATAAATAACCTATATGTTAAATACAATGAAACCTACTTGTATATGTGCTAAAACAGTCAATGGATAGTAGATGGTGTTAAGGTACATGCTTTTCTTAACAAAAACCATGTAAAAAGTATGTTGCTGTTACTAACAGATGGGAGGCTGACAGAAAAGTAGCACTTTGTTTTACATCACTTGGGTTTGATTCATAGCCTCTTGGTAATGTTTTCCTCTAGCACAAGTTTGGCATTCATTGAATTCTATAGAAGAGTAAGTCTTGTTCTCACAGTGTCAAAAAAAATCAATGGCTAACTGCTGTTTCATCTTTCAAGATTAAAAAAAGTGTCCTATCACAAAATCAGGATAGAAGACAAGACAGTGTTGGCTGTCATGTCATTTGTTCCTCTGTATCCTTAATGGCCTTAAGATATCATTAGTATGTATGGGTTTTAAACCTCTCTGCATATAATGACCTAATTCTGCAAATATTACAAATGGCCAACATAAGATTGAATTGTTAATAGATTTTAAAAATTGCATGCTCAGTATTTTTCTGGTTTCTTATATATATTTACCACTTATTTTCTTTCTTTTGCAGATTGTAGCTTTGCGTGAACAAAATGCACACATTCAAAGGAAAATGGCAGCTGGGGAAGGGTCTGCTGAATCAGAGCATATTGAAGGAATGGAGCCAGGGCAAAAGGTTCATGAAAAGGTATAAAATGTTAGTGGTCATTAAATCTAACAATCTGTATGATAAATAATCAGGCTTTAGATTTTAGTAATGTGACTATTTTATGGAATGTCCATTTAGAGTTTTGTCTACCTACTGAAAACAGCATGAGAAAATGAGCTTGTTTAAATGGCAAACAAACACAAATGGGCTGGTCCTTGCTCTTTGATAGGGTATTGAGTTAGATCCATAACTTATAATAAACTTTTCTTGGAATTTTTTGCATAGTGCTGCAATTATGTGTACTAAATGCTGCTGTGTAATCCTTTGTATGCTGCATACGGAAGAGCAAGGTGTAGTGGCATAGGTGTATTTGTGAAAGGCTGCATATGCAAACATTCCTACAAAAAGAAACCCTAAGGGCATAACAGAGACCTAAAAACTAGAAAAAGTAATTTTTCTCAGTGCTGCCTATAAAATATTCTTCAAATTCTTGTCCATGCTCATATAGAGAGAAGCTACTTCGCACTCCTTCAGAAGAAATACGTCTATACAATTCAGACCAAGTATTTGCTGCTTGATGCTGAAATGTACACATTAAACAAATAAACAAAATGTAGAGACTGATTTAGAAAACAGGTTTTCTCCTTAGCCTTAGATTTCCACATTGATAAAAAACAAGTTGAGCATCTTCTTCTCTTGCTTCAGAATTATTAAATTAAAATGATAACATAACATAACATTTGGCAGACAGCTGAAATGAGTAGAGCTGCTGCTTGGATCTCTAATTGTGCATTTTTGTGTAATGCCATATGATGAACAGTGGCATAAATCACACTTAGAAAAAATAGCTGTCATCATTATTTATTTTATAGTCAATCCAATTTACAATGGTGCACTCACAGTGCAGGCATTAATTTTTCACATTTTGCAGTTTATGTGTATTTTCCTTTTAGTAATCTATGTGGCTGAGAAACACACAGTAAACAAATACTGTTCAGCTACACTCCCCTTTCTGCAAAATCATACTCACAGACACATCTGTGAAATTTTGATAAAATTCACCCCACTCAGTTGTGCTTTTAAATACAACTACACTGTTTAGCTGAAAATCTCTGATTTCCCACTTTCTTTGCAAGCTGGGTCTTCTGTTTTGAGCCATTGGGTTCATTGCTTACCAGCAGAACTAAGTGGAAATAAGACTATCCATCCTTTAAGTCTGCATATTTAAACACTAATGAGAGGGATGAAATCCAATATAATATATTATTATCATCATTTTTTTAATTGAACATTTCTAGAATATTATGTCCTGAAAACTTCTATGCTACCTAATAAAAGCAATTTATGTTGTTTGAGTTAAGCTGAAATAAAATTTCTGCTTACTAGATTTTTCTGCTTATGGCAATGAAATCATACTGGATAGGGAATTAAGAATATTGACACCAGATCAGCCAGTGCACTCTAATTCACATCCTCTGCACTGGCTGCTCTCTACATTTCTACATTTACCTTGGTGGCCATCATCAATTCCTGATTATTTAGGAGAGAGAAATTTAAAAGGTAGCAAATACAGAAGCTTGCAAAGAGGCCAACTTGCACAAAGAGAAGAGTTTTAAAGGACTTTGAAAAATTGTTTCAAAGAGCACCTGACAGAGATTGCCTGCTGTGGGAATTAAGATGCAACCATTTCTGTTATCAGATATTCTCCTGCTTGCTTCCACTTACCGCCACACAGATATCCTTCACTTAATCTCTAAGGACAATTGCCTAATTTCCCCTAAAGTGAAGGCCATGAAAGACTGAACTCCCAGTGAATAAGGTGCACATTGGGAAATCTATGGAAGCAGCTAGGGATGCTGCAACAGTGGGACTGAACAGTCAAAAATAAGATACTGTGAATAAGAAGTTTGTTTTCAAATAAACTCATTATCTCCTACTGGTATTTATTTCAGCTTCTGTAAGAACCATAAAAGTTGAATAATTCAGTAAAACAGTATTTTCAGAAATGATCACATGCAAATTAGGAAGCATTTAAGTTGCTTTGAAAAAGAGGAGATCTTCTGATGTTGTACACCTTAAATGTCCACCATTGCAGTATCCCTTTCAACTGCAATTATATTTTGTTTGTTTCTCTCTCACAATGGAGAATTTCAATTGAGAATGTTTGACAGCTGATTAGAGGCTGGAGACAATTCAGAGCAATTGAAGAGGAGATCTCTAATGATCAGATTTCTGCCTGACACAGACCAAAATGTGTGAAACAACCTAGAGAAGTAGAATAATTTTTAAACACAGGGGCAATCCACCACTTAGAAATGACTGTGACACTTAGATTTAATGATACTGGTTTGCCATAGGTTTACACACTCTGGTTTGTGTGCTGGTTGCATGGATGATGATCATCATGCTGCTTTTGCTTATTTAGCTGTCCTTTGGGTTTGGTCCATTGCATAGCAATGTGTCTCTTAGTATCAGTTTCTTTTGAATGTTTTACATGAGGCATTTGAATGGAATGGGGTGGAAAAACTCTACACTCTAGTAAAAATCATCCCCTGGTAACTTATTTATTCTTACATCTCAAACAGCATCAGCATTACTGTTTGTAGCTTTGATTTTTACTCTTGCTTTTATAAGAGTAGATGATCTGTACAATTTAGCTTGGTGGTTATTTTTACTTACTTTTTTATATTCCTATACTATAGGATTCAGATAAGTTTATTTGACCTGTGTAGCAAATTACATTTCTGTCCCTTCCCTGATGATGTGGCCTTCCTGGCCAGATTTTCTCAGTTGAAAGGAGCATCTCCATCATTATAGAGCTAAAAATAATCTTTTTTCTTTTTTCTTTTTTTTATCTCTGGGATCTTGGACAATTTTTTCCAAGTGAGGACCATGATGCAATGGGGATTTATTCTTTTTCATTTATTATGAACTTGCCAATACTCCTTTAAAAAAGAAGTGTCAATTAGTATTATTCACCATTGACAGAGTGTGCTAGTAAAGAGTAGATATAAGGCACAAAATTTTAGGGTTTAAGTAAACAAAACCACAAATATAAAGGGAGAATACACATACACACAAAAACCCCAACCACACAACCCTGTGCTTACAGCATAAAAATACTTGTTTCTTCTAGGAATTCTAAAAGACCAGGCTTCTGAATTTTTAGATTACTTTCAACTTTTCAATTTTCTGTCTAACCTTATGGTTAAACAGAATTTAATTTAGTTCTCTGACATGGAAATGCTTCTGCATATGGGCATTCTGTGAATCACCTGTGATTGTACTACCAAAACTAAGAGGCACAAATGAGGAGTTCTGTCACATTAATGAGCCCTGTCTCTGCTGCAGGTTGTTCAGAAATAACCTCATGAGAAGATATTAGTTTCCTTCTCACCACTCTCTGAGGTTAAAGTCTAGCACAAAATACATAATTGATTACTGGTGGATAGTATTTATGACAAATACTTTGTGTCAGATGTTTTAGAGAGAAAATATCACACGGAGGTGCTTTTTACTATTCTTGGACTTGATTAAAAAAAAATTGGGTTTTCATGTGCATTTTACCACATATATAGTTGAACATATAAGTTCTTCCTACAAAATAAAATGGAAAAGAGCTTTACTATACAACCTGGGACAATTTTACCTTTTTTTTTGGTGAACTTCTGTAGACTGGTTTTTTTATTACTGTGTTTTTTTATTATTTTAACTTAGGTGTAACTCCAATGAGTTTTCCTCCAGTGTTATTTTCCTAGGTTTAATTGAAAGGGCAGTATGAATTAGATTAACAGAGACTACAATATTCCAAATTAGCCTCACTTTACAATTTCTCATGGTGTTCCTTTTACCATTGTCCTTGGATTTTTCCAGTAGCCTAGTCTGCAGCTTTTTCTTTTATTCTTCATGTAGAGAGAAGCAACAATATAGGGGTGATTTATGGTTATTTGTACTGCTCAAATTTGCTGTCCTCCCATCTGACATTCCTATGTGAGCCGCACATTGTTTTACTGCTGAGCTTTTTGGATCTTGAAAGAGAGGAAACCATGCTCCAGGGATGTTGTTTTCCTTTTCATGCTGTTCAGTGGTAGGGAATATTTACTTTCCTTCTCCATTTCCACAAACCTTAAGAAATTAAAATTTTACTTCTCCCCTCAAATATTTCTTGTTTAATCCCTGTTATCCCCTCATTCCTGTCTCTGCACTGTGTCACCTGTCATAGTTAGTACCATCACTGTCATCAGATTTACTTGATGATTATTCCATCCTTTCTGTTTCTCCTTCTATCTTCTTTAACTATATTTGAGTGACCATAAAGGCTTTCTTTATGAAGGAAAAGTATATTTAAAACCCATAGGAACAACCGTGTTATTTTTGTTATATCAGTTATTTATCTAGTGTGGTGATACGGTGATATAACAGGAAAAAAAGCAAAAAAATCCCAGCTTACACAAACCCACACCAGGCATCCTCTTGCTGTTGCTCTTTCCCTCTTTGTTCCCAGGAGAGGAGGAATGCAAGTGCTGTATTGCTGGGTAGAGATATCATTCCTCATATACCTTTGTTTGCTCTTACCTAGCCCAAGAAAAGATGTCTTAAGCTTCTCTAGAGTCTTTCAGTCCAATGCCAGCCAGATTTCTCATGTGGCTGAGAAACCTGTGGAAAGGGGCAGGAGCAGAGACCAGAGGCCCTCCCAGTGTGTGTAGCAGGTGAGCACACACTGCAGCTGTGTGTACCTGCCCTGGCTCGAGAAGGCAACAAAGAGGAGGGGGAAAGTAGATGATGATGCCTCTTCTGCAGCATTGAGGTCTAAATAATAAATGTGCTAGAAACAGATGGACCAGTTGTATTGGGTAAACCAGTTGGCAAAAAACCCTCAAAGCATTGAAGCATGTGAGCTATTTGGCACATTTCTTTCTTCGAGCAAAAATAGCCATTGATCTTCTTCATTGAACTTCTAAGACAAACCTAGGGACCATGTACATTTTGTATTTTCTCTGCTAGAATGTTTTGACCAGTTAGAGAGCTTTCTTTACCCTTCCTGCTTTAGAGATTTCCTAATTGTTTCAGATTGCTTCCAGTACTTTATTTTCCACCACCCCAAGTAATTTGATACCATTTCTTCCATTTTGGGGGAATTTGGGGGTAGTATAGGGATATGATAGTTAAGAATGCCTATTTTGAAACTTTTTTTTGAGTATGCTTTTCTGAAAAGGTTTCCTCTAGTGCTTCAGGTAATAATTAGCAGATTTGATTTCATTGTTTCAAATATCAACTAATAGTTTATTTACAAAGGATTGTAATTAATATGCAGCACCAATATTGTAATTGATTTATTAATTGTACTGTGTTATGATTGATGCTCAGCATCAACAAAAAGATGCTTGAATACCAGGAAACAAAAAAATCAATCAGATAAAAAAAAAAAACAGACAGAGAAAGAACAAGAAAAAGGGCCAAACATGGACATTATTTATAAAACTGATAATAGAGAAGATTTTGCAGTTCTGTCCTTCCAGTTTGTTCCATAGGAAATTTCTGTGGAGAAGGGGAGGTTCCTTCTCCTTTCACTAATTCAGAAAATTAATTTGAATCACCATCTACAGAATGCCTTTTGCTTCTACTAGTATAGCATATTTTCACATTCTTGTTCATATCAGTTATTTCTTGAATTAATACTTAATAACTTTCTACCTGTGGTCTTTTGAAGTGCTCGCTGTATGTGATGTACCCATATAATGGATATATCCTAAAATAATAGCAAGGCATGAAAGTGACAAAATACCAGTTAAAATCCCTTGGTAAACTTTTAAAGTATGCTTCAAAATTCTAAATATAACAGATTTTAAACTGAGTTTTTAAAAGTTTATTTGTGTCTTTACAGAAAGCTTTCTTTTTATCCTGATCTTGCTAAGGAAAATTACAATGTTGATGTTTTCAGTAAGTTGGAAATTTTAAATACCAACTAGCTCTATATATGAGTACAGAAAAATGTAAAACAAGGCTGAGCGATGATTAGAATCAAAGCACTTTGTGAAATAGTTCATCAAAGAATTATGAAGGAAGTTAATGTGCATAGATCAAAATACATGCATACATAATTGTCAATTACAGCATTTGTTTAATGGTGAGAGACAAATTCTAACTATGGTATCACTTGTCTTTCCAGAAATCTTGGATACTAAGCAAATTAGTAGAAAAAAATTGGTTTTCAGATTTAATTTATATGTGGTTTAGTTATTCATTTCATAAGGAAAAAAAGCTTCATTAATGAAAAGAGAATACTTCTCTTGCAGTGAATGTACTCCCAGATACCAGGGGTTGCCATTTCATAATTACCAGGATTTATATTACATAAGTACACATGCCATTTATTGCATTTGAGATTTGGTATTTGGCTTATTATAATCTTGCAGGATTCCTGGGCTGCTCTTCATAGAGCTGCAGGGCAAGGTCCATGCAAGATAAAATTTGATAACCTGTGAAAACTTCTAAATTTTCTGTATGAGATTATAACTGTAAAACAGATTATGATTGTCATATATAAAAAGTTTATCTTAAATTTTTAAGATTTTCAAAGTATGACAGTTTGGCTGTCTTGTCCTGTTTGAGAATTTGAGTACTATTTAGTTTGTGACTTCTGCATATTAATAGCATTTTGATTCAAGCAGACTAATTGAACACTTTCAAAATATCAAACTAAATGTAAATAAGTTTATAATTTGCTATGGTCATCTTACCATGGTGTCCTGAAAGTAGATCAATGATGGTTCAGCAGGCAACATAAAATATCTAAAATATTATTAGGTAGTATAAAGAATACAACTTTGGAACTGAGTTACTTGATGTAGTGAATTTTTAAAGTAATTTTATTCAGTTATGAACAGGGGGAAGGTGATCTTGATCTAAGTTCATTTTATGGCTTGAGACTGGGAAAAGAATTCTGTTAAAGCCATTAAATAATGTTCTTAGAATGTGCTCAAAGATCTTTGTATAAATACATTTTGACAATAGTAATACAAAGTGCTAATGAAAGCTGGTTTCCCCTCAGACCCTGCTAGGAACTTTTCATATATACATTGCTATACACATTACCACCTGAAGGACAATAAGCACCTCCTAGGACCAATATTTCTCTAAGATGTTTAAATTATAGTTACAGCAAAATACTTTGCTCCTGTGCTTCATAATATAGATTTTGCCAATAAAATTGTACTTAATCAAGAAAATTAATGACAGTAACTTCGGTTATATTTTTTAATGTTGCAGGTCAAATAAAATGTTTATGATTTTGTTTGTTCTTGATGCCTTTTTTTTTTAACATGAGAGAATTAAATTTGTATGAAATCATAGGCTTAGCCTATGCTGGAAAAGGTTAATGTGAATATCTGCTGTAATGAGTCGATACCAGCAAGTCCTACTGGTGAATGCACTTCTATCCTGAAATAATTTATTTGCAATATAAATTGTATTGCTGAGGTCATATTCCAAATGCAGCATGTGTTATGAAATCTTGATTTTTTTTTTTTTTTTTTCTTTATAACTATATTCATACCAAGGCTTTCAGCAGCACATCACTTACTTCAGCAGAACTTGTTTCTAATGTAAATTTAACCAGTATGTTGTCCTGACTAAAAGCCCTTTCTGGTACACTGAGTTTGTGATTTATTAATGTTGTTTCCTCTCTGCAGCATGGTATATTTTGCAAATGGCATTAACTTTATTAAAGTGAAAAAGCTGTGTAAGTTTAGTTAAGACCAATGAAAGCAATTTGGTGATTTTTAGAAGTATTGGTGTAATCTGTACTCAAATAGTCATAACGCCAAACTAAATCATTTTATGTGTAGTATTCTGCTCTTAATGCAAGTGCTTACATCTCTCTGTGATACTACATTCCATTGTTATCAATTAAACTTCTGCTATTTTTTCATAGCTATACCTATCTTATCAACCATGAAAATGGTTTTTTCCTTCCTGTTTACTTTGGTAATTTAAAAAATAATCTTTGCTTTAGAAATTCTTTAGCTAGAGCACACATTAAAAGATAATTAATCAGTGTCACTTCTCCATTAACAGCGCCTATCAAATGGCTCAATAGACTCAAATGATGAAGCCAGTCAAGTTGTTGAACTTCAGGAGCTATTGGAAAAGCAAAACTATGAAATGGCACAGATGAAGGAGCGTTTGGCTGCACTGTCTTCTCGGGTGGGAGAGGTAGAGCAGGAAGCAGAGACTACGAGAAAGGAGCTCATTAAAACAGAGGAAATGAACAGTAAATATCAGAGAGACATTAGAGAGGTAAGGAATTCACCACACTCACCTCGTATCTCTTGATTGTTGTTCCTGTGGTATCTGCTACAAACTGATAGAGGCCAATGGATGTGAGCAGCAAAAGTTGAGCACTGATAAAATCACTTAAACATAGGAGCAGAAGATTTAAATTCAAAAATAGTACAAGAAATGTATTCCTTTCTCTCAATAAATGAAAGTAAAATATAATTTTCCATCTCTTTACTCCTCTTAAATTTGTAGTGTTTCTCTGTGTATCATGTCTTAGGCAGATGTTCTCAATATATGTGGATGGTTGGCTTCTAGAATCTATTTTGGTATGCATTAATTATCTTTCTGTTACACCAGCTTTTAAGAAAAGACTGGGTGTAGTATCAGTGTCATGGTTTAATTAACAAGGTGGAGTTGCATCATAGGTTGCAACTAACTCAAAGGTCTTCTCCAGCCTGGCTGATCCTGTATCATAGCCACAAGAAATCCCAAAGAATTCTCTATAAAACTGAAGATTTACTGCTGATCATACATCTACTATAAGCATGAAAATTAAACTGGTATAAAATTATGTAGCATTTTATTTGCAGGGTTCCTGATGGGGTTTTTTCTGTCACATTAGGCAATGGCACAAAAGGAAGATATGGAAGAAAGAATAACTACGCTGGAGAAGCGCTACCTCAGTGCTCAGAGAGAATCCACCTCCATACACGACATGAACGATAAGCTAGAAAATGAACTGGCAAACAAGGAAGCCATCCTGCGTCAGGTGCTCTACCTGCGTTACTCAGCTGTTTCCTTCATACACAATGAAAATTAACGTCAGTTTACTAGAAGAGGTTTCCATGAGGTTAATCTGTGAAGTTTTAATCAACAGATCAGTTAATCTAAAAAATTCTAAATTGTTCAGCATCTCTAAATTTCGTATCAGCTACTGCAGCTGTGAACAATAATTTCATTGTGTACATACAATGTTGGAAAATGACAGTGTTTTCTGATAGTGTCTTGCATAACTGCACGCAGTATGTGATATTCCTTAAGTAGTGGAATATCTTTGTTTTTTGTGTAACAATTTTGTAATTTAATTTTCTAAAAAACAGCTGGAGCTAAAAACATTCCTTTCTGCGGAAAAAGTGAAATTTGCATACAATATATTCTAATTATTTTACAGATGAGTAGAGTGCAAATAAAATTTTTAAAAACTAAATTAACTGTGAATATGTTTAAAGAAAGTTTATAACATGACTGTGCAGCTTTCTCTCATGATTTTGTTTCATCACTTTCAATCACTTTGTTTCCATGGTGATTCCAAATCTGGAATGTAAACTGAATATAAAACACTGGTTTGTAATTTGAATATGATATAAACTCAAAGCAAACATGAAGTGAATATAAATTATACTGTATCATTCAAACCCAGCCTCAGTACCAGACTTCTTTTTTCTTAGCATGTCTTTAAACAATTTAAAGTGCTATATGGGGAATTAGCCTGTGTGATGTGATAATCTCTGCTTCTATAATTGTATGCAGATATATTTGCACACACATGCACATATCCCCCTGTATTGGTGTGTATTTGACTACTTCTTCAGGGAAATTAAACCATCAGAACTCAAACTGTCCAGCTTTTGCCAGCTTCCTTAGACTATTTTAAGAGGTGTCTTCAATTGTCAGGGATAAAACCACCCAACAATGGAAGAAGTAAGGTACTTGTATCTAAGTTCTTTTTGTTGCCAATGTAAGTCATGCTGTGCTGCAGAGCTCTGCCTAATCAAAATAACTAGGCTTAGAGTATATGGTCAGACTTAGAGTTGATTTGCAGCATTGAGCTGAGAAAAACCTAGACTTTCATGCCTTTCTAAGGATTAAAAAAGAATCTAGAATCACTCATTTTTCATTTTGTCTCGTATTACCTGGATGGAGCAAGAAAGCAACAACCACTAAAAAATCTTAATTGTGTGGTGCATCTCAGTAGGTCAGAAAATGCTGCAGTTACAAAAAGTCCTCCTATTTCTCTTTAATGGTTACCACAGCTTACTCAGTTTCACCTCTGTAAAATTTAATTTAATTGTAATGAATGAAATGTCAGTTTTAACTTTTCATAATATATGATTGCAATTCATTCAGAAAATTATACTTGGCAATTTATTCAGGGAACTCTATCCTTTCAGAATTGTTCTTCTTTCCCATTTTAGGTCACATGTAAATTTTTCTGTAAGAATGACTGTACTTCCATTTGGGAAATTCTCATTTTACTGGCACCAGTACTATTATTTGTCTGGGATAAATACCACATCCATCAGTGGAGCTTTTTCATCTTAATTACTGCCATTTTGCAAGTCCTTTTATTCACCTTCATGAGATCCTTGAGCCTCAAATCAGTAGTAAGACTGGCAGTGTACATTGGTCCATGCTTGGGTTAATGCCTCTCCAGTAACCTCTCCCACACTGAGGAGTGTCTTGCCTTTTAGTGAGTTTTGCTATCATTTCACTGATACTTTAGAAAGGGAAGGAAAATCCTTAATATTGATTTTTATTTTTTATACTTGTTTATCTGTCGTTGGCTTTCAGTTGGAAGACAAAAACAGACAGCTGCAAGAGCGCCTTGAGCTGGCTGAGCAGAAGCTGCAGCAGACGATGAGGAAAGCTGAAACCCTACCTGAAGTGGAGGCTGAACTGGCTCAGAGAATTGCAGCTTTGACTAAGGTACTGAGAAATAGGCTCACTTCAGAAGCCCCATTTTTAACAATGATTTGCAGCCTGATTCCTCACCTCAAGGACAAAACAAAGGTACCATCGAGCCGATTTGAAAGAAGAAAATGTTTTTTGATAAGTATGTGCACGGGAATGGTTTCAATGCCATGTTTGTAATTCTTAGCATTTTGATGACAGGAAAAGTAGTTACCTGTAAGTTGGCCTCAGCTATACTTACAGGGGAGTCGTGTATTTCTGATACAATTGAACGTTACTTACTCTAGCAGGACTCATTCTACTGTGTAAGAGTTTCTAATTTAAGGGTAGGCAGTGAGGGAAGTCCCTTTCCTACAGGTACTTAGTTCTTCTGGATGTTTTCATATACCATGTATATAAACAATACCTAATTTTATTGCAATAAGTGCTATAAAATCAAACCCTGGTGGCAAGTGGGATCATTTGTGCAACACAAATGAAGACAACTTGCAGTACACACTTACAAGGTTTGCTTTGAATGATTCTTTGTATCATATAACTGCAAAGTTAATACTATAGCTCAAGTGTTATCAGCTTCATAAAGGCATATGAGGTTTACTCTTTGTCTCTTAAAATCAGACAAAGAAAAATTCATTTAAGAGACTCTATTATATATAATTCTGATTGATTTTTCTTTTCTCTATTGCTAAGGAATGCTTCTATTTATATGCTGATCTGTTTTTAAATTTGATGGACTTTTTGCAGTTCCTATGTTTTCCATTTTTAGTGAAGCCTTAAATGCTGAGCAGCTCATTAATAAAGTGATTTTTAAGTAATTTATTTAAGCAGAAGAAACAAAGAAAGGAAGGCTTTTGGGGGAATTTCTGTGGGTTATTTTTTATTGAGGCGAGATCATTATTTAGTAATCAAGGATTTGTACTGTCACTTTAGGTATGTATGAATGGGTGTGAATGTGAAAGAAAGACTGAAAATTGGGGGAGGTGGTGGGGGGAGGAAGGCAAGCAGAATCGGCAAAAAAAGAGATACATGAAATACCAAATAATTTTCATTGGATTTTAATGAAAACTCAGGTGCACAGAAGAGCAATCCCTTGGCTTTTTAACTTTTTTTTCCCAATTGTTTCTGATTCAGCAAATAATAATATATTCTAATGGCCTCAGTAGCTTAAAAATACTGTTTTCTATTTTAAGAGGATTTTTCCTGAATAAGTTCTCCAGCAATTAGCCACCAGTAAGTATTTGGCAGTCTCAAGCATGTCTTTTCTTGCAACTGCATTTTTCCTTGAACATATATTAATGACAAAAATTGTAAGAAGAAATCCCATTTCAACCATGCAGAACACTCAGGGACTTCCATGAGATACTGTTGTTATTGTGACCATAAAGCTGCAATATACATCTCCGTTTGTCTTCTTACATTATTTCATGGGATGCAGTTAGAGAGCTGTGAACAGACCTGATGCTCCACCCCATTTCACTTTGATGCACTTGATCAAAGTTTTTGCCAAGCAGGAAACTCTGAGAAATAGGTTATAATGCTGATTCTGTTAATTTCTCAGTGATTACATGAAAAACTGAGGACGTGTATTTCAGTTAAAATTGTGCTGCCTTGGAATATATGACATGAAGAATGGCATCATTTGGCTAATAGGTTAAACAGGCCTGTGGCCTATGTGTCTTGTATGCAATTTCTTTGCAAACTGTAGAGCTTATTAAAGTGCTGCTGTGACAGGTCTGAAGTTTAAAGTTCATTACTTTTCATGGATCACATAAATGAGGCTGTGAACCAAGGACACTGTAATCATTTCAGCTTACTAGAGAAGTTTTAAGTTAGCTAGCTGGTGTGCTCTTACATGTGGTCAGCTATTCACTGACAACTGCAAGTCTTGCCTGAGGGGCTGAATGATGCTTAATTAATTTTGCTATGGTTGGACTTTATGCCCACATACACGCTGTCTGTAGGACTCAAATTATCTGGCTGCAGAGCCCCCGAAGGCTGTCTGCCTGAGCTGTGTGATCACTGCAGCGTCTCTGTATGCCAAGTGAAAGAGGAGCCACTAAATCAGCTACTGTTTCTGCACTAAAAAAAAAAAAAACTTCCCTTAGTACTCTCTCAGTGAAAGTGGCTTCTCTGAGATTAATGGGGTAACAACCATATAGAAGAGGTGAGTTAAGACTAACTTGCTTTACATGTATTTTTAAGTAAAGTAACATGGGTTATCTGCTTCTCTGTGGGTAGAATGTAAGACCAATTACATACATGTGGAGATAAACCAGAACAAATATGTTCTGGATTTGGCTGTGATTATTCCCCACCCCCACCCCCCATAGATTTTAAAGGTGCATGTTGCAAGTTCTGCATTCAATTTTTTTATATTCTTGCTCATAATAAATCCAGGTTGGGATTCTGCAAATGAAGGATATAAACTGTGATCCTTCTACAATGTCAGTCTTTAAAATTAGTTGGTTTTCCTTTTTTTATGTATATAAACTAGTGATATGTCTTTCTGCTACTTTTCCATGCCCAAACTAGCTCATAAGGAGTGAACTTCCAAAAATTTGGACTATACAGTGAACTTGGATAAGTACCCATAACTTCACCCAAACCATTTGAACTTTTCTTTGGCTTTGTTTTCACTGTGTTCTGCCCATTGGGTGAGCAACTGGAGGGTTAGTCAGCCTCTGGCAGACTAACCTGGAACAGCATGATCCCATATACTGTGCTGTCCTGCCTGGCCATCATACTGGTACCTGTCTGGTCATGACAAGTAGCACAGCTCTCAGCATGTGTTCCAAGATTTAGATTCCCATGACTCATTGAGCCACCTTCTACTCACTCTCACAGTATTGGTCTGTTTGCCTGCCCTGGAGAAGAGGCAGTTCCTCGTAGAAAGAACCTCCCTCCTGTATTAACTTTTCTTTATCCCACAAAATGTTTATTTTCCTCAGAAGGGACAGACATTGGAGCATCCAGAATCTTCAGATGGTTAGTCTGTCAAACACAGTTTCTCCTTGCATGTGTTCAAGGAGGGGTCCAGTAGGGCCAGCCAGCGTCCACCTACTTCCAGTCACTCACTCCCACTAGTAGTCCTTCACCCCCTGGGTGCTTGTACAGCAGAGGTACCAAGTCACTTCTCTGATCACAAGACAGCAGTCAGCATTTTACACCATCATTTCTGTATGCAGGCCACCAGAAATACCAGCCATGCTTTTCAGCTGCATTAGAGAAGCACTGAGATGGAGAAGAGGAAACCATATCATAATAAACCACATTTAGCATAGTAACACCTTCAGTTAATTTTAAAGGTGATAAAAAATGACTTGAGAGTTGGAGGCAAGTGGGACATAATGCTTGTTTTGTGTCAGTGTGGGGATGTGGTTTGCTTTAAGCAGGGAAGAAGTTGCAAAAGAAGTGGAAGGAGGATGTCTGCCATGAAAAGTATGCAAAGAGGAAAGAAGTTTCCCTTCAAGGGGTGAATGGAGTTAATACAGAAACCTCTCTGAGAAGAAGAGAGAGAAAATATGATGTGTTAACAGAAGGAAGTTGATAAATCCTCTTTCAGGCTATAAAAAAAAAAAAAAGAAAAAAAATCTTTGAAGGGGAGGGAAGTCAAAGAAAATTTCATATTTACAACACAACCTGTCTTTGCAAAATACCCCTCTTATTTTGCTTCCCTTTTCTTGGGAGATTTTGCCCTGATAGGAGGAAGAAATGAAAGAAGCAAATTTGACGAAGCTAAGTTGAAGGAGTTTCTTATTAAATTTAGGAGATACAGAAGGAAGTGGGAAAACACAGGAGGTGAAAGAAGGTGTGACTATCTAGTGACTGAAAGGCTGGAGTTTAGAAAAAGGGGACACCTGAACCAATTCATTTTGTCACCTTGGTAACAGGTTAGATGTGAACAAGTAGCTGATAACTTTGTGAGCTGTTGCAACTATCACCATGATCACCTATTTTCACCTTCAACTTCATAGCTCAGTTCAATAATGCATTCTTTATTTGTGAATAATGCCCTTATTCCAAGAATAGACTAAAGCATAAGATGCCAGTAGAAAATCTGGAGAGCACAAATGTTCAGAAGTCAAGGTCTCAAAACTGGGGAAATTGCTTGTGTCATTAGAAAAGTTTAGATTTGTTCCTGCAACTCAGTGCAAAAAAAAATAAAATTCTTGCACCTATATTACACAATTGATTTCTGCATCTGAATTTGGGTTTCTTTCTTTTCAACTAAGATGCAAAAACCTAGAAAATGTGCAGTGCCATCAGTAACAGATGATGTGAAAGCAACATCTTTTTTGTGGGCGCATTAGCAGCAGAAGCATCAGCAGAGTTTTAACAGGGTTAGAGATCACACAAGCTGCTTTGGTATTCCCTCAATGCAGAACTTTCCTGGCTGTTACTACCTTGTGCTGGCTATTCCATGGCATAGAGAGTGCAAAGTGAACATTAACACTCATGCTGGTTTTCTCGTAGGGGTCAGATATCTTTAGTTTTTGTCCATATATTTTTAATCCAGTTTAAGATGCATGATTTCCCAAATCTATTTATAACTGAATGTTCTGGCTAAATGCTTGTTACTGAATGCCACACAATGTGTCTTATTAATCCTCCTGTACAGAGTAGGAGCAAACAGGAATACAAGTCTTACATTAAAGAAAGAATGTAGGGTAAGGCCTGCCAAGCAAGTAGTCATATGGGCTCTACAGTTTTTAACTCAATTAATTCTTAGTAAAACAAGTTGGAAGAAATACAGATTTTCTTTGGGAATCTCACAGTCCACAGTTGTCTGTGCTGTCTCATGTGTCCCTAATATTCTGCTACAGAAGCCTGACAAACACTGGTACCTCAATTTCTGCCTTATGTAGGCAAAGATGGACACATTCATTTTATGTCTCTCAAAGAGCTTATTCCTTATAATCTCTGGGTCTGACTAAGACACATGAACAACAAAAAAACGTAACTGCCATGGGTATACCAATCATAAGTGCATGGCCTGGGGAAGTCCTTAGGGAAGGATTTGCAAATCCCTTAGCTAGCAGCTGACTTGCTACAGGAGAATTTTTGTTTGGAAAGGTCTCTTTGAGACCTGGTTGGAGGCCTCCCTCAATGTAAAGGGTGATGGGGAGGTGTTGAAAACCCCATTTTGGGAGTATGTTGCAGCTGGGGACACTGGTTACTGGACCTTGTCTGCAGGTGGGTTTCTGCAAGTCAGAGAGGATGGGAGTATGTACATGTGTTTCTGTCTGCCCTCCTGATTCTCATGCCTGCTGCAGGGGCTGTGGCTGCAGTTGGCACATAATAACCAATATTAAAATCCCTTAGCAGCTTTAGACCCCAAACCTGATACTAAGTCTGTGCACCTGTGCTTGCTCTCTGCCACACAAGCACTTGTGCCTAATTATTGAATATCTTGGCTATAAAATAATTTGGTCCTTTTAGAGTAATACAGAATAACACTTTCAGAACAAATGGTACATAAAGTAAACATAAAATATTCTAATGCATTTGCAGCATTTAAAATAATGACATTTGTTTTTATTCTAAGTCGTATTGAATTTTAATAAATTTTCAAGTTTTTCTGCTCTACCAAAGAGATGTAAGGGTAGCATATACCTTGTTGAATTAGTAAAGCAGCAGGAAGTTATGAAATAACAGGTAACTGTAGGAATCTTAAGAGAACATCATGTTCTTTCAAGAATGTTGTCTAGATAAGAATTCAGATAACATTCATAATTCTGAAAATAATTTCATTCCTTCTCTTCTTCCCAAAAATTGCTAGACTTAATATCACAATTATTTGCTGCACTGAAAAGATGTACTAGACAGATTATGGCATGGTTTAGACTGAAAAACTTACATTTTAGTTTGAAAAAAGTGGTATATTTTACAGCTAACTAGATAGACTGTATTTTCAAGGACAGGTTATGTCTGGCAGCACCCCATTTCAGAGGATGTGAATGAGATCCCTTTGAACCTAGAGGTTTTACTTTGGTTATCTTCATTTTTTCCACTAAGTTGCAATTAAGTGTATGAAAGTGATGCCTTAAGTTTTAGCTTTCATATTTTCCAGATTCTGTACTGCACTGGTGTATAACTCTGAACTCTATACAAAATGTTAGCAAGTTCTCTGCACTGTGTAGTTAGACAAGACAATCCTTTTCAGCCTGAGAACCAAGGCCACTTTAGGCAGCTTTAAGCCCAAAAAGTATAAACAACAGTCAATTGAGGAGAGCAGTTTGGGAGGATGTGACTTCATAACCTGAAGCTGTAATTGGACAATTAACCCAAACATGTAAATGGACCAGAATTTATAAAAGTGTGAAAACTCAGGACCCGTCATCCATCTTGTGTGGGGCCTTGGCCAGGCTCCTGTACTGCCCAAGGTGTCTCCTTTGAAGGCCTTTTCAATAAATATTTACTTTAAGACTGTCTAGCCTTGATTCCAGGTAGCCTCCCAAGGCATCAGAAACAGTGAAGTTTAAGTAATTTGCTTTTAAGTTTTGCAGTCAGCTAAAGAAGCTTATAATGAATTTAATTTTGTAGGAAAGTGCACCCAGTAGGTTCTTTATCTCCCTCTATGAAAATTGTTTCAAAAGAGGTAGAAATACTTAAGTATTCTCAGAGCTTTGGTGGTTTCAAGTCATCTCATGACCCTTGGAAATGTATTAAGAGATGGCCTTGAACCAATGCTGCAGCCAGGACTTAAAAAGGGTAAAATTCTATTCTCTACAGAGCAGGATAAAACTTGATCACTCTGCGGAAAGTTGTCTGCTCTGCAGTCACAGGGTCTTAACTTTTTCAGCCCTATCTTTCTAATTACCCAGTTGGGAGAGGCAGTAGTGCATTAGCACTGGTGTGATGAAACTGGGTAATAAGTAAAATGGAGAGAGAAGTTCAAGAAGATAGAAGTATTGTTGCTGGTCCAAGCTGTAATAAACAGACAAAATAGTTTCACCTAATAAGTTCGAGTACGTCACAATATGCCTGCTTCATGATCAGAAACAAGAGTTGCACTTCTAAATGAGTTTAATTACAAATTAAATTTTTCAAGGATATGACTTTTATGAATATACTATGAAAAGAATACTAGTTAAGCAATATTCGTGTATTTATTTAAAGAAAAATTTTCTTATGTGAATGTTTTCATATAAAAAGCTGCAGTCTTTTTATAAATTACTAGATCACAGGATTGCTTTCTGTATGAACTTTTGGTCCTGACAATACTACTGAGTTGAAGTTATGGGTAATTTTAAGTTATTATGAACATCTGGCATTACTTTGATACCTATTCCTAATTAATCTGATAAATCATTACCAGATAAGCATATTTAAAATAGCTTCACAAAGATACAGCTGTAAAATTAATATTTTTTGTGTGTATTAAAGTTCACTCATCTAAAGATGGAGTTCAGATCTCTTTTTGAGAAAGGGTAAATCTGAAAGAGTGAAACAGCATTTGACAAGCGCGAGCTCACAACTCAGTCATCAGTAACACTGTATACCTTATGCACATCCCTGTTTCCATAGCAACAAAACCAATATAGCATTTCCCTTTTTTTAAAGGGCTTTTTTAGTTTCTGAGTAATAACATAGACTTGTTTGATATGACAATAACATGAATATTCATGTTTTTTTTGACACAGATGACCTAATTAAGGTCAACTTCTGTCAGAAATAATAATGAATTTTTGGTTGGATTACCATTTCTATACTCAGTTATAACTTTTCATTATTATTAATGAATTTTTATTTATAGGTTCTTCTTTTATCTGATGACCTTGATCTTCCAAAGAGATCCACCAGGGTGGATCTTTTCAGGGTTTTCAAAGGGATCAAAACTATACTGTTTATTTGGATGAAAGGCCTTATATAGTGTGTTCTAAGATGGCATATGAAAGCTTGAGCCTTCTCTCTTTTGACATTCATTCTGTTTTCTAGAAAGTAGGGGATGTACCATGACATTGCATAGTGGTGTAACTAACTGATCCATTACGCAGTATTTATGCATTGTAATCATTCCTAGAAAATGGTAGAAGAATTATACAGGAATTTCTGATGTTCTGGTTTCAGTTTACCAAAATTTAAAAAAAAAATAAAAAATAAAAAATAAAAAATAAAAAAAAAAGAAAAAAAGAGAGAGAAACAACATTAGATTAGACAGTATCGCTTTGTATTCACTCTGTAGTAATTTGTCATCAGCCAGCCATCACTAACCTTGAACTTCCATGTGTAGGTTGATAGCTTCTTTAGCATTCCATTATTTTCAGTTTCTCCACATCAACTGCATCTTATTCACCAAGTATCAGTGTAGCTTATTCCATGTAAAAATCTGTCAGTTAAAAGTATTAAATTTTCAATCACACTTTTCTTTTAAGCATTCTGTGCTGTGTTCTGTTCAGTGTCAGTGTCTTTAGTTCTGATTTTTCAATTTTGTCCCTCTCCTTTTCCTTGACTTGTTAGTCTGATCCAACCTCTTCTACCTCATCTGATGATTATCAATATGTTATGGAAGCTAAACTACAAGAAATGATCTCCATACGTAGGAAGGTAGTCCTACTGGACTTTACTTTCTATTGCTGAATAGAATCCATCTGATTTGTTTTCATTTTTTTTAACTTTTTTTTTTAATTGATAATCAACCATCGTGCAGTTCAGTGCTTCAGGAGCTTACAATTTTACGATGGCAGGTTTGTGTTCAAACCATGCACAGTCTGCATGTTACATTTGGCTGATTTCATTGCTCATAAATAAATCCAATGTTTTGCTGATGCTTGGATGTAACAGGCCTTTGTAGCTGACACATTTCAAGCAATGCTGTTCAGCTGCCTGTTTAAATGAAGTTTATTTTTGGAAAACTAAGTTTGCAGTTAGTAGTAGCTTGCTTTATGTTTTGTTTAAACTTTACTGAGATAAAAACTTCCAAAGACACCTAAATTACAGAAAGAGTCTTTCTATTTTTTTTTTTACAGGCAGAAGAAAGGCATGGAAACATTGAGGAACGTATGAGACACTTAGAAGCTCAACTTGAAGAGAAGAATCAGGAACTTCAAAGAGTATGTGTATTGCAAACAGCTTCTGTACACTTTTCATTTGCCAGTATATTGCTACATTATGTACTCCAGCACCCAAAACTATCTAATTGTAAATGTTTTGTTTGTAGCAGTGATGGCAGCATCTTCCTACTTTACTTGACCATCTTAATACAATAATTTACATCCAGTTACAGAGTTGAAAGCATTCTGCAGTTACGGAAATGGATATGCATTAATCAGTAACAGTAATTACATTTCCTGTGGAATTCTTTTAGATGGTTACAGTTACCTTTTTTTTAAAATTTTTTTAACGATGTAAATCTGTACCGGTTAATTTTGGACCCTACCAATCTGTCTCGTCTATCCCACATTAAAGGCAAGGCAAAGAGAAAAAATGAATGAGGAGCACAACAAAAGATTATCGGATACTGTAGACAGACTTTTGACAGAATCCAATGAGCGTCTGCAACTACACTTAAAAGAGAGAATGGCAGCACTCGAAGAAAAGGTACAGTACAAACAGCAGTATGAAGTTTAGCTTAATAAAGATTTCCCATATGTTCTGCTTTTATCAGGGTGGGGGCATCATGCTGATTTTGTATTACCGAATATTATCACAAATGTCATCCAGCTTACACATTCAACTCTTAATTCAAGAGCTCAAGGGTCTTCTCAGAAGTGCTGTGAATATGGCTGAATATTTTGAGTCATGTGTTTATCAGCCAAGAGCCCAATGAAGAGCTTGGAAAGGACCAGGGCATGATGGGCTGCATGAGGCAGTGAGACAAAGTGGACAAGAACTGAGGAATGACGTTTTACATGCGTCATCATTGCAGTGTTTTAACTTGCTGATTTCACCTTGCTTCCTCTGGGAAGAGTAAAATTCTGGCACCACAAGAGAAGGATCATCTAACCTTGGAGAGGGAATGTTATTTACAGATTCTCTATGACGTGAGACAATGTGGTCCTGCAAAATTCAAAGCAAATTATCTTTGTATTTGCCCTCTTTAATCCCTCTCTCTTCTACTTATTCACCTTCTGTATGATATGAGGGGAATCTTTCAGTGTTTTTCAGAAGGGTATTTCAGAACTCAGATGATGTAGGTCTGGTTTATATCATTGGAACAAAATGTGGTATGGATAGAGAAATAGACTTACCAAAAGAAGAAATTGTGTAAGGATGAGGCAGTTGCTCAGTTGAACCAAGACGCAAAGTTTTTCCTGATCTAGAAGACACATGCTCCTACATGTTAGAATTCTTGCAACATTTAAAATTTAGTATATAATCCAACTGAAGCATTAAAGAACTTTAATTTTGAAGTATAACATATATGAATTTTTTAAACTTGCACATGTATATAGTGATATCTGACATATTAACGTAATTCTAATTTCTTTCTTGCTTATTTGTTTCTCTTCTGTTTATTTTTAGAATGTTTTGATTCAGGAATCTGAAAGTTTCAGGAAAAATCTAGAAGAGTCCTTACATGATAAGGTACTGTGAAATACTGTGATTTTATCTTGTTTTATCAAAATATGTAGAATTATTATTTGAAAATATGTTTATGAAATATTAACTATCCAGCTATTGTGACAAATCTTCCTGACACAAATGAGAATTCCTTTAATCACCTAGATTCAATAAATAGCCTTAGAAGGTCTCTGACAGTTGTTCTAAGTTCATGGTTGATATCTTAGCCTCAGGAAGTCAATACCAAAATTCATATTGATTTCACTGGCTCTAGTGTTTTTCTTCTATCAGTTTTAATTCTGAAAAAGTCTTGTTTAACAGAGATGTATTTGTAACTGGTTGCACTTTCATAGTAAAGGATGTAAGATTTTGATTGGATGTGATTCTTCTTAACAAATGCAGTGGTATTATGCTAAATATAGCTGAAAGAGACTTTTCTTCATTCCTTGCAAATTAACCCCTAATGCTGTTTAGTGAATCAGTCAAATTGATTATAAATATTTCTTCCAATCCCACATACCAGGATTTTTTTAAAGTTATTCCTGCCTTGAGTGCAGTAGGATACACAAATGTATTTGCATTCAGATTCACAGAAGTGTTTTTGCAGATACAGATTTAATACAGAGTGTGTTAAATCCCTGTAAAAGCAATTGTATAGAATTTTAAAAATATAGCTTCATTCTATACCAATATAAATATATGGCATCAAAAGTCAAGACCTTTGAGAAAAACAACAAAAGGGGTATCTGTTAAAAAAAAATAAATTTAATCTACATTTAGGTAACCTGAAGAGAAAGGCAACAAATAATGAAAAGGACAACCTGTTTTAGTGCCTCACCACCCTCACCATAAAGAATTTCGTCCTGATATCTGAAACCTACGCTCTTTTATTTTAAAGCCATTATCCCTTGTCCTGTCTCTACATGTTCTGACCCCAGAGTTTCTAAGTGTCTCCCTTTGAAGGGATTATTTGTTTCACTTTGATGAAGAAACTGATGAAGCCATTTCAGATAGATGGACATAGCATCAGATACTAATAATCTCTAAGTAATTGGCAAGTGTTACCAACAGAGTTTCAGTCATCTCAGTAATTCTGTTCAATCAAGAAATATTTTTAAAATACTCTAATAATATTTCAGTAATTATATATTAATAATTCAGTATTAATACTCACTGAAACTGTTATTATTGATAGATAATATTATTTATAGATAAATTATTTAATGATATTATTTATAGATACATGATTTATTGATATTATTTATAGATGTAGAAGATCCATATTCTTCCTAGCCTTTTGCAATACTAAACATTTTAACTCTAGGAAGAGCAGTGTTACAGCTTCATCCCATTTTTGTTCTGAATTTGTTTTAAAATTCTTTGATTTCAGTTTATTAGTAGATAACAATTATTTGTAGAATTTGGGAAAAGTGCTGTTTTCCCTAGTGGTAGCTGTAAACTGTGGGTGTTTTTTAGTTCCAAAAATCCAATTTTGTGGCAAATTGTCATTTTTTGCCAGCAGCACCTCATACTAGAGTCACATCAACGCAACATGAGCGAGACATATAGCTGCAGTTCAAGTCATCTAAGCAGCTCTCCAAGTCTGTGTCTCTGTCAGAACATATATAAAGGCCAGTATGCAATCCCATAGTATCATAGAATCATGGAGGGTGGAAAAGATGATCTTGGAGCTCATTGAGTCCAACTCTTAATCTTGGTCTCTAGAGGGGAAGTGGTGAGTCATGCCACTTTATAGTAGGAAAAAAATAAGTTTCAAGGACAAAGTTGTCCTTCCAGCACTTCCAGGCAGTGGTGAAACAGCAGAGTGCTGTACCTCCTCCTCTTGACTTGTACATCTCAATAGCAGCAGTGAGACTTAAATGAGCTTCCTTTTATTATAGTGTTATATCCAGTATATCTTTGCCTTTAACTTTATGAGAACAACATCCCATAAAATAAATGTATTTTGTGTCACAAATAAGTGATCTTACTCTTCTTATTCCCAGGAAAGACTTGCTGAAGAAATTGAGAAGCTGCGGTCTGAACTGGATCAAATGAAACTGAGGGCTGGTTCTTTAATCGAACCCACCTTGTCAAGGTAATATTTTGCAACAAAAGTTTTTCACTTTAAGCTGAAATAGATGTAAATGTTAATGGCAAGCATTTACAGCAGGGATGTGTTCAAACCACACATAATTGTGGTCATTTATTTCTTTTCAAATGTTAAATCTGTGCAGTTGTTATTACTGTTGCTTTTCACTTTTTTTCTAGGTAAAAAAGTGAGTATATCAGTTTATCAGTGAGTATACAGTGAAATATTACTGAGATTATTAAAAGCCTTTTAAATTATTAAATGTTTTGAAAAGTATATGCAAATGCACAACTTTTTCCCCAGACCTTAAAAATAAATGAGAAACAATTCTCTTTAATGCTGAAACTGATCAGCATATTTACAATCATATTTATTCTATAAATAATATCTTTTATTTTTCTTTATTAGCAAGGCATAACTCAGCTGTACTTAATGTGTAGCAAAGGACAACAGAACTTCAGCTGAATGTGAAGACATTATCCAGAGAGCTCTGAAAACATCATAATCGGATATTAAATATTGTGCCTCTTTTTGACGGAAAATCCATATGGGAAGAACAGTGAGACAAATGTCATAAAAAATAAACACTAAAAGCTGAAAATAATTTGTCATTCTAGAAAGTCCTTCTTGCTTAAAAGTGTCCCTTGAGATTAAATTGTTGCTTTTTTGATAATTGTGTGCCATGTGCTGTTTTCGTAACAAGCAACATGTTAGTTTTTAAAATTTGCTGGCACACCTGCCAGACAAAGCTCATGGATCAAAACTAATCCATGGAGCACTACATTGGGAGCACTGTATTCATCTAAAGTTACTCTTGTTCAAGAGGTTGTTGTTTTTTCCATCAGCTATTGTCTGCCCATTGATGTCCTCAGACATACTGCTCAGTACCTGAACATGGTTTTTCCCTCAACCTTTTATTATTTCTTGGAATAATGTTTTTGTATAGGTAGAGAAGTGTAAGTCGATGAAATTCAGAATGTGATGCTTCTAGCTTTTTGAAATTTTGTTCCCTTGGGAATGTAACTACAGGCACACAACACTTTTTTTCTTGAACGTATTCTCAGGCACGGAGGCTATTGAGCTGCTGCAACAGCAGCTTTGGTTCTGGAACAGCCATCCTTGCTGAACAGCAGCTTTTCTTGCTGGGTAGATGAGTATCATTAGCTTGTGCTCCCTAAAGAGGAGCTGATTAGCCCTTGTCAGAGGGCTGTTTGAAGCTGTCTAAATATCTTGGGAATTCATCAGGTTGCACTAAGAAGTATACTTTCCCTAATGTAACCTTACCTCATGAAGCTCCCAGCTCTCTCAGGCATAGAAAGCTCTGAACATTGAATACTTCCTATTCTCAGCCTGTATTCAATTCTACATTGGCTGGAGTTTGTGCTTTCAGGAAAATAATGAAGCTGGTCAGCAGATGAATATCTACAGCTAGACACTGGAACCTGGACTGTTTCTTTTTTCCTGCCATCTTGCTTCACAACAATCAAATATTATTGATTATGAGACCAAAGTTCTATTGAGACAATTACTGTACACAGAAGATTAAAAAAAAGTCACTGTCCTATGGGGGATTTTGTTACATTTCATTTTTCTACTGTGATCACGCTATTCTTATCTTTTCATGTGGAGATTGCTGGTGTATTAAGAAACAGAAATTATTCAGGTCTCTGCTTCTGTGGTTGAGTTCTCAAGTGGTGCACTGACCCTTTGCTCTTCCACCTTGTTTCCACAGCCCATGGTTAGGATGCTTTTTATTGCAGCATGCAGTGAACTTTTGGTGCTGCTTTTTGGCTAAGGACAAAGAGGTCAGGGACCACTGTTTGTAAACAAGAAAAGAGGTGCTGAAGTCATCCTTTATAAGGTTCACTACAAAATTCCAAGACTTACCAGGGCTATAGGAAAAATTGGGAGTTAAAGCACTGAAAGTTTCATCACTGAAAGTTTCATCAAAGAAAGATTAGTAATTCCTAAATTATGTTAAATATCACAGGTCAGTTCACTAATGTTTTCATAATGTAGACCACAGACATACAGCAGGAAAGCTTTAATCTATATGCTCACTCATGAACACGTAACATGCTTAGAGTAACCTCAGGCATATTTATGAATATACAGGATAATACATTCAGCTGCCAGCTCTGATTATCCTGAAATGTGCTTTTTCTTGTTAAAGTTTTGGATGATAAGCTTTTCTGTACATAGCTTTCATTTAAAAAAATCAGAGATTTTATTATTTGTTTCTCCTTAATTTTCTCATGCAATTATTTCAATTTTAAATTACGTTTTGTGATGCGGTTTTCTCATTTATCATGTGATACATGAATGTTCATTTGGAAAAAGAAATCTCTGTTGCTAGACTGAAAGTCATTGGATTTTTTGTTGTTATTCCTATTACTCTCTTAGTCCACTTATGTGATTTTGTTTATAGACCTCATCTGGACACATCAACAGAGCTGAGGTACTCAGTGGGCTCACTAGTTGATAGCCAGTCTGACTATCGGTCAACTAAAGTGATAAGGCGACCTAGAAGAGGCCGGATGGGAGTACGCAGAGATGAACCAAAGGTTAATCCCCAATTTCTTTTCACATATTCCCTGATAAGATAATGTATTTGAGGCTTTTAAGGTTACAGTTTGTGGAGTTTTCTTCCAGAAAGAAAACAACAAGAGAAAAAAACAACCCACCAAACAAGAAAACCCAACTCAGAGAGCAGAGATTTTTCTATATCTGCTCAGAGAACTTTTGTATGAAATGACAGCAGAGAATGTTGAAGTTTACGCATCAAAGTTCAAACATACTTGATTATTTGTCTTTCCAGAGTGTCTCTTTGTGTAAATTTTCCTTGTAGTAATTGTATACCTAAATTGCAATTATGTGAAAATACTTTTTGCTGTTTGCTGTAATGTTGGGAGCATTAATGGGGGGCTAATAATTGAATACATATGTTGAAGTGTTAGTTGCTTTCCTTTCACAATTTTTTTAAAGCTTGACTTTGCAGTTGTCTCTGACATAAACCATTTATGTCCTAATTCCTGCTCAGGTAAAATCACTTGGTGATCATGAGTGGAATAGGACGCAGCAGATGGGTGTTCTGAGCAGTCATCCATTTGAGAGCGACACGGAGATGTCGGACATCGATGATGATGATAGAGAAACCCTGTTCAGCTCCATGGACCTGCTGTCACCAAGTGGCCATTCCGATGCCCAGACTCTGGCCATGATGCTTCAGGAGCAGCTAGATGCAATCAATAAAGAAATCAGGTATGTAGCCTGAACCAGCTGCAATGCACTTATGGTTACAGCTTCAAGCTTCCTTTAGTCCTTGAGTTCAGGCACCATTTGTGGCGCTTAGGAAACCACTTCTTCATTTAGAGGATTGATAATGTGTCTGCTTTCCTGAAGAGAGTATTGGCTGTGTGAAGATATCAACTGAGTCTTTCTTTCTTAACCATAGAAATTTCTTTCAAAAAACCTTCCAAGTGAAGAACTGTTGGCCAGTTGAAGAGAAGTTAGAGGAGGCTAACACATGGAAGATTTCACAGATTACTGTTCACAGTCCTATTTTCAAGGTCTTTTTCACTGTTATGCATGACTCCACTTTCTCAGTAACAATCTCCTATCAGAAATATTTTATTTCAGTGCTCTTCATGCTTTCTTCTGGCAATTATCCCCATGTTAAATCTAACGTAAGCTGCATTTTCTAAGACATGGTTTTGATTTTCTCTGTAGACACAGACTATGATTTTTCATGCTCCAAGTTGGATTATAGTGCTTGGAAATAGGTAATGAATATAAGGTTTTATAATATCTGTGCTAATTTAATGGAGAGGTACAGAATCAAATGATGTGTTTCAATTAAGGGATTTTTATAAACAAAGCCATATATTATGCTTAAAGCATTCTTATGTATTTTTCAAGAAGGGCAACTTTAAAAAAAGTTGCTGTATGAAAAACATCCTCTCATTAGCGACTGTTTTCCTAGAAGGAGATGAAGGAAATGTTAGTAAATGTGCTAGGGACTTTCTGGTAATACTAGAAACAGAAATACTGTGGTTAGAAATATAATCAAAACAAGACAGAATCATTCTCTGATCACGGTAACTATAAAGGGAGAACTCTTGGAATATATTGAATTTGAGTAATTTTTCTGTTCAGGGAGAAACCTTTTAGGATACATCTAGAACTTTACATTATTTGCTGTCCCAGAATGTGTTCAGATAAGATGATGCTTTTTTCAAACCTTTTCTTACACCTGTCTAGATACAGGGTCAAAGAGATATTTTGGTGTTGGGAAGGTAAATCTCCTTAAAACAGTGTATATTAAAGAAAGAACCTTATCTATATTTTCTGTTATGTCAAAATCAGCACTGTGGCCAGTTCAGGAAGCTGTAGATGCAACATTTATATTTGTTTTTAAACAATACTAGTCTTTTGTCCACTTAACAAGTGATACAGTAAAGGGATTTAACAAGGAGAAGTAATTGCAGGTGACATATTGGGATATCATTTGTGCCACCCTGAATCAGATCACTGTTATACTCAACCCAGGGCCTTGAGTCAGGTACAGTTTTACCTCTAAAGGGAAGCAAGGGTGCACTTTTATACAAAAAAAATTATTTTACTGGGAGTAGTTTATTTCCTCAACTGCTAATCTTGTACTGAAGTATAGGCTTTTATTATCATAGCAATATTAATAAAGGATCAGGCATGTAATTTTGTATGGTTTTTTATACAGCTCAGGAAAATCATTCTACAAGGAAAGTCTTATGAACCATTCTGCATTTCATGTTTTCTTGGTTTGTTTGTTTTTGGTTTTAATTTACAAACACTATAAGGGTTTATAATTTTTTTTGAGATATCAAAAGAGATTAAATTGTGTTTTTCCTTAGATTTGTTTTATTATACACATGATTCAGGATTTAGATTAGTAAAATGAAAAACATTGTTTTAATTCTCTTTCAAAATATTAATGGCCTTTAAGTTTCTTCCCTGCATTATTTTAAAAAAATGGTAGATGTTTTATACAAATTCTGAAATGGATGTTAGGGAAGAAGATTTACAACTGCACAGGAGTTTTTAGGTTTCTATTTTCAATATATTATGGTTTTATGTATTGTACTTGCTTAGTTTCACTCAGAAAAGTCTGGTTCACAGTTTCAGCCTCCCCAGACTTCATATTCTCTCGTTTCACATTGATCCCTCATAATTTTTCCTCTTTTTTGCAAAAAAAAGACTTCTCCTAGCAAGGGTTTATGGGCAAAGGACTTATAAAGAAATATTTTACTTTAAAGACATTTTTCCATTCTAGGTGCAATCACAATTGAAAAACAACCAAAGAACCCAATGGAAGCATCCTGTTGAGGTGATAGATGCTTAAGAAGCTTATAATGCTTGCTAACAAGAAAGCAATTTTAATGAAATTCACTTAAAAACCCAGGGCTTTAGAAACAGCTATCATTTTTTGATCAAATTATAGGGGTAAAACAGACAATTTGTCTTGCACATTCTCTTGTTTTATTAATATGGATTATTTTAGCAATTCCCTTCTTAAAGGCCCAATTTCATTTGACTCTTAACTTTGTGATTTAGCAAAAGATAATCAGATGAAGCCAACGTAAGCTTGGAATTAGTTGTCTATGGTAAATCGGATTGTTAACCCCCGCTCAATTCTAGCTCCTTTGCAAAAGACCCAATATTCCTGAAATGTCATACATCAAGTCTTGCTGTTGATCACATTCTTCAAACAGGTTTTGAGGATGGAGGAGTTGAGAGAAATAATTTGATAACTGGTGATTAGGAAAATAATATTGGAAAAGGGTACTTTTTAGTTATCTGTGATATTCATCTTTGTTTGCTCTTACTTTCAAATCTCATTTGAAATGGACTGGTTTCTAGTTTTGCTCTGGGATTATGAAGAGACAAATACAACAAAAGTATTCTTCTTTTACTCAATTAGGCTAATCCAAGAAGAGAAAGAGTCGACAGAATTGCGTGCTGAAGAGATAGAGAACAGAGTGGCCAGTGTGAGTCTGGAAGGCTTAAATCTAGCCAGAGTCCACCAAGGCACCTCCATTACTGGCTCAGTGACAGCATCATCACTTGCAAGCTCATCTCCTCCCAGTGGACACTCGACTCCCAAGCTCACCCCTCGCAGTCCAGCCAGGGAGATGGACAGAATGGGGGTTATGACGCTGGTAAGAAACCCTACAATGACAGTATTTGATGTGATATTTCTTGTATTAAGTAGTTAATCTTTTCACTGTATGACTGGCTCATCTCTCTAATTCTTTAGTCACATATTCATCATCCATACAGACAGGAAATTCTCTAGAATTTGGACATTTGTTACCTTTGGGCTTTGTTATAGTGGTTTTGAACACTGCATGATTCACTAGAGGCATAGTGATGGGATTACTGAGGGTCTTGAGCCCATAGAGTATGGAACTAATAAGAAACAGTAATTAAAATTACTTGTATGTAAATTACTTCTTTGAATTACTTGTATGTAAAAAATGTTTACTAATGGAAAGTTCTTAAGTGGTACAGGTATTACACAATAGTCTGTGGAACTATTGATGAGTTTAAACTTCCAGGAAATGTCTAGAAAACATGAAGACATTTCACCACTTCTTATATGTGATCATTTGGATATACTTTTATATTTGGTACACTCTTTTACATTTGCAGCAGTTTTCTTCATTTCATATGTCATGCACAATGAAATAAGCTCTTGGTTTCCATTAATTCATTTAACTGATATATTTCAATATTACAGGTGGCTCACACATAGAGATCAAGCCACCATGAAATTACTGTGCAAATAATTTCTAAGTTTGAGAACACATTCAAGCATGTCTGGTTCGATTTGGAAAGGGATTTACAAGGAATTTAATTTTGATTCTAGACAAAAAGAAACAGTACATCTGTCAAATATCAGAAGATAGTAACCATATACTATATTTAAGATATACAGCTCTGATACTAATCTGAGTACAGATGCAGGGTTCAGTGTGAGCTAGCCAGTTTGGGGCTGGGGTGGATTAATCCCTTTAAGTACTAGGAGAGAATCAAATCAGCCCACTCTGCTGATCTCATACAGGGAATAGAATAGGGTATGCATAAGCCCATTTTTTGTTTGCTTTTTTTCTGATAATCATAATATCACCAATATCCCCTTGTGGCCCATTCCTGGGAAGTAGCAGCAGCACAGATTCCCTGCAGAGCCCTTCCTAACAGAAAAGTTTGCTAAGAGCAGCTGGAAATGAAGCCTGGCTGTTCATTCTTCTCATCTGGGAATAAGGGGTTTTGTTGTTGATCATTGTCAAGTATTCCCTTTTCCTGGGAACTGACAGCTACTCATGGCCCCCTCTGCTCCTCCCAGTTTAGTATGGTGTTTGCTGCTGCCTTAGGTTCCAAGGTCAGCAGGGAGCAGGTCCAAGCAGGCAGTCATAACTTATTCTTTGCTGCCCCAGTTCCCACACCTGAACAGCAGAAATGAAAATATTGGTTGCATAGGTCATTGTGGAGGAGGTGAGTGTGCAGGCTGCTGTGCTGTCACCCACTTCACCGAATCAGCACCTTCCCAAAAGCACAGTCTGGTTCCTGTTCCCCAGCCGTACGCAGTCTGGCTGTGGGTAAATGGCAGTGGTTGAACTGCCCTGCCACCAGACACCTGCACTGCCTGGTGGCCTGGATTTGAAAACTGTAGCTTTGGGTCATGGGGTTCATCAGATTCAAATTCAAAATGACAGCATAGCCTCTGCAATTCAGGTTGCTGTAGTCTCACTGGCATCCAGCTGTAACTGTGCTAAAACTCAGGTGGATTTGTCTGTCTGACTTGCAGTTGAACTCTTGACTTACCATAAGCAGTAGAAGCATCCCCCCATGGTGTGCACAGCTTTGCTCATCTTCATCAACCATTTCAGGACATTTCTGCCCTGCACTGTTTCAGCAGGAGCTCAGTGTTGAATATCACTTCCTTGCGGTCTGAGAACAGATACAAGTCTGTCAGACATCCTCTAAGTGAAACTTTGAGTTGGGAAGGGTTTTGTAGAAGCCTGGTTTCTAGAGCTCAAATTGCCGAGTGACCTTGTATTGGTTGGCTGGAGGAGCAGGACTGTGTGAGTTTCCACAGCCTGGGTGCTGGAGTAAATCAATTCTACAGAGTTTCTTCAGCTTTCCTTAAATGAATGAGACATCTACCAAAAATTAAAATACAAAGGAAGTTGAACAACTCCCATTCTAGCAGTCTTCTACTGCCAAGTAACACTGCAGAAGATGGGTGAATACGTTTTCACTTCCTGAAAATACCAGGCATGGTATTTGGTGATATTTTTTGGTTTTACTTGGTGGGACACCAATATATTTGTAATATTTGATAAGACTTTAAAAAAAAAAAAAAATCTCTGTTGGGGAAAACCCAAGTACCTATATAAAAACTCAAAAATAGTAAGTGCTACTACAGGCTTGAAATGTCCAATTCTTTGCTAAGTTTATGAAATTTAAAGAGAATATTTCTTTAGGAAAAACACCCCCAAACCTACTTTCCCAGAATGATGTATTTTTCAGGGGTTATCATATATTATTGCATCAAGTATATAATTAGTATATAATATAGAAAGTATTAAATTAATCTTTGCTTCACACTTCATGAATGTGAGAACAACAAATGTGAGACTTTTTTTATGTTTCAATAATATTTATTAATCATTATTTTTTTGTTGTTGCCTCTTTCGTTATCAATCTAAGCCAAGCGACCTAAGGAAGCATCGGAGAAAGGTATGATACTGGAGGTGTTTTGAAGTTTGGGAAAGCACATTTATTTTATTCCTCTGCTATTTAGATAACTGGGTCCCTTGCCAGCAACTACATCCCCTCCTCTCCTTTTCATTCAATGCCTGAACATAATAATTTTAATCCTACCTGGAAAAGCTTCCAGGGGCCACAGTTAAGCCACAGAATCAAGGCCCACCAGTGACAACTTGGAGTAACAGTCTCACAGCTCAAACTTAAAGGAATACTTATTTTTAAGGAGGTATGGACACAAAATACTTACCTTCAAATGTATTTTGGCCACTTTCTTTCTGGAGGAACTACAAACAGATTCCTTGAAATCTTCTGGAGAAGTATTAAGTTGTTTACAGAACTGGTACTGATGATGAGATTCCATGTCAGAATGGTATTTAAGATAAATCATTATGTGCACTGACAAAATTCCATTTTGTCCATGCCTATTGTCAAGCATACTGACTATTCAGGTAACACAATATGAAGAAAGTGGTCATGTTTATGTCTGTATTCCCTTACATCCCTGAGAAATTTAGTTAACCTGAATAATCCTGTTTAGTGCACTTACACCTGAGACTACCTTCATGTTTAGAACTTCATTGTGTCAACCTGTTCAGCATAAAGGGAATTAGTTTCTTCTACAAGCATAATGTCATTACTTTCAAATATGTGCTTTGAGCTGCCTTATTTAGGCAATTGTTTTTCCCAACAGCATTTTTAAAAAAAAAGAACCCTTACAATTTGCTCAAAAAATTGCTCTTGATACTTTACATGCTTCAGTCCACTTGATAATTTCATGCAGCATGTGTTAGAACGTTCTTGAAAAGCTAATAGGCTCTCATTGGAGTCTCTCTCCCCCAGATTGCAGTAGTTGAGGAAGATGGGCGTGAAGATAAAGCCACAATCAAATGTGAAACTTCTCCTCCTCCAACACCCAGAGCTATCAGGATGACTCATACCCTTCCTTCTTCATACCACAATGATGCCAGAAGGTAAGATGGTTGCACTGTGGATCAGTACTTCACAGTATACCACGTATTATTATTTTCAAATCACGTTATTTAAATATTCCAAAATGACGTGATTTCTTCTCTGTTTCTCATGTCATGAGAGAAAAAAAACCTTACCCCTTGTCTGTTGTGTGACCCTGAAAATGTTCATCAGTGCTAAAGTACATGCTGGGTATTTCTATTTTGAGGTACAGTATTGATGGCTATTGCAAGCAACAGTGCTACAAATCCTAGAAATAAAATCAGAATGCTGACTACTGTATTTTTCACAAATTGTTCTTAGCAAAGTTAAAGTATTTATTTTCAGCCTTGCCTGACAGAGGAAGTGTGTTCTTCTGTTGCTCTGTATGTTGCCAAATAATTTTAAGATGTGATTGTTCCACTTGTTGGGAGATCATTACTAAATTATAACCAATTAATTTATTTGCAGAGCTGCTCAGAAGAAAATAAAAATGTTGACATGTTATCTATTCCATTTATTTATTATCATTTTGCAGTAGTTTGCCTGCTTCACTGGAGCCAGAAAGCATTGGTCTTGGCAGTGTCAGCAGCAGTCAGGACTCCCTGCACAAAGCTCCCAAAAAGAAAGGAATCAAGTCTTCAATAGGACGATTGTTCGGTAAAAAAGAGAAGGCTCGACTTGGACAGCTCAGTAAGGAATTAGTGGTAACAAGATAAAGTCACCATTTCACTGCCATTTTTCCATGTTTAATTTTTCTTTTTTTTTTCAGTTTCCAATTCTCTCATTTTTCTGTTTTGTCTTGCACAACTTTCCCGTTAAATTTAATTGTTATCAGCAGTTATATTCGTCAAGAGCTTGCAGTGACTGTAATGTAAATGAAAGGAGAGTTCTGGCACAAATTACTGGAGTCATCTTCACTGAACCTGGTGCTTCAATAGTCTATTGAATTAGGGTAGAAATGGTAACACTGTATTCTTGAATAACCACATAAAGAGGAGGTGAGAAGTTAATAAGCAACAAATGGCTTTAAGTGGTGTACCTATGTGATACAGGAGGTCCTTGCGACTAAGTGTAGCTGCTTTTCAAATTTCAGTGTGTCAATAGATGCACTCTAGTGCCTATAGCTGAATGTCCTCAGGATAACTCTTTAGTTATGCTGCTCACAGCAGTGCTTATCTTTCTTCCTACTCCTGCCCTTTTCACTTGCCAAGACTATTTAATTCTCTTCCATTCATGGCAAAAAATTTCAACTGCCTATTTCTGTAGGATATGTCTATACAGACACATGCCAACACAAGTATCAAATTGGAATAAATGTGTCAATAAAATTGAAATACTGTCTCTTTCCTAGTCATGCAGATGTCACATAATACAGATTTGTGAGGCACTAAATTTTACTGCTTGGTGACCATGTAACACTTGCAAAAGAATTTTAAGGCCTTGCAGTAATTGTAAACACTTAAGCAGCAAGCATAAGCCTGAAATTAAAACCCTACATGTATTGTATTGCAATGTGTCCTTATCACAACTAACAAAATCATTGCTAAAGTAGTACAGAATTTATAAAAAGGTAGTACTAAGTTTCTCCTCTCTGCCTCTGAAAAACATGTATTCTTGAAAAAAAACAACCAAAAAAGCTAATTTCAATTTGTAATCTGAATTCCCTTTTTTTCCTCACTATGGAATAAATAAAAGTGTTTTATTCAATCTTTTAGATGAGAATCTATAAACAAGTCTTTCAAATACACTGTGTGCCACCATCTGCATTGATGGATAATTTTATAACTTTAGACTACATCTAAAGTTAGACTTTATTCATTCAAATTTACATTCCAGATAGCCCTTTTTTTATATACTAATGGTTTATACATAATAATCTACAATTTATCAGTAAGTCAGGAGCACAGAGGACAAAGATGCAATAAATGTGTTGGCCTTCCCTCCAGCTATTTGAAATGTGGAACAAAAGTGAATAACAGCTTCAAAGATTATCTGAGTAGCAATGATTGGACAATAGGTTAATTCGTAATACCCACCATGATTAATAATACATACGTGGAATTTGATAAAGTACATTTGTAATTCCCCATACTAGGTCATGAAATTTCTAAAAGATTATAGTGATTTGCAATTATATGATTTTTTGGAACTTCGATCCTTTAATTCAACAGTAAAGATTTCAGTATAATGCACATTTTAATTAAGCAAGTAGGTTTACTAGCAAGTATAAAACGAACAGAAATATTCTTCAGAAATATTTTTCAGAAATTATAAAGACATTGTGCAGGTAGTTTTATTTACATGTAGTTTTGCTCATCTTAATTTTTAACATATCAAAAGAAAAGCATTTGAGTGGCTGTTTCCATTCAATGGCAGTATCATAGAATCATAGAATATCCTGAGCTGCAAGAGACAAGGAATATTTAAAAAGAACAGTTGTGGTAGTACTTGACTCAATTTCACAACAGATGTGCTAGCTGTGCAGCTATAAAATTAGGAGTTCTATTTGTGGTAAGATACTACATCACAGAAATTTATATAGCAAGTCTTATCACTGTGGCACTGCAAAATATTTGTATGGTTTTCATAACCTAAATTTATTTGCAAAATCAATAAAATAATGTATTTTATTTGCTTGTTTAAATTCAACACTCTAATTTAATTTAGACATATGCTCCTTATGTTCTTTAATATGGAAAATACCTTTTCTTCTAAAAAATATATTTATATACTCTTTTTTAAGAAACAGTATTGAAACTTCTACATTTGTATTACTAAGTTCAACAGAGCCATGCTATTAACCAAAATATTTCCTTGCTCTCTGCTCCTTGCAAAACCCTGAAATTATTCCTTTTCAACTCCTAAACTTGCTAGAATTTTGTTATTTTATTATTTGATAATTTTACCTTCTCTGATAAACCATTAGCATTGTTGTTCCAAGCCAAATTCATGCCTTAGGAGACCTTTCTCAGAATCAAGGTGCAAGATTTCTAGATTCTTCAAGTTTTCTCGAAGTTCTTGGAGAAGGCAAAAGGAATGATACAGGAAGCACAAGTGCACTTTCCTTCTTTCCTTCTTTTCTTCTTTCCTTCTTTTCCAGTCTTCTCTCACTTGACAAACACCACATTAGACACTTAGGTATTCCTCTCATCTTACATTTTAAGTATTCTAGGCCCTAAAACAAACAATACATTCCAGGCATTTTTTAGAGTTGCCCAAGCAAGCTGATCTGCGTGGCAAATGGAAAGGTCAGCTTGTTAGGAAGCTTTTATTGTGGCCACATCCAATACAAGGTACACCCAGTTATTTGAAGTCTAGATGTATTGGGATATTGGAGACATTCATCATGCCTAAACTACTGTCCAACCTGTAATAAGCCCTCATTTCACTGCACTCATTCCATCTCTATCCAACATACTGAGGGCTGCTCTCTCAAAGATGTGGTATGTTGATTGTTTGCTGAATGAAAAATGTTATCCAGAGTCAGCAAGCATTTAATGAGATTCTATAAGACTTGGACAGACAGATGAAGTAAACAGAAGTATGTATTTGTGTTTTCTGCATTTCTGTGATGCATTTGTGTCATTTTCATTGTGAGACTAGTGGAATTAATGTTCTTTTTTAATAAAATAAAAATCTGTCTAGACAAACAAGAGTGTTAAAACAGCACCTGCTTTAAAAGAACAGCTTGAACCCAAACTTAGAAAAGTTTATGTCATTGACATGATGCAGTAGTAGGTTTTGTTCTCCCTTGGTTGAGGTGCAAGTAAATCAAACTTGTAAAAGGCTGTGGTGCTATTTCACTACATAACATTTATGCATTATTTTATTATTAAAATCAACGTATCGGGACAGAAATATTTTAATTTATTTTGTGCTTTTTTATTATGCCCGTGCCCACTCTACAATTGTTCACTATCCATTAGCTGTGAAATAAGAAGCTGCCGTTTTCGAGTCAATCATCAATATTTTACCATACTGTTGTCTTCTTTCTTGTGCCAGTTACACACCTTCCAGCCTGGAGCACTGGAGGAGTGCTGCAATGCCTCTGTCTGCACACATTAAAGTGGGAGTGAGAGGACAGTGAGGAGCCAGGAGCCTGTACTGAGCTCCATGAGCAGGTCCCCTCTTCTTGAATCAGGGCAGTGATAAAACAGTCAGACCATTTTCCACTTCTGCACCAGGAAAGTCGTGTCAGTGGCCATGTGGATCATACCAGTCATGCCCTTAGTTTATAAAATTATCTTATTTTGGTCCACATGTCCTTGCTTCCTGCAAGCTACCTTTGTCAGTCTGTGTAAGTTATTCAAGTTCCCTTGACTTTGACAGGATTTAGGTGCCTACAAGACACCTCCAGGGAGATGTAGGAGGCTTTTTACTTCTCTGACAGATTCTTTCTGTCATCTCTGGGAGTTTGCAGGGATAAGGACATCTAAGACTCTCTATGAAAGCAAAATGAAGACTTCAGCGCTACTGCATTAGGTGATGCTGTATTACAGCAACAGTAGAGAGACAGTTCCAGAGAATGCAATTTCATTTGTACATTTCTCAACTAAGATTAAAAAATGGTGAGAGCATTTCTTAGCACCACGAGACTGAGCTTTAGGAGGCAAATTAAAATAGGCAAAGGAGATAAGGGTGCTCTTGTCATACATTTCTGCTAAACACGAGGAGAAAACATTTTTTTTCTTCTACTACTTTTTCCCATGTAGTAAATGCTTGTCAGAATTCACTTCTGCAGGTGATAGATGTTCTCCACAAACACCAGATGTCACAGCTTAAGGAAGCAAACATAGATGATGATGGTGGGTGGGAGAGGAATTGAAGGGTTGAGGAGGGGAACAACAGGAAGAGAGAAAAGGGAAAATATGGTGGGGGTTTTGTTTGTTTTGTTTTCCAGGAGGTTACATGGAAACAGAGGCAGCAGCTCAGGAATCTCTGGGATTAGGCAAACTCGGAACACAAGCTGAAAAGGACAGAAGACTAAAGAAAAAGTGAGTACTGTTTTTATGTGACTTTTTGGCTGAAACTTGATTCAAATATCAGGATTTTTATTGTTTTACTCAACTCTGGAATGAGAAGCAAAGACCATGTACTATGGCATTTTAGCAGTGATGTTGCTTTCCAGTGTAAAAGTTTTTAAAGCAGCATATAAAATATAAGGGAAAATATTGTCTGTCAGTTGTACAATAGTATTTTATTTGTGAAAGAACATAAATTTATGAGAGACATCTTTCCATTTCACATTGTCATTAATCCTGTGCTTTTTGCCTTCTGTGCAATTCTTAAACAATAGACATGCATTTAATGACTCCCTATGTAGATTTCCTTTTTCAAAAGGGTGAAAAACCTTTTTTGTATTATCTAGTGAACAGACTGTTATTTCTGTTTCTAGATGTCAAAGGCTCCCCATAAACCCTACCAGCTTCACTTTCTTTATGCCTGACAGCAAATGCAGACAATAAGAAACCCAGCTTTTTGTTTGCATCAATTATATAATAATTTAATGCTGTCTTTCATGTGCCTCCTTGTAAAAACAGTACACTGACTCCTAGCAGCTGCCAGGAGCTATGAAGAACTAATAAAATAAGGCTGCAAACACAAAAGAGACCTCTTGGTAGCATTGCACTCCCAGTGTAATTAGAGGGTGTCAGAGAAAAAAGGTAGTACTTAAAAATGACTTTTCAAATTAATTCTGTAAACAAATAGATTTATTTTTCATCCATAATCATTAACTGTAATGCTATTACTTGGATTCTGAAAGCCTAATTTTTTTAATTTTCTGGGTTTTCAGGTTTGTTTCAGTCTTTTAAGATTCCTTTGCTGAGTTTCAGGAGAATTTGCAATTCTAACTTGAATGTTTGAGCTTCTCTTTAAATTTTTGTGTTGAATATTTTTAATCACTGCATTACTGTCAAGCACTTGATGAAATATAACTTTAAATGTACACATCCATGTAATGTACAATGGCAAGCATTCTGTTTCAATCAGCCTCAATTTAGCAATTAAGGATAGAGAAATAGTCACTGCGCTAGCTGAAAGAGAAGAAACGTTTTAAATTCAATTAGGAAACTCACAATAGCATTCACAAGGATGTTACAGTTGATGAGTCTTGTCCCTGTATTTCTTATCTATACATTTTTATCACTAATCAGTAATTTTGGAAATATATGGATGTAGATTATGTTACCATGCTTTTCTTTACTAAATCTTTTTACCTTTACTAAAGGCATCATTGAGACCATCACGACCATTCATAAAGAATATAATTTAATTTTCAGCAGCCTTTTTTTTTAAGTCCCAATGTACCTTCCAGTTCTGAGGGCTGAATGTATCACAGTATTGAAATCACTTTGAAGGGATAAATGCATTCATTTTGTTCACTTTCTTATGTGTTAGCTCATTAAACCAGCACACACAGCTGCAAACATGACATGACTACTTCATCTATAGATTGCCTACCAAATTTTGGGTCTGTAAATAATGGGTGTGCAGATAATCTGTGACTAAATTTCTGTCCAATCTCACACAATCCCATGCTTTCTGCTTTTCAAGTCTTTCCTTTTTTTCTCCTGTGTCTGTCTGTCCTTGGTTCTTTATGGATTAGATATAATCAAAATATCCTCTGCTGGAAGGAAAGGGATCTTTTCTTTGTGACTATGACTATTCTATTAGTCTGAACTGTATATTATATGAAGTATATGTTCTACAACTACTTAATGAAGAAATTTAATTTTCCCCTGTTCTTTTTAGGGTTACCTGTGTTCATAGTCTCACTTTAGAATCCTCAGAACTGCAGAAAGGTTAACATACATTGCTAGTTTACATACATATGTATGCATATGTGATATTATTGTAGAGGAACCATAATAAAGGAAAAAAAAAGTAACCTATTGGGTTATAGATATACAGGAGGTTCTACTGAATTATGGATTATGGTAGTCATTAGGGTGCCAAGCTGTCAAGAGTGTAGGAGAACTAACACCTCCTTGTAAGAAATGCAGTCAGAGAATCACAGAATGGGTCAGGTTAGAAGGGATCACAGTGGGTCATCTGGTCCAACCTCCCTGCTCAGCAGGGTCATCCCAGAGCACATGGCACAGGGTTGTGTCCAGATAGTTCTTCAATATCAGTCACTCATTTGCATGTCTTACCTTGGAAAATATTAAATTGAGACAGTCCAGAAAGTAATTTAAATAAAAAGTTTGTTGCAGTATGTCACATTTCTTTGTACTAATTCTTAACAACACCTAATTCCCTCGGGAAGCAGCTTTGCCATACACACAGTAGGTGCAGGATTACTGAATTGTGTAGTGCAAGTGAGGATACCATGCTATGTAACATTAATGGTGGTGGGGATGTGTGGGAGGTCTTTGTAAGACATAATAAGAGAAGTCTGAGAGTCATTTTCTGGCTTGTGATGCAGCAGTAGCAACTATGGCAGTATAATTTAAGTTCAAGTGGTTGATTCCTCTTTTACTGCTAAACAAATCTGCTCTACAGACCCTGCAGAGAGTGAGCACAGTAACTGGAATACAGAGCAGAGAAATTCACCTTGTAAGCATTTCTAAGTGACTTGGATTAGGACATAAAAGCCCAAGAGAACCAAACCCACCAGTAGGATAGTTAAAAGGTATGCTAAAGCTGTGAGGTACTACTTTGTATTACATTTCAGGTCTGAGAGAGCTTTATTTTCTACAAAACAGGTATAATACCACATACTGAAACTGTGCTTCTTTTGACACATGCAAGTTAGGTGAAATGAGCCCTACTAAGTGCTCAGCAAACATCTGAGTTGAGTCGTGGTTCTGGTGCAGGAAAGCAAGGATTCTTCCCTTTCTGTGAAACAGAGGTCAGATTCATCACATATGTGATCAACATATGAGTACTGTGATAGTAGTCATCTGTTGTGTTCTGCAGCTGCAGGATCACATCCAGAGAAGCTGCAGTTACCAGGAGCCAGCATGGGACACCAACAAGATGGGCTTCTGTTCATGAAACCATTTATTCAGCATGGGAACAAACTCAGATCCAGAGACAGTGAGCCCCAAACAGAGGCAGGGAGATGGGTTTTGAGGAACAGAACCAGGGTGGAGTTCAGGGTCAGGGACCACTAGGAACACAGCAAGGGAGAAACCCCAGGGGCTCAAACCCATCAGAACTCCCTGGGCTGACACCCCACGAGGGATCTGGGGTGGAGCAACTCTTCCAGGCCTCACAGGGCATATCCTCTAAGGCAGAGGATGGAATTCCCTCTTGCCCATGCCTCTCACTTCAACAATACTTATGTGAAACTAAATCTTTGTCCCCCTGGGCAGGGGCACCTCACAGTCATCATCTTCACCAGACTCTGCTATTAGCTTTGATTTAGTTTGGATAGAAGTCATTATAAAATAACAGATTCCTGTTAAAATTATATCCATGGTATCTCTTAACTGAGAAATACTTAAAATGCTAAATTTCTCCTTTTGCATTTTTGAATGTATTTAATTTCATCAGTAATTCCACAAAGATGCCCCTTCCCCAGGGATGAAGATGCATGACATTTCAAATTGCCAGGTGCTGCAGCAGCAGGTTCTAATGGTCCATCAGGTGTCCTGGGCACCTGCTGCCTCAAGCAAGCGTGGCATGGAACACACTGCAGTGTTATAGTGCTTTAGCCCAATTTGTTTGTGTGCAATCAGGTACTAAATAATACATTTCACTCTGAAAAGTGTAATGAGAGAGTATGGTAATTCTGGAGACCAGTTCTCTCTCTGGTGATTACAGTGTCATTAACCTAAATTTCAAGGTTTCCCTGCTTCTTGTTTAGAAGATGCTATTTAGATGTAAAATTTCTTTCAGTTTCAATTGATTGCTTAGACGTCATTAAAATGTAATTAACAGTTTGTCCCAATGATATGCTAGACCTTTATAAACCTCCAACAAGAGTGTCTATTCATCCAAAATTTGGTTATTGCAGTAGATTTATTAGGAACAAGTCTTACTCTTAAGGCATCAAAGAGAAATTAAGGAAGCTGCATAGAATTTTTAAATTATACCAAACATCTCTTAGAAGCTGAAAAGATGAATTTAAGTTGCCCGACTCATGTTTTGTGAAATTAGGTGATGTTGGGATGTATATGTATTTAATTTTTATTATTTTATTATTTAATGGACTTTGTATTTCACTTCACTTGTTCTATATAAAATGTGGAGAGGTTTTGTGTATAGAATCTTCTGCTTTTTGCCAGGAATTTCAGAGTCTGTTTGCCTAAAGAGTAACTTGTTCAAGAAAACTCAGGGTTTAGGATTACAATTATGACACAGATACTGTCTGTCACAGTTACATTCATTTGAACCCCCCAATGATTTAAATAGTTTACACTCCTCTAAACCATACCTTTTAATTAAGATAAACTCTCCAGAAGGCACCCATCAGACCATCAGAAAATGAAGAATGGAGCTTTTCTCGTAGTATTTTTTTTCCTAGTGATTAACCAGTCTCCCTCTGGAAAACAGAAAAATGGAAAATTTCCACTTCTGAATTTTGTAGCTGACTCCAGCTACCATTCTCTGTGACTGTGTGTGCACTATCTCATATGGTCATGACATCATCCTTGGTGGGTGCTGTGCAAACTGTGCACAATGACTTGGCCTTGGCATTCACACAGGGTTGTCATGATCGCCCAAGCCACAGCCCAGCATGGGAAGTTCAGATCAGTCCAGTTTCTACTGAAACTTGTAAAGGTTCCTGAAAGGTTCAGGTAGAGTCATTGTGTCCTCTGGAACAGCAGAAGTTGATCAGTGTGTGTCCCACAAGACAATTCATACATCAGAAAATGAGTAGATAACTCTGTGGCTAAAATAAAACTGTATTCCCCTTAAAAATGCATATCTCCACTGACCTCATCTCAGGTGACAAATTAAGGCACTTAAGAGAAGCTGTATAAATGTTTTACTGTCTTTTTCACTAAAATACCATACACTGAGCCCTTTATGAAAATATTCTTTAACAATGAACTCAGCCAAGCTTGAAAGATTATCAATAAATAGAGCTGTGTTTGCTTCTCTTTTTGCTATAACTATCTGAGTGAACACCAATTCTTTTCTCCTTATCCACAGTTTTACTCAGGAATGATGTCAAATCACCCTTAGCTAAAAGCTTCACTGGTGACAAATACAGCTCTAAAGAGTCTTGCTTCGTACAGTGCAGTATGGCTCCAAGGGCCAGGAACCCTTCTCAAATGTAATGTTTGATGTGATCTGCAGCAATATGCAATGTAGCAGCAAATAGGTGTCTCTCTGAAGAAATACAAGACATATGTGTGTCATATGTTCCGTGAAAGTGTGTAATGATTGGTCACAGTCACTGACATTTCACAGGATGTGCTGATTGTATCCCCAGTAAGGCACCAGCATAAGGCAAGGTTTGAAAGACATTTGGGTGCTCTGTAGTCCTAGATTGCCTCTCAGAGATGGATTTGACCTTGTGCATGCTGCCAGTGCAGTGGGAGATGGGCTTGTGCCATCCCTTCTGCAGCAATCCCAAGGACAAATTATGTTATAATTCTATATTTTGTACAAATTATTACAAAAATCCCTGAAAAAGAATTCACTTGCAAGCCAGCTATTCTGGATCATGATGGCAGGGCCCAAGTCCAGAAGCTGATAAATATCCCAGTTTATTAATAGGAGTCCAGAGCAGCACTTTAGCCTCACTTTTTTTCTTCAGTTTTGTTTGATTTGACTTTGGACAAGAATATATTAACTCTGTATTTCCAAAACAAGCTTAAGATGTGAGGTTTATATTTTCCAAGGAAAATCAAAGTAAACCATTCTTTCCCAAGAACCTGGTTTTGGGGGGATTTACTCCACAGCTACAAGTTTTCGTTTGCCAGATACAGCTTCCTGGCTTCAAGTGCATTGCAGGAGAGCCTTGATGTGCCAGGACATGTACATGTTCTTACATACATGAATAGACACTTGTAAAATCAAGACCTAAGCAATTCTCATATGTAAAATTATGGTGTAAAAGGAGATTCGTACGATTCATAGCTTTATAATTAACTTTGCAGAGAGAATTGCAATGCTGTTAAGTCTCAGCTGACTACATGTTAAACAGCAGGAACACTGTATGAACAGAAGAGCATGTTGGATTGACTCTTCTTTCTACTTAGGGGGAAAAAAAAGGAAGGATAAATGTTGATAACCTCATTACATAAACAGACTTTCATTTTTTTAATGAGCAAATCCAAGTTTTAGATCTCTGTCAACAGGCAACTTGAAAAAATATCTAGATAGACTATTTTGTGGAATTTTGTGGATTATTTTGTTTGAAACACTGCAGTTGTCATGTAATTTCTTTTGAATCCACATGATGCCCCTTTAATTAGGTTAATTAATTAGGTTTCATTTGTGTAAGTGCAATTAGAATTTGATGTAGCGTATTTGTGACTACAAATAATTTCTGTCCTCTGCAGTATGCAAATAGCTGTTTCTAATGATTTTTTTTAATTGTACATGTTTTAGAAAAATGAATCCAGTCGGATTAATTAGGGTATTTTTCTTTGCCATCCACCTATATGCTTAATGCTTATTAAACACTATTGCATCTTAAACATATGCAATTTATTTTTTGATGTAGCTCTTCACAATACAATGCCTTTTTCACCTCCAATCCTTTATTTTCTGAATCTTCAAAGGAAAATTCAAGTTTTGCATTTAATTTCATTCCTTCCTACCTCATCTATGAAAAACTCCCTGATGTTAGAAGCTTTTAGCCTGATCTTTAGGGGTTTTTTCCTCCCTTCTAGCAAAATGTGTTCCTGTTTTCTCATTCTGGTGAAGGAAAGAGGTGTTCAGTATTCTGATACGCAGTTTAGGATTGTCTGCTGTGTGCAGTGTGGTTTTCTCTTGCCTGGATCAGTGTCTAGTCTTCGAGCCACATAAAGATGAACTTTATTTTTAAACATAATTCCTTCAGCAAATATTTTAACTGGAACACTTTCAAATCATTAGCCAGTCAAAGCTTTTGCAATATTAAAAATGTGTCTTGCTCTTACATTGATAGTCGGAGCCTTTTTAGCTTTGCAAATGTAAAGATAAATGGGTATTTATTTTGCAGAGGAATATTAAACCTTTCTTAGATTATTCTGAGGATGAAAAAAATGATACAACATATTATATTCCATATCTAATGCATACTTTAAAGATATTTTACTTTTTACAATAATACTTTTGAAAAAAATAATGTTTTTATCCTTTGCCAAGTTTTTAAAATTCTCTTCCTCATAAAAGATGAGACTATTTATATCAGAAGATTGCAACTTTTTAATCAAACATAAACCCCCAAGGCTCTAGTCCCTGTCTTATCTACATATGTAAGTCTATCCTCTGCAATTTGGAACTTCAGGATAAATATAAGCTTATACCCTGATGCATGCAGCTGGCTTTCTAAACAACTCTCTCCAGCAGATATAAGTATCCTATCAGATTAACTGTAGAATTAGGATTTAAAGGAAGAATGGGTAAAACACAGAAGAATGGGTAAAAGACAGCAGAGTAAAAAATCCTACACAACTTATATATTAATATATGTCTAAGCAAAATGTAAGAAAATTGTGATAAATTCGTTGTCTTATGACAAAAAAAATCCCAAACCATCAAAACACCCTGAAGATAAAACCTAGAATTAAAGGTCCATTTTTTCCCTGCTGTATTTTACTATTCTCTAACAAGGTGCTCAGGAAGTGACAGAATGTCTCTTGATCTTTTACTCCTTTCATGGCCTTCAGGTCCCATAAATCATCCCCCAGTGACTGCAAACTGCCAGCTTATTAAAACTATAAGAAAATGACTTGCATTCCAGTCAATCCCCCTGCTTCTCTCTACACATACGCAAAGGAGTACTCAGTGGAAAATATAATAAATAGAAGTCCTGTTTCAATATACTCCAAAAGGCTCAAAATTAAAAGTTTTTTAAGCAAAGGTGATCACATCAGTCTTTACAATTAGCTCAGTAACAAATGAGCATGAATTGTGAATGCATGTTCAATTCTAGTGCTACTTCCATCAGATTTAGTAAGTTTTTAATAGTTCTCTAGTACTTATATTACATACCTTTGTTGTCCTTCCCTTCCTTAATCTTCCTGTCTTAAATTTTCTGTGTATAAATTTGCCATTTGTTTCCATCTACTTTTTGTGCCACACTTTCTCTCCTCTCTCTCAGCTGTTCTGCTGATCTTGCACACATGAAAACGAAATCTAAGTCCTCAAAAACAGTGCCCTTCTGAACTGACTGAAATGTCTGCAACCTCCTCCTAGCTAATCACAGCAAAGGTTCTTCATCTCACATTTATCACAACAGTATCTACCAAGCATTTCTAGATCTGTGTAAATAATTTGTTCATAGAAATGTACTATTTTGAGGTTTCTGTTTTGTTTTTTAAGATGGCAATTAATGGATGATGTAGAAGGTTTATTATCAGCAATGACATCCTAATTTCTTCTCCATATACTGTACCTATTGGCAATAATATGTTACCTAGAGGGCAAATCATTCATACCAGTGTTGTTCCTGATGATCTAGTGTTAGTATGACTGCTGAAATTAAAATGCTTCCCGGAATAAATAGCCATTGAAAATGTTAGTCACCTGTGTACATGAAATCTGCATGTTAAAAACAAACAAGAACCAAACCAAATTTTACACCAATTCTAGGACATTTATGATTACTATGAGATGTTTTGCTAAAATATTATTAAAGTGCATATAGGAAAGAAAACCTTGGTATGTAGTCCACTCAATTTTACTGCCTATCTGTGGTAATTTGGTTAAATCCACAGGTTTGAGATTATCAACATTTTTGGGATTACGCAAAATCCCTTATGAAGTTATTCCAATCTAAGCAAAAAGCTTTGATTTGAAAACCTACTCCACATTCGCTGTGTTTACAGATCTTTGGCATGAATATGTATTGTAGATGGAACATGTGCTGTACTGAGTGGTACCTAATTAATAGCCAACGTGAGTTCAATGAAAATCTCATTTTGACTATTTCATTTTGCTCCTCACAAGAGCACTTAAGTTTTCTAAAGCACTGAAAGACCAGTTACAAAGATTTCTGTAGTTATAATGGTGATATAATTTTATTTATCATACTATTTATTTTTTTTATGGACTACTATATGTTCATTAACATTTATGTGCTTTTTTTTTCCATTCATCTCTCTTCATCTCATGAAAAGCATATCTGGGTAAGTTAAAATGCCATGGCTGCTGAACATACTAATCTTCAGCACCATGTTTATTTTCTATGTTTTATTACTACTTTTTTTGTTTTTCCGTGAATCTTATGTAACAAATCCATGCAGAAAACTGAATCCAAGCAAAAAAATGAAAGCTTTCAAAGTATTCAGAATAACAGTAAACCTTGAAAGCGTACACAAATTTAGGTCAGGACTTGCTCCTAAAGTGCTTAACAGAATGAGTTAACTACTTGGAGAAAACTTCTGACATTTTTTTTAGAAAATAAACACATTTTGAGAGGTCTAAAGTACATAATCACAAAGACATTCAAGAGTTAATGTCACTGGAAAAATTATGAGTTTAACAAATGCTGTTAAGGCATAAATTCTGTTTAATTAAACCACGGAAGACTCACAGGCTAAATTTTTTTTTCTGTTTGAACCCTCATGCTGTTGTTTCAAAGCAAACATATATGCAAAAATATTTTATTTGTGCATATAATTTTACTGTTTTCTTTTTCACCAGTTCATTTTTGTATTTGTTTTAGTTTTTGTAGTTGTTAACCTGATATCAGGTTTAAAATCTTCATCTCTTCTTTAATCTATTGTAGAAATGCTATTTTTTCCTGAATAGGAACTTGCAGACTTAAGGAGGAAATTTCAGGACGTGAAAGGGTACAAAACTTAGAGAAGAAGAGTTGCCACATTAATTTAGAATATGTGATTATGAAACTGCTTTATAAAAATAGATTTGATAGCATTTGATCAGCCTGGGAACACTGAGGGTTTCTAATGTAGTACAATACACACAAGATTGCAAGACTATGTATGATGCAAGTCTGCTTATTTCCCCAGCTGTTTTATTTGGTTTTCAATAGAAGCCCTCTGAAGCTCTGTTTGTCAGAGTCTGTCTTAATCATTCCTGAAAGTGCTTCAATTAGCTTAATAAACATCTTTAGAAAAAAAGGATGCTGCCCTTCAGTTTGCATGCAGCTTAAATGTACACCTAACATGGAATATCCACAGCACTGTTACTCTGTTATCTGGGATACTGTGGAATTTACACTTCCTTCTTCTATAGATTTAAAAACATTCTGATTATTAGTTGCATCTTGATTTCTCTATTTCAGTCATTTTTTTTCTGAAAACTCCTTAAAGTTGAATACAAAACATTTTGTTAAACATTGGAAATTTAATTTTGTCTGTTGTTTCCAGTCTAACCTGATAATTGGTATCAGAAAGGAGAATGAGGGTTTCAAATAATTTAAAATCCAGATCACTTAAGTATCAAAGTTCAAACAGAATCTGGCACAGTTTTTAATTAGTCTTTAAGTCAGTTGGATCCTTTCAGATTAAATGAAATCTGTACTGTGTGGCAATATGAAGTCTTGAATCTCTCCCCAACCTCCCACTCCTCTTCCTACATTAAATCCATTTATATTCTTGCAGAAAATAAACATATAAAATGTAACTTGTTATTTTTATTAGATATTATTAACTTACACAACTTCAGCTCTTATTTTTTCATGCAATGTCCTGACTTTCAAGATTCTGGCATGTCTTAAGTAATTAGCAAATGACAATAGAAAGGATAAAATCCAATTCCAGTTTAATTCATTAGAAATCTTGTCTCCAGGTTTTTTCAGACTTTGAAGGTATGTTAGATTTCGAGTAGCAGATGTGCTTAATCTTACCTTGAAATCATAGGATTACTCAGATAATACAGCATATTTGGTCTGTCTTTTCTGTCTGGTTCTCTTCCAGAAGCCTATCGTGTACAGTACTCTGTTTTAAATGAAACATTTTAATATTTTTGATGATAATAATAATCGTAATAATGTCTCAATAATCAGAGGACGTGCTAGGTAAAAATTTCAATCTGTTTTCTGTTTGAGAAAATGTCTGTGACTAAAGGCCATTTCACAGTCTAAATTACCCATTAGCCAAATTTTTAAATCAATTCTGTTTGTGTTTTATGAACATGATCCGGCTCTTGACTTCACTGCGCCTCCTTTTCAATTTATCTCATATTTGTGACTATGTTTTAATTAAATGACATTATATATTTTTGTTCAGCATAAGATCCCTGAGGTCATTTCGTGTGAACCCTATTAGATATCAGAGTAAATCCTATTACTTGCAGAAATACGAAGATCTGTGTTGAAATATTGTTTACGTTTCACCAAGACAATGTCTGGACAATGTCGTGTATTGCACAGAGTGTTTGCATTACGTGTCTTGGAAATCCTCAGCTGTCATTGCCTGTTTGCTTTGTGGGGGGCAGCCTTGTCTTCATGAGGAAAACTCAATGCTGCTGAATGCCATGCCTAGTCAAGATAGCATTAACTTCCTACACAAATTCTAATTAAAGATTATTAATGTTTTTAATAAAGTTCATTGGGCTTTATGCAATGGATTGATGGCAGCTGCTGCTACAGAGCCAGAATTTCCCTGGTACCAGAGAACACACATGAAGTAGATTTGCAGGATAGTAACATAATTTTGCTCGTTATTTCTGCCTTCCTGTTGCTTCCATGAACCTCTCCTGTCCAAGGGATTACTGAAGCACTCCAAAGTCCCCATGCTATGAGACAGCTGTGCTCTCAGGTTTTTAGGTTGATCTGGGCAGTCAGTTGTACCTGGCTCATGGATGAATGGTGCTGAGACAAATTGGCCCAGTGTCTTTAGCAAGTCATTTCAGGGAGGATTAAACATCAGAAGTCAGTGCTAGGGAAGCAACTCTGCCTCTCCAACACACAGCTCCACAACACAACTTGACATGGTGTCATTTTTCTTTACAGTCTTTGATACAAATGTGAAAGCAGCCCACTTTATGAGGCACTCCCTAAAACACAAAAAAAGTGTTTCTCAAATTTTGGATGGATGTTAAACAGTTGATGTTCATGAAATTTCCAGGCTTTACAAAACCAGGCTCAGAGTAATGATATATTTTAAATAGCATATTCCAGTTACTTCCATAATATCTCCAGGAAGAGGATTTTGTTCTTTAACACTAATAATGTTATCTTTAAAAATATGGCTTTAATTTGGAATTCATTCCAGTGGTAGTAAGTGGTTTAAAGCCCTATCTGCAAAGTAATGGCATTTCTAGTAATGCCTAATTAATGTCAATTTTTCCTTATCAGCTTGTTTTCATATGCTGCCAAAAACCTAAGCAAGCATGGAAATAATTGCATTTTAATTCCCTTCCTCTTCGCCAATGCAACATGGATGCATTGTAACATACTCTTCTGACAAAGTCTGAGGAGGGTGAAATCCCCAATTCCCTCCCAAAGAACCTTCTAAATTAGACTGGCTGTATAATGCTTTTCATGTTCCCCTGTGTTCATACTGAAGGGAAGAGGGAGTGATAAGCTCTAGGGTGTTCGTCTCTTCTTTCTCCTGTGATCAATTGTATGTTTTTGCAAGGAAAATTGAGCTGCAGTTACCAGTGTTTTGCTTTAGGGTTTTGCTTTCAGGAAGCCAGTGACTATATCCCATAAGGACAACTGTAGACAACATCCTGTCCATTCTAAAATATTTTCTATTCCAAAACAGGTCACTGGATTCCTTTTTCAAGTGATTTGCACAATTGGTCAAAACACTGCATATTTTTTCCTACATGATTGTTTTAACTTAATGAAAGGGTGGATTTTTTTTTTTTTTCTGTAGTGCTAGTCCGTATTACCAAAAAAACCCCAAACACACCATTCTTTAGAGGTTTCACTGACTGCCAGCTAAAGAATATATCCTGTAGTCAAAAATGGAAATTCTGGGTTAAATTTTGGTTTATAAACTGAAGGTTCAGATCTCCTAGTTTGTATTAAGAAGTAGTCAAAGACTAATATTCCAAAAGTAAATTATAATGTCAATAAACTTTAATATTGCGGTGCTGTTTATTATTCTTTTATAAGAATCATCTGAGGAAGAAATTATAAGTTTTGAAGCATTAAATTCTTCTTAAGTAAACAAAATATTCTAAAAGCCCTTTTACTGTTTTTCTGCATCAGTGAGAGAGGCACAGCCCTTAGGATGGCTATATTTCATGTGCATGTCCAAGTGCAGGATTTTTAACTTTATGCTAAAAATATTTTCAACTCAGAGAAATTTCCTTCTACATGCAAAGACCATTTGGATTATGTTTATCAAACTGAAGGCTTTGGCTGTAGTGCATATATATATATATATACACACACATTTCGGGCCTGGCCCCATTTTCTTCAGCCTAAATCAATAACCACAGCTCTGTTTTCCTTTAGCTCTGTGAGCCAGACTGCCTCTGAAGTAACGGAAGTACTTTCCCACTCTGGGAGAATGTATTGGTTTGAGAGACACTGGAATAATTCTAAGCCTGCACACCAAGCCTCCAGCTGGTACAAATGTGGAGTCACAGCAGACTCCCTAGAAATATGTACTTTGTAATTCCAGTATAAAGGAACTGAGTTTTTCATGGAAGTGAGACATAAAGTGCTAATACCTCTTCTCCAGGCAACTTATTTCCTGAAGGCATGAAGAGGTTGAACACCAAATCCAAGAGGCCAAGACTTCTTCCCCACCTCCTCGTAGTCCAGGTGCTGCTGCTCTCCTGCTTGGAGCAGGAAACCAGCACAGGCAAGGAAGGCTAATGACCCTCAAAGCCATTATCTCCTTTTCTACTTAGCATGTTAGCCTGCACTGCTCCTTCATCTGGGATAACTGAAGAGAGTAGCCTAGATAAAGGAGACACTGCGATCAGATTCCTCCAGGGACTCCCAGCTGCAGAAGGGGCTGCCCCCCCCGGGCTTGGGCTGCTTGTAGGGAAGGAGCACATTGTCCAGGGTTTTGTGTAGTCCATGCTCTGCCATGGGACACCAAAAGTGGCCAGGTGAGGCAGGGGCATTCCTGAAAGCTTGTCTGTCCCTAGGGATGGCCGTGCCAGCTCTCAGACCCGGTAACAGCAGGAGTCCTGCAGCCCATGTTGTAGCATCTGAGGGAGGTACAGCACCACTGCAGCACCTGCAGAACCGACCCTAAGGGAAGGCTGCAACCCAAATACCTCATCCACATGTAGCTGAGTCTGGCCATGCCTTTATTCTGCTCTCCTGAGCAGGCAGGTGAATGCCTTTCATAGGCATTCACTACATGTCTCCCTGGGAACAAGGCATTCCTGCATCCCCTTCGGCTGCTGAAGGTGACATTGTGTTCATGTACCCAGAGAACAACTTCTCATTTTACTGAGGGTTATGCTTTCATAGAAATCAAGGATAGCTCTACAGTGGCTTGGGATATCTGAGTGACAAAGGAAAGGTTGCTGCAAAGGCTGTCTGGGAGGAGAAGCTAGATCAACTTCAGTAACACTGCCAAGTATTTGTACTGCTATGTATTACTACAGCATACACTCAGAAAATAAAGCAGCTTCCTTTCTTCTAATATTCAGAGCCAGGGATTTAAAACTGAATGCAAAATCTCTTATTTGAGTTCCATTTTCTGCTAAAGCCAAATTCTCTCAGTGTGTCCCCTTGGCAATGCAAAAATCCCCAAAGCACTGCTCCTTACAAGTAAGATCACTCCATTGCTTTTATCTGCTGTGATTTTTTAGTACATATATTTGAAAGGCTGCTAAGGCGGGGAAGAATTGTCAAGGGATAGCTGAACCACAAAGGCTGTAGTAATAAAGAAGGACAGAACAAAATTGAAGCCATAATTCCAAGATTTTCATGTTATTTGGGAATGTAAGCAAATTTTAATACTTCATTAGCATAGTCCTTGTCTAATTTGTTTTTGCTACAGCTTGTTGCAGAGAGCATTATTTTGTGTTTCACTCAGTAGGGGGCAGCTGAAAACATGTTGGTAAATGCCAGGAAAAAAAAAAAAAGAAGACATTTAGGGACTGCTTTTTCTATGCCATCACCACAGTGGAAATGTCTGGTGAAATAACTGAAGAACGTTTTTAATATAGAGCATTTTCCTGGTAGTCTTGCTGACTGGTTTATACTACAACAAATATTTAATACAGACATATTAAAAGTATCAATTAAGCTTTGAGAATGGTGTTTTACATATAAACCAGTTGTAGCCCAGAAAAACTGCAGATACAGAAGCTGGTTTGGTATTTGTTCAACACAATAGAGATAGGTCTATGTGTGTGTATAAAAGTGAGAAATCACACCAATTCTGTAATTATAAAAAAAATATACATCAGAAAACCTTGTAGAATTATTTTGTATGTAATCAGTAATTTAAAAGATCCAAATATGGAACTACTAAAGATACAATCAACTCTTTAATAGCCACAGATGGCACATTTATGGTACAAAATAGCTGTAGTCCATTGACCCTAGTGTTGTGCATAGCTGGTACAGCTGCCTTGGTGTTTCAAACACAGACAGCTCTCAGATCCAGCTGCATTACTTCCATGCTTAGTTCATGTCTAGAAGTTTCCAGGTCTGGGCCTTACTGAGTCAGTACCAGACCAGAACTAAGTTAGTCTCAGGAGGAGTGTCTTGGTTTTGGAAACCCCCAGCAAGGAGTCCCTTGGTCTTCTCTTCACCAATGTCTGTTTTGATACACCTTTATTATAGGGTATACCGATTTTTTTATTGCTTTGGCTAAAGAAGAGAGAAAAACCTCACCTTTTGTCTGTTAGATGTTTAAAAGGATGTCAGGCAAAATGAAGAATTGGGAATAGATTGAGAGCACATTCAACAGGAGGAACAGCTGTATTGTTAACTGGTGTGTTCTGTGCTTTTTCTATGCCTGTCGTTGTGCTTCACTGTTATTACCCTTCACAAAAAGGCAGAGTCGCGTCTTTCTGTCCCAGACACATGGCCCCACATATTTATCATCTCTTGGTCCATTTTTAGACATGAACTTCTGGAAGAAGCTCGGAGAAAAGGTTTGCCTTTTGCACAGTGGGATGGACCAACAGTGGTTGCCTGGCTGGAGGTAAGTGTTGGCTGTAACTTGAAAATGTGAGTCACATTTGTAGACTGCTTCTGTGTGCTTCTCCTTACAAATCTTAAAAGAAATTGTTACAGCCTCTTTCTCTCCCTGTGCTGTCAGCACTACGTAGGTTTTGACACTGGATGGTGTAAATTAGAGACTAGAGCTGAAAAAAGTAAGACAGAATTACACAGTGGGATGAGGACCAGAAATGCGTTTGAATCCCAAAGTTTTTAAATCTTTGAATTACTCAGTCTCTAAATGTCTAGGAATTACACAGACATTTTATGTAGAATGATGTGCTAATTTTAATAAATGTAAAGAATTTGTAGCTTTCTGCATTTTAAAAATATAATGGAGGAAAAAACTGTTCCTCTCACCATTTTCACCTGCAGTGTGGGAGATCCAGATTGAAATCTCTCTGATTTGACAGGCATTGCCTTCATATTTGAAATCCAGTGTGCAGAGAGCTGTCCTTTATTTGGAGGACCTAAATGAATGGGTTTTGGAAATCAAGAAGAAATCAGCAGAGATATCATCAGTTTTGACAAAATAATCAATGAATGTTTTAGGTGAAGGAACTAATCAAAAAAAACTTCTACAGATGCTGAGGGGAGAACAAGGCGGAAAGTAAGAATGTTCTTATACAAATCCACAGTCACTTTTACATGGCAAGGCTGTAACACTTTAGTGCAGATACAAACTCTTTGTTGGCTCAAAGAACAAGTGTCTGTTCCTTACTATACCATGCACCTCTACCTATTCACAACTTTTCTCCTGCGTGCTGGAGCTATCATCCATTGATCATCAGTTAGACCTTGTAAAGTTTTTCCCTTCAAGAGAAAAAAGAGATCTCTCTCCAAACATTTGACAGAAATATGCTACTGAATAAATGAAAGATGAGAAATTAAAGCAGCTAATGTCCACAAAATTTCTGCTTCACATTGGAATTGCTGAAGGTACCTAATGGAAAATGAAAACTGCAGAAAGCCAATAAAAGTATTTGTATTTGACCATGGAAAATAGGATTATATCCTCATTCCCAAAAAATCTCTGTTAATATGGAACAATCCTTGGCCACTACTTTACTTTTTCATATGACTTTAAGAGTTCTGTAACCAGATTTACATCAGTCAGAAATATATAGTATTACAGTAAAGGCTGATTTGCTGGAGACATGAACATACAAAAGTCTATCACTTCTGAATACCAATGCCCTCATCTTTCAAGGTGATCTGCAGTTTCAAGCAGCTTTTGACAAGTTAAGCCCTAATGGTTTTTTTCCTTGATTCTTTTCTGAAAAATAGGATAAGTTTCCCAGTGTCTAAGAGAGGGGCTGTGAAGAGAAATCAGGACCTGTGAAGTTCTTGGGGAATATGATGACAGTAGCACAGGAGAGCTCAAAAGGAAGTTTATGTGGCAGTAGTCAATGCAGATTGAATACTGATGATAAAAAGATACGAGGATAGGAGTAGTATGTTTATTCAGTGAGCATCAGTGCATACAGTCAGCAGATGGACACTGTGTGTCTCCTAAAGAAAAATGTGTCACTTCAACTAAACAATAAAGTAAATAATAAAGGAGAAAAAGACAAAAATCTAAAAGTATACTGTGACATTTTTAAACTTTACAGAGCTTTTCAGCTTTAGAATGAGAAATATTTTAAGAATTTTGTGTTTTCTTAATTAATTCTGGAAAAGTTTATTGATCTTAATATCTGAGTTCTCTGTCTAGAATGATTTCTGTGTTCTCTTTTTAGAGACTGTTCATCTAACATAATTTTCTGCTAGACAGCTGTTTTATTGAAGAATTTACATATCTCGTTAAAGAAGTATTTTACCTAATGAGCAGCGAAGAGTTTAATCTGTTTCTGCAGGGTGAATAACTCCCAGTGTTTATGCTTTTCTGCTTTTCAAGTGCATGTGTGAAAAACATTAATGTCAAAATAAATAAGGTGATGGAATACATTTTAAAGCTATACATGGTTTTCTCATGGCCTTTTAAGTGCAGCTGGGTGTTATCTATGTAGTTTTTAGGTTTTATTTTTCGGTTTGTTTTTTTTCTTTCATGAAACTTTGTATTTTGTAACAGTTTGTTGGAATCAGACCATATTTTTAAGGTTCAGACTAGCATTGGATGGAGGGCAGTTTCTAATCCCATCAGTGGGAAGGATTTAGTTAAACACTTAACACTTAGTTAAACACAGTCATTTCTCAACCTCTGTGATACTTCAGGACTCAAAGCTTTACTCAGACTTTTACAACCTGACAGTCAAGTCTGTTTTCCCTGTGACATATAACTGACCTAACAGCTGCCTTCTATGGAAATATTTCCCAAACAAAATATAAACTTCTTAATAACCACACACTTCTTCCCCCTACTGTGTCAAATGATATTAAAATCCTTTCAATTTGTCACTGCTTTCCAGATTTTTTTGTAAATTTCCTTATTTCCTTGACCTTGTATCCTCTTTTAGTAAGCCTTTATTAAGAGAAAAAAAAAAAGGCAACCAATGGAATCAGCTAATTCTGATGGCCTACTTGAGATGCACCTAGCTAGGTCTTTGTTTTCCATTATGTTATTCCTAAAATCGCAGTGATTATGGCATTCACTGCTTTTGTTCTTCCCACAGGCTTTGCTAAACATAATGAACTTCATACCATGATTAAAAACCTCAGATATAGGTATCCCTGATATGAAATTGCCTCCTTTGGGAAAAAAGAGCTGTAGACATATTAATGAGGCAGCATAAAATGAGAAAGCTGAGAATAACAAGAATAATTCACACTCAGTAGGTCCTCTGGTACAAGGACAGAACAAGTGGTGAAGGCTGTTGCTAGTCTGGGCTAGTAAGACTAACATAAGGAGAGGAATAGCAAATAAATACATATCTTCTAAATCCACAGTGATGAATCCACAGGTGATGGAGCTGCGCTCACATTTTTCTGCTCCTTCTAACCAGTATTCCTAGCTGGGATGCGACACCGTACCAGACTGTTCCTAAATTTACTGTAAAGTCTGTCCCTGATAGGTTGATTGTTTGAACTGGACTTGGTTAATTTCTACTCAGAAAATAAAAGCTGAGAAATGTAAGATTGTGCCCCTTGAGTATACTACATTAAAAAAAAAGCCATTTTAGTACAAAAGTGAAAAAATTACTTGATTCCTCCTAGATGTTTTTCTGTACATAAGACTATCGGATAGGCAGTAACACTGACTTGTGCCTGTACTTGGTCATTAACAAACCTGGGAAAGGAGTAGCCCAGGGGATGGAGGCAGCTCTAAAAATAGTTCAAAGCATGCCTTGCTTTAAAGTTCTGATTTCAGTAAAAGCAAAAACAATTCACATGAAATCGTGACAATTTCAAAGGTTCTGAAACAATTTTGTTGTATTAAAGACCATGATGTTCATACTCATTAGTGTGTTATCATGCTTATTCAGAAGGATAGGTGCCCTGACAATTAATTATTTAATATTGGTCATTAATTAATTGGTTATTAGTGGTCATGACACCAAGTCTGACAGAGTTTAAGAAGCTTTTGGACAGCACTCTTGGCACATGATGTGATCCTTGAGGCTGTTCTGTGCAGAGCCAAGAGCTGTGCTTGATTGTGCCGATGGTTCCCTTCCAATTCAGGATACTCTATGTTTGTAATTTCGTTTGGGAAATGAAGCAGTGCTTTGGATGGAATGTCCTTTCTCTTGACAGCTCTGGCTAGGGATGCCAGCCTGGTACGTCGCTGCCTGCCGTGCCAACGTGAAGAGTGGAGCTATCATGTCTGCCTTGTCCGATACTGAGATTCAAAGAGAAATTGGAATCAGCAATCCCCTTCATCGCCTAAAACTCCGGCTGGCAATCCAGGAGATGGTATCTCTGACAAGTCCATCAGCACCTCCAACGTCCAGAACAGTGAGTCCTGTTCAGCTAACCTTTCCTCTCCCTACTTCACTCTACAGGAGTCTGCAGAAAAACTTTTGTAGCATCAGAGTGACTCTATGATAACACACACTTCACAATCAGTGAGAACTGTCTAATAAAGGCTCAGAACTACCTGTTCATCACCAGCTTGATTGTTGATTGCTGATTTTTTTTTTATCAGATATTCTTATATTTTTTTAAGTCATTGTTTTGATTATCCTTGATGTTATCCAAATCAGTATGGAGCAACTTATTTGTAATTTTGCCTTTATTTTTGCCTTTCTGTTTCTTCAAATCATCAGTACCAGCCTAATCAGATTGCGTTTCTCTTTTTTGTTTGTTTGTTCTCTTTATTTCTTTTTTTGGGGTGGATTAGGAGGCATGTGTTGGGAGAGGTTATGTAGGAACAGGGATTTTTAGTCTTTTTACCATTTCCCCTTTTTGCACCCTTTCAAATGTTATCTAACGTAAGTCAGCTGGATTTAGGTTCTTCATGCTTTTAAGAGAAGCAATGATTGGAGGTGAGAGGGGAGCATCTGGAAAGCAGAAGTGGAGCCTGTGCATCTAGTGAGGAAGAGAAAGTGGTGGCAGAAAGGAGGGAAGCAAGTAAAGATACACAGAGATACAAGTCTGAAAGGAAAGGGGAATATATCAAAAAGAGCAAGGAAATAAATCAGGGGAGAGTAAGAATAGAATGAAAGCGCTATATATAAAAACCAGGAAAAATAGGCCAAACTGATCTAAAAAGAGACAAGACAACAGAAGGGAAGTTTTTAATGCTGAGATATGCTGATGGTAATGGCAATGAAAGACGTGATGGAGGCTAACAAAACAGTCTTGATCAGATGGCAAACATGGCATAGAAGCGAAGGACAAAGACTACTACTCAAGTAGTGTAGCTCAGATTTCTACTAGCAAGGCAATAATAATAATAATAATGATAATGATAATGTTAATCATATTTATATTTTGTAATATGTTGTTTTCATTAAATTTATGGGGAATCTTTTGGTGGAAATTAGAATTCAGATACCTTTGTGAGGCACTGGATCCACTGGGCTCCATAAGCAACTCGGCAACAGCGTTAATACTGTTATTGAGTGCCCTTTTGTCTTCATGCTGCTCATGTTCTTTAAATATTGTTGTTCACTGTCTGATACTTTCTTCCCTGAAAACAGTTTTGTGTGTCATTACCATGGTAATATTATGAACTGTAGTGGATTTTACCAAAGTAAAGCAATGAAGACTCGATATGATGTTTTAATTACTACACAAAATTAATTATAATTTTAAGAGCATAAGAGGATATTTCAAAGCATAAAAGCATTTACACTTATGAACGGAGAGAATATTATGTTCAAGCTAAAAATATTGGGAATACTTTTGCCTTGTTTTTTTAATTCTGCCTGAGTAACTGCACACAAAGCTGCCCTGCTCTGGAATGTGCATTTCTGAATCCCCAGTCTTTCTGTTTTCTCTCTTTCTCAGGAAAGGAGTCAATTGATCTCAGGTCTCCAGAAAACATAACACACATCCATGTGCCTTCCCAGACTCTCCTCATTGTCCTAGTATTCATTTGATGAAAAACAATAGGATGAGAACAAATAGTTTTAGAAGTGAATTATCTTGAAATTTTTGATTTACAAAACCATGGTAGAAGTTTTCATTATTTAGATTCCAATATGGGACTGTGATTTGTGCAGATAATAATTAGTCTGGAAGATCTTTGGGAGCTGAAGCTTAGCTCTGCACAGAGCAGTGAGCTAAAGGTTGCATTTGCCAGTTGTTTATGAAATGCAGGTTTAATTATTATCCTTTCCTTTGTGGCAGTGCTCTGCCGGATTTCATCCATCAGTTCTAGTTGTAATACTCCATCACATCTGTTCAGAAGCCGCTAATGAAAGATACAAACCAAGTTGTCTAAAGTTGTCTCTAGTTGCAGCTCGGTAGAGGCAAGAACGTGGTTGTGCTGATGGTGATGCGCTGTTAACTTACAGTGGTGCTGCCTTTCTTCTTTACCACTGCTTACCTAATGTGGATCCCACCTGCCTTCCTGTGGGCCTTGTCTGTAGCCCTCAGGCAATGTTTGGGTGACCCATGAAGAAATGGAAAATCTTGCTGCTCCAGCTAAAACGGTTAGTCATTCCACTTCCACTTAAAATTTCAGTGTTCAAAAGAGGATAGGCTTGTTCCTGATTTTTTTTTTATTTTATTATGCCTTATCTTCTGTAGGATGTTTCCCAAAGCATGCCATTAAAAATTTCCAGGGAGTAATGAAACTGAATTTAAAGAACAGTTACGTTATCTTTCCGCAAAAGGATTTACAAACGGTATTGCCATCACAAAAATTGTGTGACCCTAAAACAAGTATTGGACTTTTTGAGTATATAATAGTTCCAGTGCCACTGTGAAACCTCATTTAATTGAATGAAATCGTCATGGTGCAACATTTCCCATGTAATCTACTCCCTTTTTCTAAGTGGTGTTTTGTATTTGCTGACACAGAAAGAAATAAGAAAAGGCTTGAGAATGGTGCATTACACAACTTCATGTTTTCAATAATGCAGAGTCTTTCTTGTCCATACTTGGGTATTTATGATCTTTGATTTCAGGTGCATGGAGAGTGTCATTTATTTATTGGTTTTTGTCAAACCTCTCCCTTAACAGTAAAGTAAGACTAATTTTCTATTCAGTTCAGAATGTATGTTATTTTAGGTTTTGGTTGTTAACATTATATATAACAACTCCATAAAGGTGCTTATAAAACATGATTCAGTGCTCCAGTGATATCTCTGAAAAAAAATGATCTTCAGTTTGGGAAACTTTGTAGTCATCCCAATCTTTAAATGGTGGGAGAGCTACTGGAGCTAACTGTTGGTGCAATAAGGAATTATTTCTTTAAATTTTATGCTTGTTAAAATATTTAAAATTTTCTCATCAGCAGTAAGGAAGCCAATTCTCATCAGCATTTTTTTTTAAACTAAGCTCATTTCCAATTTCATGATTGTTGGCAAAGATAAAAACAAATATAACAGCACTGAACTGACAAGAAGTAGAGTTGATCCTGTTTAACTGGCCAGCTGTACAATTAGGATTTTTCCATAAAAAAAGTTATGTAAAAAGCTTCTTTACAATACATTCTCAAGAAGACAGCTTTTTAGTGTGAATGTTTCAAAATCAAACTAGAAACAAAAACATCACTAATGCCCAAAGTTTTAAGTAAGTGTTTGTGTTTAATTGTGAAACTCTGAAGAATGTTTAAATAATGCTTTAAAATTTCAACGAGACATCTTGATTTTCTGTCTTGAAAACTCAGCTACATTTTATGGTCTTGGTCTTAAAATTTTTCAGGTAGTTAAGCCCAGAACATTGCCACTGGCCAGAGTTTTATTATTTGTGCACTTTATGTGTGTATTTTCCTTTTCATTAACATGCATATGAAAATTACATATTTTTAAAACTAATTTTTATTGTCTTTTTACCTGCTTTACTAATTACTTCCTGCTGATAATACAGAAAGAGTCTGAAGAAGGCAGTTGGGCTCAGGTATGGTCTTTCACATGATTTTTTTAAACTGAAAGTTAATAATAATGTAATTGGGTGCATCAATATGCGTTGTGGAATATAATATTGTGACAGTATCTCAGTGATTGAATTATGATTTATGTATTTTAGAGTTCTTCTCAAAGAATATATTCTCCAGACAGTTTTGCTAAGTAAAGCAGAAAGAGGTACATATGTTGTGAATATTTTTCACAAAAGAAATTACTACATTCCAGAGACATATTCTATCTCAAATCTAAACTGTGTTTAGAGTTTTAGAGAGTATTTTCCTAATTTTTCAGAATAGGACAATTAAATATGCTATGAATTTGAGAGCTAAATTTTCTAATGTGCACACTTACAGGACCTTGCTGTCTTTACTGATGACATTCCTTTTCTCTTCAAAATCTCACAAGAATGAGACATAAGGGGGCTATATTTTCCCTCATAGATAATATATCCATCCAGCTTTAATTACGTTAGTCTTTTATGACATTAAGAACAAAACCAAAAAGATAGTCAGGCTTGAAAATGATCCTGAGCACAATCCTGTTGAGGAAGTGAAAATCTTGCAATTTATTAGTTCTCTGTTCCATTTTATAATACAAAATTAACAAGAGTGAGCTGTAAAAACTCATTTTGCATCTTAATAGGGTAACTCCTATAAAAATAGCTCAATATGCATGGATTTTTCATATAGTTCCTTCCTCACCCTAGTGAAATTTTAGCTGAACAATGAAGCCTGAGCACTAGTTTCTAGGAGGAACCTGGTTTGCCCCTATCTCAATTAATTTCTTGAGCTCTGCATATATGATGATTAAGGTTTAAACTGTTCACAGCTGAAAATATCTCATTTAAATGTAAGCTTGAGTGCCAATTAACTGAAATTAAGTTTTAGTCTCTAAAGGACTTCAGGTGTGTAGCCATGAAGTGTCATTAGACCCTATTTATGAAATTCTTCTCCCCACAAACAGTAACAAGCCTCAGTGGATTCCCTGGAGCCATGGTTGCATTACCAGTTCAAAGTTCTGGTTTTGCCTGGCATAAATATTCTAGAAGGTCAATTGAAAGCAAGTCAGATTATGAAACACACACATTTTGATTGTGTAACAAGTTTGCTTGCATTTAAATCTCAAAATTGAAAAAAAATCCTTAAAACTTACATAAGAAAACAAGATACAACAGGCAAAACTGGTATCCATAACAAATATCTCATTCTATGAGATATTAGCTATATTGGCTCCCTCTTCCAATGTTAAAACAAAGCAAAACCAGAACTACTCCTTTTTTTTAGACATAATTATTTTTTAAAACATAATTATTTTCTTTTTTTTTTTTTTTCTTTTAGACATGTTTTGTTTTCAGTCTGTGGTGCAGCCTTGAACAAACTCAAGAATTTATTCTCCCTCTCTGTTTCCTTCTCTCTGTAGACCCTGGCTTACGGTGATATGAACCATGAATGGATAGGTAACGAATGGCTCCCCAGTCTGGGCTTACCTCAGTACCGAAGTTATTTCATGGAATGCCTGGTAGATGCGAGGATGTTAGACCACCTGACCAAGAAAGATCTGCGTGTGCATCTAAAAATGGTGGATAGTTTTCATCGGTATGTTGGCATAAAGACTACACCTATAAAAATACTTATGTGTCTGCTCTAGTGCTCAGTGCTGCACAGACTAAACATTTTCTGTTGTTTTGGTATGGAAAAACACACAGAAAAGAGAGGGCAGACTGTCAGAATTCTGAATTGAGAGAGATTCCTTTAGTAACAGCAACCACATTGCAATTATGTCTCTCAAAACCAAGATACTCGTACAGATAAATTTCGTAATGAGCAGGGAACCATTAATATATCAATAGACCCTTGACAATACAGAAACAGTAATAATTTAAGTGGTGTGAAGTATCAGAAAGTGTTAGACTAAGCTTCAAAGCTCTGAGATCTCATAATAATGAAAAGCTATTGTGTGTAGCACATAAAAGCTGTTAACAGTACAAGCAATGTGACAGTTGTTGGGTTACCTAGGGATATAGCTAGGAAGCTAAATGGGAATTATGGAAATAAGGGCATTTAAACTTTAGGGAGAATGAGGTTTATGTGACAAGAAGTGGATTTCTTTTTAATATGCTGTCTGATTTGTCATTTTTTTTAAAGCCTGATTTGACAAAACATTTCACAGCTCACAAGGGCTGACCTTTTCTGAACACTGCTTTTAATGCTTTGGGTTCTTATGCTAAAACAGTTATTCAAACATACTCATTTTGGTTTTTTCCATTTCATTCCTGAAGTCTGTGGAGTTTTTTTACTGGTTTTGCTCTCCCCTCTCTTCTCAAGATTTCCGACATGGGCACTATGAAAACCTCATGTGAAGTGCAGGAAATAACATCCTACATAATGTTCCCATCTTCAAAATTATCTTTATTAACTCTGTAAATGTTTCTCTTTAAATAACAGAACAAGCTTGCAATATGGAATCATGTGTTTAAAGAGGTTGAATTATGATAGAAAAGAACTGGAAAAGCGAAGAGAAATGAGTCAGCATGAAATAAAAGGTGATAGTTCCTGGGAATGAATACTGGGAATGTTTCTTCTTTTGAAGCTTCACACTGTTAACCCATTGTCATACCATTTTAGCAAAGCATTTAAGCATGTGCTTTAAGCAAAACTAACATAAGTCCAACTTTCTCAGGACATATCCTAGCTCTTTAAATTAGGCACAATTAAGTACTTTGCTAAATTGGGGCTGCAATTCTGAATGGTGGTTTGACACATACATTTTGCTAAATTGAATTTTGGGTATGGATCTTATCTGAAACTCTTTCAGGTTCAGAAACAGAAGGCCAAACAGTGTGCAGCTCAGTGGGATGTGCTGGGGGAAACACTAAAAAATGGGAGCACTCAGGACCCTAACACTATGCTCCAGCTTTTGAAAGCCTTTGCCTTGGATTTCTTACATCAGAATGTATCATAAAAAAAGCTGCTTGGAGGGGTGACCACTGAGGCAGATGATTGGTACATAAGAATAGTTCCTTACAAAATTTGCCTTATTAGATTTCACAGCTGATTCTGAAGATTTTTTTCTGTGTAAAGCTCTCTAGAGCAGTTGCAGGCTCACTGCATGGTTCTTTTTATATATAACAATTAGGGTGGCTGCATTTTTTTCAACTATGAGAAATGAATTTTTAGATTCCTTTGAGCTTTCCCAGCTCTAGAGACTACAGCAGCTAGCACTTCTCAAGCACAATGCTGATTAGAAGAGCTTAAAAAGAGAGTTGAAGGGCTACAGTGACAGTGCACATTTGCCCAAGGCAGATGATGGCATGCACTAATGCAGACTGCCTTGGATGTACAGGCATCAGTGCCAGTCAACCAAGTGGGTCTAGCTGGAGACTGACATAGGGGAATTGGGTATTGGTCTCAAATTCTACTGTGGCTTCAGTGCTGGCTCCTGATAGGAGAAGGGTAAGAATTCATAGCCTCCTTGTCATGGATGGGTCAGTTACTCATGGTCACAGGTGGGATTTGGTCTCTGCCTGCCGCCGTGTTCCAGCTGATCCTGACCCCAAAAAGCAAGATGCTCTCAGCCAGGCAATGGAGAAATCCTCCTCCCAGAACAGCCACAGCAGCTGGACTTGTAAAGGTTCAGGAAGAAGCCTCATCACTTAGTAAAGAAAACTCAGTGCTATGTTTCCCACTTACAACTACAAAGATCAGCATAAGGATTTTTTTTTTAATTTACAGGCAGGGCAGAATACTTTTTCAGAACAGCCAAATCCTCAAAAATGGTTTCCTAGCTCATTTTATTGCCTCAGCTTTATAATTGGTATGGATCTTAACTCTACCAGCTTTCTTTACTAAAAATAGTTTGTCTCTCAAACTTTGAACTAATCTTTTACTTTATGGCATGTTAGTATATGATAGGTGCTGACACAACTCCCAAAATGTTCAATACAAAACTCCCAAGTGAAACATTGAGGAATGGATATTTCTCCTGTGCCTTTGCACTGTAAAATCTTGCCTACAAGTTGAAAAGGTATATATAGGAAGTGGAAGGAATTGCATTATGGAGATCCCCTCTGGAAGCACATTTCTCCTTTGGAAACGTTATTACTTGAAGATAGTTAATCACATAGAGTTTTGGAATAGGAGGTACTAAAGCTATACGAATAGTGAATGTATGTATGAAATAAAGCAGTAAGACATCCCCAGTGCATGCACAGCTACACACATACAATCTGGAAGTTATCAGGTATCAGGAGACTGACCTGGTGTTATGTCCTTACAGATGTGCTGGTATGGAGCAATGATCGAGTCATACGCTGGATACAAGCCATTGGCCTCCGAGAATATGCAAATAATATTCTAGAAAGTGGTGTACATGGTTCACTTATAGCACTGGATGAAAACTTTGACTACAGCAGTTTAGCTTTATTATTACAGATTCCAACACAAAACACACAGGCAAGTTTGCTTATGCTACTTCTGGTTACTCTGTACCCATTATTACCTTTTATTCGTCTTCAACCATTTTAATTGTTTACTTTGGTATCTCTAGGCACGGCAGATCCTTGAGAGAGAATACAACAACCTTTTAGCACTAGGAACTGAAAGACGACTTGAGGAAGTAATTAATTTTATTTTCAGTATTTATAAAATATCACAGTAAAACATTAAACTGAATGCATGAAGAGATGTTAATTTCCACATTGTTAAAAAGAGTCAGTTACAGCTTAAAAAAACCACCAAACTTATGAATACCCATAAAGGTTTTTTAAGTAACCTCAGTTTGGCTACATATTTGTGTCATCTCAGATGCTAAATCTGACACTGCACTCTTACCTTAAGATGAACATTTTCCAGAGAGGAGGCATGCAGAATGGAGTGGAAGTTTTGCTGGTCAGAGCAGGTGGTGGAGAATGTGTGTGGGTGGGATGCCTCTGCAGTCTATTCTTTATGACACATCTTTTTTAAAAATAAAGAAGAAAAGTAGATTTGCGGTTTGTTCTTTATTGTTGTTTTTTTTCAAAGTTCTTCAAAGTTAATCAGTACTAATAGAGTGTGATTTGGGGCAGTTTTCTGGGAAGAGGAATCTCAAATCCAACTACGGAAATTATTTATCTTAACATAAGAGTCCAGTGCAAAAATGTTTAAGTCTTGGACTTCTGCACATGAGGAGAAATAAAATTTTTAAGGACTTGCTGAAAATGTCAGATGCCTATGAATTCTGTGCATGCACATGAGTGTTTAATCCTTTTTTAGTACTTTATGTAAGCTTCCTAATGCAATAACAAACCACTTTCTGTCACTATGTAAGAAAGTTCTACTTTAGCTGATACTAAACCCCTTGCCTATATCGAGCCAAAGATTTAAGAAGAGATTTCCACCCCAGCATTTAATATTTCTAAAGCTTTTACTTTTACAAGCATGTCTCAAACGTTACAGTGACTGGCTCCAGTGCAACAGAGCAGGGTAGTTGCTATGGAATACATTGGGCAGTGGTAGAGATAGCACACAGCAGGATAGTTAATCAGAAAGTTTCCTTTTGCTTTATCAAACACAACTCTGTGTTGGCAGAGCGATGACAAGAACTTCAGGCGCGGCCCCTCCTGGCGACGGCAGTTCCCTCCACGCGAGGTTCACGGGATCAGCATGATGCCAGGCGCCTCCGAAACGCTGCCAGCCGGGTTCCGCCTCACCACCACATCAGGCCAGTCGCGGAAAATGCCCAGTGACGGTACGAGCTCGTTTCTGCACTTCTCTTGGAAAGCACGAGGCTCGTCCTGGCATGCCAAGTTGACTTAATGCATGTCTGTCTTGCACCACAACTGTGTTCATTTAACTAGGATGAACCGAGTCCGGGAGAGTTGAATTTGGGAATGGAAAAGCACTGACTTGGCATATTATTGATTTTTTCAGGTTTGCTTCAGTTGACAGTGTTTATTTAAAATACAAAAAAGTGGCCATCTCACTATTCTACATCTGTAAAAGAAACAATCAGAAAGAGAAGAATTTATTTACTAACTTTGAATTAGACTGAATATAATATCTAAGCAAATTTTTCATCCTTTTAACCTCTCCAGCAGGTGGAGTGTGTTTTAGAGAATGCAATTAGAAAGGACTATCACCTTTATTAATTAGAAAGGACTATCACCTTTATTTTCCTGTCTTTAAATTAAATAGCTTAGCCTTGACCATCAAATAACTGAAGTTGCTAACAGTCACCAGGAGATGAGTAGTTAGCAAATACTGAAATTCAGGCACTAATTGATTACTATATACCAGTATTCATTTTCACTGGAAATCTTTTGAATCTTAAAAGATACACTGACTCAGAAATGAGAGGAAAATTAACAAGCAGATCATAATTAAAAAGTAAGTAAAATTTAAAAACCATTGTAAGAGAGCAGACAGAGGAAAGAAATCCCATCACGGCTGTTCTTTCAGTTATATGGTAAACCTGCCTGAAGTTCTGAGAAATATTAGTACACATACTGCCCCATTTAAAATACTGCCATTTATTTCATCATCAGACAGGATTTAGGTCTACAAACAATTTAGTACACTGACTTGTAAAGATTACATCCTGTAACTTGATAATGAACTTGGTATGACAGTATTGCCACCTAAATTCCCTTAAAACCATCTAAATTCCATTAAAGTTTCTCACCCTTAAAAACAGTACTTTATAGCTGCAGTTACAGATGGAATAATTTACTGATTGCATCACTGAATTCCACTGACTCCTACCTTCCATGGCATTTCCATAGCTCACATTACGGCAGTGTGTATATATATATATATATATATATATATATATAAAACCTCATAAACTTTAGAACATTATAAACATTAAAGGATTTCATCTTCCAGTCACAATATGATGTATGAGATAATATTCTCATTTTACAGATGTGGAACTAAGGCACAAGGCAGATTTAGTGATTTACTTGAGGTCTTCCAGACAGTTAATTCTTGAGCCGGGTATACTGAACTCAGTAGATTTAAAGGAAAGTAATTTTGAAGACCTCTATCTTCATCCAGGATTTGGCTTCCTATCTCCCAGCACTAAGAACACAATAGTATTTAAAGAGTATGCTAAGAGCATTAGGACTTACAACAAAATAAAGATAAAATTGAGTTTTAAACTATATTCACTTTAGACAGACTCCAACAGTACATCAGCCGTGAAGAAGTGCTGAGTTTTGAACTAAGCCATGTCCAGATCACATTAGAGAAAGCCACAGAGCAATTTGACAGCCACCATTCCAGTGGTAAACAGACTGATGTATTTTATTGATGATTCTAAAAAGGTTCTGGTTTGTTTCCTTTTTTTTTCCTTCCTAATTTGCAGTTGCTTCATCACGACTGCAGAGGTTAGACAGCTCAACAGTTCGCACATACTCATGCTGACAAGGCCTAGCAAAGAAGCCAGCACTGAATTGTTGTGAGTATTCTGTAGAGGCCATCATGAAAACTCTTTGTAACTGCACATTACCCCACATTATCCAAGCACAAACCAGCAGGGAGCAGAGCACATAACTAAGGGTTTGCTAGGCTGGTCATTGGGTCATGACAACAGTCTTAAGTCCGAAGGATGCTACCAACCATATTTTGGGGAGAAGGCACAGGGAATGAACTTACTTCATGAGAACCTTAAAGAGATCTACTATGAGCTGGACTGGGGAGCAATGCTAGCAAAGAAGAAGAGATTTACTTTTTTTTTTTTTTAAATCTAATTAAAGCTATGTCTCAATTTGGAACATCAGGTAGCTGCATAAAGTTAGAACAAGACTTACCCATACAGAAAATCTTGAAATTTTATCTATTACAGAGGTTCCTGCACTTCTCAAATAATTCAGAATTGACAAAGAAAGGATAATCTGAGCTGGATGAAACTTTGGATCAGATTTAGTATTGGAATTCATGTTAAATTTTTCACCATATATCTTTTGAGTGTGACTATGAATATCACAGAGTCACTGTTCCAGAGTTCTGTGGAAATACAGTTTTCTATTTTATCCCAGCTTTTGGAAAAAATACACACATCATGAGTACTTACATCAATATGGCACCATTTTATCCTAGTATTTTCTCAGTAAAACAGTTTTCATTTAGTTACCTGAGGAATTACAAGGCAGCTGGAAAAAAAATTTTAATATTACCAAAACCTCATCAGGCATCAAACATGCTTCAATAGCTGCTGCATATTGTAGGCAAGACAAGCAGGTTGGTTTTTTGTTTTGATTCCTAAGACTGGGACAGACTTGGGGCCATCAAGGTTTTACTAACTCTGTGTAGATTGAAAAAATGCTTAGGAATAGCACATGTTAACAGTGGGAAAAGTAGATTGTTCAGGATCCTCCTGATGACATGAGCCTTACTTCATAGATCTTCAAACCTTCAAAAGACTGCAAGAGTATAAAACCTTACCCTCAGTAAAAAAGGGAACTCTTTTAGCCACCCAGAGGTGGCTAAAAGAAAAAAATAAGCTTGGGGAGGTGTGGTTATTTGTTGGACTTGTTTTGGTTTGTTTTTTCTGAAAAAGCAAAGTTTAGCAGCTGATTCTACAAATATGATGATGAAGTGCATGAACTGTTGAAATTTTTTTATGTGTATGCATGTATGGATTTGAGCACAGTATTGTATCAGTAAGTCAGTGACAGGACTCTCACAGGGTTCAGTGGTGACAGAAACTGAAGGCAGAGATACAAAGCTTTTCTATGTGCTTCAGAATGGGAATGTTGGAAGCAATAAAGCATGACCAAGCTATGCCTTAGGCCAACAGTAATGGGCCAGGCACTTGAGGTGAGGCTTGAAGAGAGAGCAAAAAGGCAGAAAAGGAAAACCGATATGCTAACAAAAATTAATTTTAAATTATCCTAATTATTTATTCCCACTATATTAAAGTATCTAAAAAAGTAGCAAAGCACAAACAAAAGTAAAGTAGCAGACTTTTCTGGCACTAGATATATATATATGGAAGGCATGTACTTTGAGCAAAAAGATGTGCATATAAAGTTATACAAGCTATGCAAGTTAACTTCAATTTCTATTGGAGTATTAGTAGTGTTTCAAGTACATAAATACTTGCTGCTTGTCCACTGTCCTGCCAATTACATCCTAATGTTAAATGCTTGAGAAATCTATAAAGATATCAAATTTGCATCTACATTGTAAAGGCTAATTATGTAAATATGGGGTTAACTGACACTAATGTACTGCTATTTCTCTTCTCATTTACCATATATCCCTTGTAGAGAAGGAACAAGATGATGTGAGCTAGATCTTTAGTATATGCACTTTCTGTAAGGGCAATTTCAAAATGTCATGCAGGTTATAAACCAAAAAGCAAGTTAAAGTAATTTTGGATTCCAGTATATTATATAGAAAATCAAAACAACACCCCAGCCCTCCCCCTCCCCAAAAACAACAACAAAAAAACCCAAAACAACAAAAAAATCCCGAAACAAAAACCAACCAACCAAACAAACAACATTCAGGGAAAATATTTCCTTCACTACTATATGAAACTTGAAAATTTAAAACAGATTGCATGCAACTGAAGAATGAATTCATAAAAAGAAACTGCCTATAGAGGGGAATATCAGATTGAAGGGCAACAGAGGAGTTTTCAGGATTTTGTCAGCACACTTCCTAGCAGTTTCTCCATGGAAGGAGCTGATTGATACTTGGACAAGAGGGAAGATTATTCATTACAACATGCCTCCTGAAATTTTCCAGATCCAGCTTAGACTGAGACCCAGGCTTTTGTGACACCTTTCCTAGACTCCATCAGCAGCTGTGATACTCTGATATAGCATCTGCATACACAGAACCAGGAACTAAGCAGCAGAGGGGAGGGATAGCTGGACAAGCTGCCACACAATAGCGAGATAAGGGAGATTTTCATATGGTAAAGGAGAACATGCCTACAGAGCAGCAGCACTTTCTTTCCAAAAAGAAAGTGGAAAAGAGATTACATGTGGAACAAATGCAGATGGCCAGAGATCACAGCAGGCTGCAGATTCTTGCATTCTGCTACTCTTAGGAGTAAGAGACATTCTTTTACACAGATTGTCAAAGGCTTGCATTTCAAAACAGTTTATGCCAACAACATCAGTTTGGTACAACCTTCCTGTGTATTTATAGTGTTTCTTCAGAGCAGCTGTGTCCCATTCATATGCTTTCAAATTGCATTTCAGGTGGGGTTTTTTTTTTGAACATTTTTTGAAACCACAAGGAGCTGCCAGAAACCATGAGCAGACATTCTCAGAACAGAACTCTGCACAGGCCTGTTTTACTGCACTCAGTATCAGAAATTTAAGAACAATTAAGGCTGCTGGTGCTGGCCATTTAATATTGTTAAGAAATTTACTAGAGACACAGGACACATCAAGCTTTCTGCCGTGGTGGCTAGATGTGGTGGCCCAGCTGAGCAGCTGCAATGCCTTTACACAGCCAGTGGATTTGGCATTCATAACATCCAAGCTTTCCCAACACCTTTAACTTCTAAAACATTTGTCATTGCTAAGTCAGAAGGGTCATTCAGGACAGATTTCTTGCCACAGGCTGGAGCAATAGAACATATTACTTTAACTTTTATTCTAATGAAATACTAAAGGAGATTTGGCAAAATCAGTTATGTACTTTACCAAGGGTTCCAAAGAGAATTTGTAAAGACAAATGGAGAAGCAGCATTCCAAAAAGATGAGAATGATAATCAGGAAGCAGCTGGTCCGTAGCAAAGAAACTATCAGGGTGAAAAAGGTAAATGCTGTCAAGCTGCAGTGAACTAGGAAGAAGAACTACAAAGCACATCAGCAAGGTCTGTACATGGAAAAATGTGTGTTTAGCCTTGTGCCAAACAGGCAAAGATCTCCAGATGAAAGAAACTAATTCCAGTGCTGAACCAAAATAGCAGGAAAACAACTATAAAATGAACATAAGCAGCAATCTGTGTTGACTGAGGACAATTAGTAAAAGATTAAAATTAATTATTAGTAAGTTTATGTTGCAGATCTAAAACTGAACAAATGCATGCCTGCCATGAATACTCCGAACCCATGTTTTAGTAACTTAGTTACTAAACTACCTACTTAGTGCTCTATTTTCTCTTGTCATTGCACTTTAGACTGAATTAGAATCATAGAATCTTGCTAATTAATATTTATCTTTTTCTCTTAGATGTCATCTCTTTCTTCTACTTTACCTGAAGTGCACTACCGCTACTTAGGAAAAGAGCATTAAAACTCTCTGCAAGAACAGGTTAATAGGGAAGAGAACACATAAGGTTTATTATACATACAGATATGATGTTCCTTTCATGTATTGGTTAGTTTAAAACAAGAATGAAGAATAACTAAATTACTAAAAAAAGAAAAAGAAAACAAAACAATTTCCCCCTTTTTTCAGCATCTCTGTCATCAAAAATTTGACAGTAGTGCACATCCAAAGCTTTTATCAAATGAAGCCACTCATCTTTACATTGTTACATCTGTTTTATTGTAAAATACTAGACATTTACGTATTTACTGTGTATGTATTTCTTTTAAAATGTGTAAGTCTTATGTAAATGGATATAAATATGATTTTTTAAAAATAAAATCTATGGTACATGGGGTCTCAGTGCAAACATTTGACAATACAGTGTCAATAATACTGTTTGTATCTTTCCATTCCACCATTTTTACAGTTTTTGGATTGTAACAGTCAAATGAATATGTTTAGCAGAGTTAGAAGCTTCAACATGTTCCTACTGAGAAAAATCTGTCAATATTTAAAGCTGAACACCTGCCTCTGATGATGTATAATAGAATGACATAACCTGGAACTGAAGCCAAAAAGGACCTCTAAAGACAAAATGGAAATGTTAGATACCTACAGAGATGCACCATGATGGCTCATCTCTTAAAAACAAACAAATAAACCCAGAAGAACTGTTTATAAAAAAATAAAAATCAATTTAATAAAACATGATTTGTACAAAAAAACCAAAAACTTTCTTCTATGTTACCTGCGGACCAAGAGGAATCTTGCTGTACCAAGAGCCACCTTTTTGTTCCAGGATCTTCAAACACCAGCCAGCATTGGAAAAGTAAATCTAATATTTGCGTAGAATCAGATTCTTATTTCCAGATATATTCAGCAAAGAAAAAGAAAGAAAAGAGAAGCCAACCCCCACCATTTCTTCATTCTAACAGGGCATTAGACAGGCTCCTGTCTAACGTTATGCTTTTAGCCAAGATGGCCTTGCTGAGACTTCACAGAAGTCAGTTTTATCAGAGGAAATAACTGAAAGACAGAGTGATTAATATATAGTGTATAAAAGTTTAGAAGAGCAACTATTACCTGCTGTGGCTTTATTTGGTGGTGTTATTGTTGTTTATTCTTTGTTTAAATGGGAAGTTTCAAAGTAAGACCTACTTAATAGTCATTACCTATTTGCTATTTTTCTGCTGCTTGATCTTAGCTCAAGACCTGTCTTTTAGTTATTTCTTTTAGCAGTTTGATCTGCAATGTTTGCACGTACATAAACATTTGTTTTGTCTATTTTTATTTGGCAAACTTCGGTCAATCAGATGGTGAAAGATTTTTCTCCCCCAATGTCAATAAAAAAGAGAATTCAGTGCTATTTGTGTTCCTAAGTCTATTAAGTTTGTTATGTAGTAGCATTGTTTGGAAACCAGATGCTTCTCACAGCGAAGCATAAGCACATTTTGGCACTAACAGCGATGAGTTACGATGGAGTTACTGGTGAGAATCTGCCACGAGAGGGAGCACAGATCTTGCTGATGGGCACAAAGTGCTGGCATGGTCATAGCACACAACTGTAGAAAATCAGGGCTCTTGTATGCACAGCTCTTGAACTTGACCAAAATTATTCTCTTCCCTCAGCCTGCTTTTGGATTATTTTAGTGCAGAATGTCACAAAGTAAAGCAATGCTAACACTGTCACTGCCACTGCTACTGTCAGTGCCAGCAATACTGTGTAAATACATGTTCCCTCATAAACACCAGCTCTTGTTTTACAGAACTGCTTTTCCAACCCATGCTAAAATGTAGAGGGCAAAGGGGAGTTAAGTGTGCTGGGGAAAAGAATGAGCCAGTTATTATGACCAGTGCAGAAGTTATCCTGCCCCAGGAGTACAGCACCCACAAATTATATATTTCACAGTGGAAGAAAACAGACCAGAAGAATTTAAAACAGTATTATTGTGACTTCAGTTTTGATTTAGATAACATACCAATAACATACCAAGTCTCCTAATTCATCCTGTCTCCCTCACATAAGCTGAAGCTCTACTCTCTGCAGCTAGAAACTGTGGTTATGCTAAATGTTGCCTACTTGGCCCCAACCCTTTCAGTACACTGAGAATAACTACTACATCTGCCTTTTACAGCCAAAGTTCAGTAACTCACTGACCATTCAAATCTACCCATTTGTTGCTTCTCTCTAGAAACCAAATCAAGAAAATTACTGCTGTCCTACTCCTTGTTAAATAGGTTTGTTTTTCTCGACAGTATACCCAGATTGCTAGGCAGCACAGCCAAGGGCAACTACTCCTTCTCCCTCTCTTGAGCTTGGCTAAGACAAAGCATTCTGCAATTGCAGTTCCTCAGCAAAAGGCTCCTCTGGAAATCAAAAGAATGGCCATGAAACAATAATTTTCACACATGGTATTGCTGCAATAAGGTGCCTTTGTCTGGGTCTTCTGACAGAAGACCCCCCCCTCACTCTTGCAATTACACGATGGCTACAGCCAAGGTAAGGATAGCAAACATACACAACATTGTCTCACCTTCAATTGCAACAGTAACAGCCACATATCCTGTGATAATAAGACCTTTGTAGTGTCTCACTGATTCAAGAAAAAAACCACACCTCTGGCAACTCCCAAGAATTCCCTCTTGCTCTGTAAATGCTGGGCTGTTGCTAAATTGTAGCATTGTAGCATTGTGAAAAGGAAAAAGTCTCTGCAGGTCAGTTCATTACTTGGCATGGGCCCCCTGTTAAAGCCTTTGTACTTGAATCTATCACTTCTATAAGAAGTACTGAAAGAAAGTTATAAGGACACCGCTGAAGAGCAAAATTATTCCCACTTTCAAATCTCCAACCTGTATATTTAGCAAATCTACCATAAAGCATCATTAGCATTTACTCAATCTTTGCATGTTTTATTCCCTGTTCAGATTGTGATTTTTGAATAGCTGAGAGGGAGTGGGGCACCTTATGCAATGATTCAGCAAAAACAAGGACAGCGCAGGCTCGAACTGAGCAGTTTTAGCATGACTCTATGACCTGGTTCAACACGACTGGCCCAGCTGTCTGCAGTCCCTAGTGAAAAAACACATGGACATTCTATTTAGTTCTTGTGTAACTGGTAGAGCTCACTAACTCCAGAGAAGTGTCACAGGCACAAGGCACCACCAGGCTCATGTTGAGTGGAACCTATCACCTTTTAGCTCCTACATCAATCTGGTGCTTTATTCCATCGCTTTCCAGGGATGTCATTCTTACCTCTATCCACCACTACAGGAAAGTAATTCTGGACCCTTTTGAGGACCTCTCATATACAACAACATCATCTGATTTTGTCTGTTTCTTACTGTTTCTTTCTCTGGTAAGTACTGCTGAGTTTCAGCAACTTCTCTGCTTTTATACTTTTCTGAGCATCTATTTTTAAAAGGGCTTTTACACTTACTGTTCAATTAAATACCTTCAGTTTCAGAAGTAACGTATGTAAAAAGTGTATCCTCCATCCCCTGGCTTATTGAGAACCCTGTAATGAATCTAAAATGGCCCATAAAGGCCAAAATGGGCTGCTTAGTATCCATATTTGCTTAATTTCTTGGTTATATGTATCTCAGCCTAAAATGTTTAATTATGGCAGCAAAAGCACGTTCTGATTGTCCTTATCATAAAGGATAAAAATCACCAAAAAAAAATTAGCAGAAAATTCAAAGGGTAAATGCCTGCCTTTATTTAATATACAACGGGTTTCCTGAATACTACTGTGGACAAATCAATATTTTCACGGATTTCACAGAAATTATTTATCATTTTACAAAAAAGACTCTTCAGAAAGTGATTGAGTAAAAAAAAAACCATAAAAATCTAATTTATAGCAGAAAGACTTGGGAAAAAAAAAAGAAAATGGAGTCAAGAGAACTAATCATAAAATTTTTAATTTTAGAAAAATCTAAAACACAAGAGCTTATAATTTACAAGTAAGAACAATTTATGCCTGCAACAATTTTCACAATTTAATTCCTTTTTTGTTCTCTTCTGTTCAATGTTTACCTTTTGTAAGCTGCTTCAGCCAAACAAGTTACTGGTCACATTATAAAATAACATATTGAAATGTAAGGTTACATCACACCATGTAAAATGGATAATCCAATTACTCCTTTCCTTTAAGACTACAGCAATGTATGAATTATATTTACAATTCTTAGCCATCTTAATAACCAGCATATATTGATATCATGCAGAGACTTTACTATATCTCAGTGGCTTTGGCAAGATGGTTAAAGAACAAAGTAATGTTTTTGCAGTAAAAACATTTAGTCCCAAATCACTATTTGTTTTTCTTCTTTGTATACTTGAATAACTGAAATGCTTGTTATTATGTAGTATTATTATCACATTTAATTTTTCTTTAGCAATTCTTCAATGTGTTTAAACACACTAGCATCTTCAATGGTTGGTGTTATCTGAAAAGGAAGAACACAGTAGCATGTGATAGTAGGTAAGAATTTCATTCAGAGGTTCTTCTAAATTTAAACTTCAAAAGCAATCAAGAAAAAGGTATCTGTAAAGCTTTGAAACATGAAATCTTGAAATCTTTTGAATAATTTGCAACAGAAATAAAAGTACTACCTGAAGTCATGAACCAGTTGCAGAACAGTCAAGAGAATCAAAACCACCATGTTGTACCTTTGGATGTGCATGTGTACCTAATTTATTGAAGCAAACATCTCTAACTTACCTTGTATGGCTTTCCACTGATGAGTGCAGAGAGAGCAGAACGTGGAATCTTGCCAGAGCGTGTTTTTGGTAGCTGTGTCACAAACATCCCCTTCTGGAAAGCTGCTACTGGACCAATGTTGGTCCGAACCCGCTCAACAATCTCTTTCAAAATCTTACTCTCTTGTGTCTTTACACCTAGTGAAGAAGGTAAAATCCTTTATCTTTTCTGAGACTTTTTCAAGTGTTAGTGACATCAGTTATCAGCGAGTTCTCACCTTGTCTCAGTACACACAGTGCAAATGGAACATGTCCTTTCAAAGGATCCTCCTGGGCCACAACAGCACAGTCTGCCACAGCGGGATGGAAGAGGATACACTGAGGGATGGAAAAGAAAACAACTGAAATAATAATAGATAAAATTTTAGTGAAAAAAATGGTATGGTATGGTATGGTATGGTATGGTATGGTATGGTATGGTATGGTATGGTATGGACAAAAAACTTTTTAGACTTCTTGTATTTTAACAGCAAAAGGTCAGTGCATACACCTCAGGTTTCCAATTACATGTGTTGAAGACGTACATGTATGTATATTTTCATATATACTCATGTATACTTTTCAAATAAATGGAAGAAATAAAAGCTTTAGCAGCACAAAATAGAAATATTGAACAAACCACAGGTAATTTCCTTACAGCTTTGTGAGACTATAAAGTCTTTGGTTTTGTTAGTGAGATCTCTGCTGGAACAAATAACATTTGTCTAACATGGGTAACATGGGACTTAAATGCAGGGAGTAAGGACCAAAACCACAGAAACACTCTTACTACAGACTTATAGCATCCTACTGGTTCATTTTCTCTGACTCTTATTTTTTCATTCTTTGTTGCTGTAAAAGCACAGTTTCAACCAAGGCCAAAACACATGTGCAGGCACAGCTTGCAGCCAGCCTAGGTCAGCTCACTCTCTTGGAAACATTAGGTCACAGCTTCCTGGGATAAAAAAGGGAATTAAATCAGAGCCTCATCACATCGATAACATGTATCAAACTCTTTTTTAGGTTAAAAAAAACAGTAAGCTTCCAATTAGCCAGCTGAAAAACAGTCACCAAGATGTCTCAGTACATACCAAGACAGACAAAGCTGGCATTAAGATGCCAGTAGTTGTGAATCCTCTTCCAAAGCAACTGGCTCTTTTCAATGTGCCTTGGAACATTTTGCTGTCAACAGTGCCTTCAGCACTTTTCTGTCCTCTGGATTCGACCACAAGGAGGACCTAACTTGACCCTACACAGAAACCACATAATGCGATTATGCTTGTAATTTATCTGTGCATACAAGGGCTACGTGCTTGCTAATAACTGGACTTCACATACTGTGTTGCCAAAATCAAGGCAGTGGGATAACAAAGTTTTAGGAATAAAGACACCTTTTGGTTGTTTTTATTAAGTAGGAATACCACACTGGCATTAGCTATTCATACAGTGGTGTGAGAATGAGAAAGGAAAAAGACCTGAAAGACTGGAAAGCTGAATCACTGTTGTTCCAATTAACAAAGGGAGACTCTTGTATGACCTGTTTATGAAACTGATGAGGGAAGGAATAATTCAAAGGGTCTACAATAACACATCTTCAAAACAGATTTCACCATCCTTGGGCTTTATAGTGAAAACAGGAAGGAGAAACTGACTCCATGTGTCACGGTCAGTACAACACACACCAAGTAGTTTTTAGCAAAATAAGTCCACTCAATGTGTTTCTAACCCACTTTGTCAGAAGCTATACTCATTTCACAAACTATGATCCTAGAAATGTCCTATGCCAGAAAAAAGGCAAGTGGAAAACACTGACCTAACAGCAGATGCATGCTCTAACAAAGTACAGAAGCGTGACCATTTATGTACAGCTTTTGAAACTGGATTATTTTTAATTATATTTTTATTAATTTTTATAATTATATATACATATATACATATAATTTGTATAATAATTTTAATTAGGTAGAATGTGGAAAAGCTAAATACAGAAGAGTGCACTGGGCTTATCCCAGAATCAGAAGGGCAGAAAAGCCTGCTTCAAGAAGCTGAATATACACAAATGCATTTAAATTCAGGTGCAGCCTACTTTGTCCAGAAGTCATTGTATCTACACTGACAAATCATATAGGAATTAATCTTATGCAAGTCCAAATCCCTACAGGCTTTCAATGCATCACATACATTTAATGCACTTTGGTCACTTACAGGCCAGAACCTCAGTAATGCATTACATTTCCTGCTATAAATTTCCATTTTTTCCTGCTCTATCTTCTTGACTACAAAAACCTGACAGGCATATATAACCAAAAAAATCAAAAAGGCAAAAACAGGAAAGAAAAAGAAAATGAATTATGGAAAATTGACTATTAAGTCAACAACTACAGTAAATACAGGATTTCCACAGGAATACAGAAGAAAGATTTACAGTAAACTGGCATTACCATCAAATATAATTACCTACCAGGCATCAACAAGACTCCTAAGATGGAGACTTAAATGTTGCCAGATTGTTTTGTTGTACTTTGGTTTTGTCATTCCAGTCTGTCATTTATTCATAAGTCTTATGGGTAGCTGGAATAGTGTAGTTATTGTAGTATTTTTCTTCAGACTATCCAAAGTTCTATTAATATGTCATTGACTTTTCAAATGCTAACTTCAAATTACTTAAATTAGTAATTAGTGAATACTAATTTTAAAATGATCAAACTTTGTTAAACAACTGAAAAGAAGAACAGAAACAGCACTAGACATTTAAAAATTGTTTAAAGAAATAAAAAAACTTGAGGAAGTGAAATGGTTTTTCCTAGTACGATTACTGGGCACCAGGATGGATGGCAAATGCGGCAGCAGACAGAAACATCAGTGGATCAGGGAAAAGGGATTTCTCATGATAAATTCCTCAGTTCTCAGTTTCGAGTCTGTTGCCTCAGACAGTCAAGATTTGATTAAGCTGTGGGTTTGTTTTTTCTTTCAGGAAGGGTCAAGAAGGAACACTACAGATTTACAGACCAAAGACAGGGGTGGATCAACACGCAAGACGAGGTTCCCATAATGGCCACCACTCACTGATTGGCCAAGTAAACTGTAACATCAGCTGCATTGCAGTAAACATAGAGCTCCAATAGTATTAACAGATACATTAGACAAAGGAACTTACTGTGTGGAATATAACAGAGCTAAAACACTTAGTCAAAGCACTAAGGAAAAACTTCTAAACTTGTAATGCAGCTATAATGTAAATGTAGATAACATACTTGCTCAACAAGGTGACTGTCAATTACTTAATGATTGTGTGGACCTCTAATTCTGTATTTACTGATCTTACTATGGAGCTAATTGTGGCCTTCTTAACACTTTCCTATTTAACCAGCAATTTGCTGTGCATGCATTAACATCACTCTTGGTTTCTAGCTTTATTCAAAAGGTGAATAGAAAAGCTTCTAGAATGTCACAGCAATGAAACATGTTTCTAGGGGAAAGACCTAATGAGCAGGGAGAGAAAACAGATACTGAGAAGCTCAGTATGATGGATCCAAATGTAATACAGCAGAGAAGGTGATTCAATTCATCATTTGTTACAGCAGCTTCAGACTCTGAAGCAAAGAAAATGCCCAGCTCAGCCCATGAGTAGTAGAGCAGTAAGGGATGGGGATGAGATTCCTGCTGTGCTTTAGTAAGGGAACACAAAAAACTACTTCTAAGGAAAAAAGGTTTAAGCAGACTGAAAGTACCTTTATATCTCATAGACCCAAGTCAGGACAGCAGCTATTTCAGCTCCCTCGCTGACCAATCCTTGATGGATTAATGTTTATGTGAACTCATTCACTTCTGTGTAATCAGAATTTCTTCTATTCTCTTCTAAGTTTTCTAGCCATCAAAGTAAAATAGTCACTAGACTAAGAGACATTATAAAACAAAAAATGACTCACAGATTAGTTTCTGATTCAGTGAACAGTTAAATGAAGAGTTCTTAAAAGCCTATTTTTCTCATGTACATGCCCAGCACCCCTTTTCCTATACTCCCTGAATAAGCAATTGATATGTCATCAGGGAAATTTGTAACTGGCAATCAATCACAGTGACTCCAGAAAGGTGAGTGAACAATGATATGAAATTCAGACACTATTATGAACTTGACTGTTTTCAACTTTTTGGAGTTGCATGGGTATTACATTAATGACTTTCAATTTAACAGCAGGGTTTTTTACAGAAGTTTTCATTGTTCATTTAGCACTGCTCATACAATAAGAGACAAAACAGCTGTCAAAAAATGATGAAGTCTTCCAATCAAGAAAAACCACTAAATGTGAATGTATGAAAAAAAAAATAAAAAAAATCAGCCAACACTGAGCATTGCATTTTAGGAAAAAGGTTTCTACCCCTAAGTAACTACAGTAGCTGGTGAAACTACTTGTCACACTGACACTACACTATCCTAACCTATTCCCAAATAAATACATTATTTGAGTAAAAAGGTATGCTTCCCACTCTACCACACTGCCCCTTAACTCCACCTTCAAATACCAAATTATGCCTGCCTTACCAATCCCATGGTACAAACTGCTTATTATTGACTAAATTTGTTATGCTTCTGGAAAGCATCTTAATAGGTAGAACCTGAAACAGAAATGTTTTGGTTAAAAGTACAAATGGAAATGCAAACAAAACAAGCAGAAAGAAAATGAGAGATCTTTCTGTGTGAGATTTTGACATGTGATGAAATATGAGATTTTCAGTCTCAGCTTGCTTTATTCATCATTCACTCTTCTATTTTGTTGTCAGGCAATGCTAACCTCTTCAATCGCACCTGCTGAAATTCTGTGCCCAGCAACATTGATCACATCATCAGCTCGAGACAGGACATATAGATATCCATCCTCATCCATATAACCAGCATCCATAGTATCATAATATCCCTAAATATAACACAATGAAAAATAAAGTCAGAAAGAGTACTAGGAATATTCATAAATTTACCATGAGATGCAAAAATATCAAAAAATACATCTGTTTCAAATTATGTAAGCTTTTGGTGTTTGAAAGATTTATTTCTGTAATATCTGTCACTGTTTTTATATCATATTATCCTGTGCAGCTCCCTTTCCAGAAAGGGAAAGGTTTTGTTGTCTTTATTGATACAGAACAGAAAAAAATAGATAAATCCTGACATCTTTCCAACTCTGCTTACTTTGATCCCTGACAGCTTGGAGAAGGATGTTGCCTGGATCTACACAAGGAGAATGGAATTGCTGCAATATAATGACAGCTGTCAAATTGCTCCTAAAGATATTCCTGTTTGCTGTACCCAAACATACGCTGTCATCATGATGCAATTGCACACTAAAAATAATCTGTGTGACAACTCAATCATTTACTTTCATTGAGCCAAATCTTCCATTTTCAACATTTGTATAGGAAAAATCTACCTATTTGCAAGGAACACAGTAAGCCAGTCCTTGGATAGTTCATCTGACAAGGAAACATAACTAATGCAGCAAAGAGCCCCCAGTGTATTCAGATGCACAGTGGACCAGTGTGTATTTTGGAGTGGTACCAAGTTAGCATGGCTGCAGGCCAACAGGAGGAGTGCATTTGAAGCTGTGCTAGTGCAAGGTTGCAGGTTTACAGCTTAGATTAAATGACATTAAATGACTTTTTGGCTCAAAAGCTTATGGTGTACTTCTTCTGTTTCAGATCTTAAAAAAAACAACATCATACCCAAGAGCTGAAATTATAGGTTAAAAAGGATTTTTGTATACATATCAAATATCTCCACTGAAATTATGAAAACTTATCGTAAACTGTTTCCCAGATTAAATCTATTATCATTTCAGTTTTGAAGTATTACCAGAAGCTTAAATTGATTTCATAATTCTTACTGGAAATTTTTGGAAATATAACTTCTGAAATGCTTCTTGATTTTCCCAAAGGCCTGAGAATGCTCCAGGAGGCAAAGGCAACCTTAAATTGAAAAGAGCAGAGAGAAGTAAGAAAAGCAGATATAACAAATACAACTCATGCTTTCCATTAATACCCTGTTTTCAGGTAAATAATCATTGTCTACACAATCAGAAAAGAGTTCAGCTTAATAATATGCTGGTAACTAATAAAAAAAAGCTATATATTATTGTAATCAAATGTATATAGCTCTGCATGGTATCCAGACCTTACCTTTTACATAATACAAGCACCTCAGTAAAATAATATTCGGTCTATTAAACACTGTACTCTGTACTATAAATACATTAACAGCATTTAGCTTTTAACATTTCTAAGGATTAAGTATCTCTACAAAATTTGTGCATACACACTATGATACAGGCAACTGCATTATTACAGGTGTCTCTTTCTCTAACAGCCATACACACCCACACATGCACAGATGAATTATCAGACACACAGATCTTTAGTTTCTGTAAAAAGATAAAACTCAAAGGACTTCAGTCATGAGAATCTGAATAAAAATGCTTTTCTGTTTAAACTGTGCATAATACTATTGGTAATACTGGAGAAGTTCTGTGAAAGTATATTGATACAAGCCACTAGTAGAGCTTTCTAAAATAACTGTACTTAAAGCTGCAATATTCTGGATTGCTTTATTACTTGAGTTTTGAATACATATTAAACACCCCTTCTTCTGTCAATGACATGGGCATGAGAAAATATGGGACACTTCACATACGTATCTGTCAGGAGAGAAGCTGCAGAAGCTTCAGCTAAAAAAGTGCTTGTTTCTTCATAGCTCTGACAGGGCACACACAGATTTCTTTAACTGCCTGAGAGATACATATCCAGGCATATCAACAAAAGTTTTATGAAGTTTACCCCTAACAACAAAGAGAAAATGGTCATGTAAACAAACATATTTATTTAGATAAAATCATAAATGCACCATACAGATTTTAGTAGCACATGTCTGCATTTCTAACTAGCAAATATTTAGCCAGAAGTATTTTATTTTCTGCTGATAGTATCCCTGTGACACTAAAAGGCAACATCTCTAGCAGTGAAACACTTCCCTGTAGCATTGCAATTCTGATGTCATTACAAGTCTCCTATGATGGTCAGTCACAAGAACAGGTGCCACCAGCTCTGTGACATGTACATTTCTAGCACTATATTTACAAAAAGAATAGTTATAGTTTTATATATACCTATATATATATATAGAGAGAGAGAGAGAGAGAGAGAGAGAGAGAGAAACACAATAAAAAAATCCTAGCTATGGTAAAAAGAGTAAAACTACATTTAAAAGGTCATATCATCCAGTAGTGATTTGAATGGCTGATTTCCTACAATCCTTGTTTTTTCAGCTTAATTCAGGCCAGCTAGCATAATAGAATATACTACTATAAATATTACTGTTTTTTGTCTGAGGATTCTGGCTCAACACATCCCATATATCACATTCCTTGAAAGTACAGTTAAGGTATGGCCAGAAATGCCAAGACACTTCCCAGTAGTTACCCAGGGTTCAGGAGGGCAGGTTGACTTCTGCCCATCTGGAAGAAATTCACTACCCTATTTTAAGCCTCTCAAGCTTAGTAAGTGTCTCTGAGATACAAAAACACGACCTGTGGAGTGTTTGCCTTGGAAAAAAATATAAGAAGAACAATATATTGATCCTGGTGTTTGTGTATGCCTGTGTTTAAAAAAAACCAAATGTATGCCTATGTTTATTGGTTTTGTTTAGATTCAAGTAAAGCCACCAGAGAATGGCAGTTACTATGGTTGTTGCCTGGTTGCTAATAGTACAGCAATTCATAACAGCCTCAGTCATTGCAAATTTTGCATTTTAAATTTATTTAGCAGTCTGAAACACTTTCATGATGGTAGAGAAAGAACAATTCATATTGACAAAGTCCCTAATTTCCCCACAGCTCTATTCAGTACTTTGCAGTTAGTCATTGAATAAGAAAAAAAGCAGTTTTACTGCTGAAATTAGAAAAGCATTTACCTTTTTGTCATTGTTTAAAAATCTAAACAGAAGTGTGGAACATATCACCAAAAATACAACTCTCACTTCTACTATTTGGTATTCTTTTCCCTGTTGGAATTTTTTTTATTCCAATGGGGAGACCAGGGGTGTCTCATGTTCTAGTCTGATGGGCGTTTTTTCCTTGTTTCTTGGGGTTTTTTAGGAAAATTGTATTGATAAACACATACATGGACCATAATCTGTGAGTCTGTGGAAACCAGACTGCTAAATAAGTGGTTACCACAGGCACCTCTACAGTATATATCACAGCACAATACACGCAACATCTGAAAATGTGCTTCTGTGGCTTTCTGTGAAAGATCACTTGCAGTTAGAACCCCACTCATCATCTAAGCAAAAAGTGAATTCCTTCTTCCATGTGTCAATCATTCAGGTACAGTAATTCCAGAGCAATGGGCACATACAATTCTTTAATGAAAGCATCTTTCTTGGCACCATGACTGAGTAGAATTTCTAGGTTCTGTGCAAATACAAATTAATAAAGGTAGAATTCAGCTTGCCAGAACATAATTATGTGTATTGAAATTTTGTCAGGACATCAGAATTAAAATGTCCAGAGCCAAACATACCTCCAAACCACTGCTGTCAGTGGGAATGTTGCCATGAATTCCAAAGGGAGCAGAACTGGATCATAATTACATGCAAGGAGCCAGAAGAGAGAAAATGAGACTGTCCAAAAATAACAGCAACCTGAAAATAGACATCTCTTGTTTTTATCAACCCCTCCATAAAAAATAAAGGAACATTTTGAGTTGTTTGATTTGTGTCTTTTTGCCCTAGAAAATGTAACATACACACCCACAATAACTCAGCATTTAAAAACTGTTGGCTCTTTGTCTGAAAACTGAATTGATACTCAAGATCTTTCAGCGATATTTTTACTACTAAGAGATTATTGACCAAAAATGCCAGGTATGTATAAGTAAGCATGACTGCCCCTCAGATAGTCCTGCTTCCCTTTGACAAGGGACAGGATCACAGAAGGCTAAGACAGGAGTAGGTTCCTTTATTACCATTTTCACAACATACGAAGAAGTTGCTTTGCTTGGTGTCTCTTTTGGACATATTTACTGTATTTCTGTAGCTATCTGTTACCAGCACAGTAACAGGAGTACAAATTATTCTATTCTCCATTTACTCCAGTCAAAGTAATATTTAAATTTTTCAAGTACAAGAACACAGATCTAAGCCTATTTCTCATTTAAAGATTGAATACATTTAAAACAGCATCAGGGAAACCAGGCAAACTTTGTAAATTAATGATTTAAATCATATGGGTTCATTTAAGAAAGATTCATTCTGGTTACATTTTACAATGATAAGCAGGTAATTTCATTATAAACTGGGGAGACAAGATGAATGAGCTTGACAGTACCACAAAAAAAAGCCTCTGAAGTACTTTAACTGTTTTCTGGTACAGAATTTCAAATGACAATCATTATTTGATTTTTTAAGCATTGTTTTACAGTTCATTTATTTTTCATACAATGGTGGTAGACCTTCCACAGAACAGTCTACCTTTAGCTTAGCCCAATAAATCTGACTCCCACATAGCAAATCTTTTCAGAATGCCACTCATCAAAATGGTGTAAGATTCCTCGTTAATGGAACCAAGCAATTATAGACAGAGAACTCAAAAGATAATTTGCACAGAAAAGCAGATTTCTGAAATTAAATAAAAAATTACTGGAGATGTTACCTTGCTGGACAAAAGACATCCTTTTATTTTATGGTAGGCAATGATACTCTGAGGCTATTCATTACAGCCAGTCAAAGCAAATATAAGCCACTGTTAAATGAGTTTGGGTTTCCAAATGGAACAAAATAATCTTGACTGGCAGCTATAATTATTAGTCAGCATTTATGTAGCGTTGTGCATAAACGTCATTCTTATAAAAATTTTTATTGCCATTTTGAAAAGCATCTGGAAGCTTTTTCAGACCCTAGGAACAACACCACAGGAAAAATGGTGGAGAAGAATAGAGGATCTTGAACACTCATCAGTCTGCATGAAAGATTACTTTAGTTAGCTGAAAGGGGTCACAAAAGTAGTTGATCTCAGTGTGAATTTTGCTGTAGTGGGAAAAGAGAAAAAGCCATAAAAAACTAGTGAAACTGCTTGGAAAAAATTCAAAGTAAAGGAAGTTCAAATGGCATTTACATGCAGTCAGAAACATCTTTGGACAAATTGCTCTCACATTGGAAGACCTACTCGTTGTTTTATCTGTAAAGGGAAAAGACAAAGCTGATAAACATGTAAAAGTCTATTAGGAAGATAAATCTTTTGCACAGGTTCTTTATTTAAACTGACCTTCCATATAACACAGGCTGAAAGATGCCATCTACTAAATCCTGCCTCAACCCCACAACTTTTGGTTAAAATAGATATCCAGGTTAGACCTAAAAATATCAAAGTAAACCACCATACTCCCAAGATTTTATTCCAATGTCTTAATACCTTCACTGCTAAAACAGCGTTTTATTTCTCATCTGAATGTATCTAGCTTCAGCTTCCAATTTCTTTATGCTAAACAGCCATCTCTCAGACATTATTTTGTCCTCTGAGTATTTCCTGGCCTTGAAAAAGTCATTATTTTACTGATCTTGGGTAAATTACATACCACAGGTTTTCGTACCATGCAGATTTCAGCACTTGGATCACTGTCATTCATATTTTCCCCAATATCCAGTCACTTTCTCATTAGTCTTTTGAAATACAGACATAAGAACCAAGCCTAATGCATCAATGGATGTACTAACATCACATCCACAGACAGCAACACTGGCTCCTCTTCAGTTTCCCTATCTAATAACAATCATATTGCCTGCTTAGCTACACTACCAGCTGCCTTTCATTCAAAGATCCTGTGTATCTAGAGGCTTATGTACTGGAACATAAAAAGCTCCTTTGGAAGTCACTGCATTCTAGGGTCCTTCATCTTACAGAGCTAGGGAATTTTCAGTTTACCTAGCTGTATAGCCCTTGCTTACAAGAACATATTGTCATTGCCTCCTTTTCCTCCTGGGCAGAGGGAGAGCACAGAGCTGTAACTTTTCCCATGGGTGTATCCCAGTTGGAATGCCCAAACGTTGACTCATCAAGTCTTACTAGATCTTCAGTTTTTTTAATGAAATATCAAGGTACTACAATGCACTGCAAAAGATTGCATCCTTTTCTTTCCCTTTTCTTTTCTTTAAGCTCTCTTGGTTAGCATTCTATTGAGCATTATGTTTATATTCCTGGCTCCAGGTTTCTTCATCCTTCCAGACACCGACTTTCTTTTTAACGCATCGTAAGAAATGTTGAGTGAGTCAGTTTTTTATTGAACATTTATTTGCTCATTAAATACTGTAAAAATATTGAACACATTGACATGAACAGGAAAACTGTCAATGGGTTGCTTACTTTGAGTAACACCTTTTCAACTAAAGGATATTCACTCTAAAGTATCTGCTTTGGAAGTATGGTCATGTTTCTCTTTGACTTACTCATAATGTATAATCATAAAAAGCTGTGAATTTATAATTACTATTTCTTTATAAATATTTACTATTTAAAATTTATCATTAATAAATATTTTTAAATGTATTTTAGTTTTTACAGCACCGTACATGAAGTTTTCCATGATTGTATTAGATACAATGGAGTGGGTCATCATTTGAAACATTCTTTTAGAACATTCTGATTTTTCTTCCTCTTCTTTCACTAATTCCAAATCCACAAAAAAAAAAATTCCACAACTTCAGTAGTTTATAGAGCCTTTCAGCCACTTTTCTTAAATGCAGCTAAACCATTTCAGAATCACTGTATTATGTAACTACATTGTCTCACCTCCTGCTGAATATGAAACATACTAACGTGATCCCATGCAGTGGAGATCTCTAAAGCAAACTTGTAAATACTCACCCTGCAAAACTCCATTATTATGGTACAAAATTAACTATACAAACACTAGAGGAAGTCTAACTAGGGTCTAGCAGCAAATTTACTGGCAGTCACTACTCTCTGGAAAAAATGAGCACAATGCAAACACAGTCCTGTTGTGGGTGAATATATAGAATAATGCTAGCTAGTGCTGATGATTGCTTCAAAAAAATAAACATAATGGGTTTGTGATATTTTCAACGTACAAGATGAAAACTGGAATTTACATGGGATTTCTCTTTGTTAATGTTCCTTGTAACAACAGACAACCTAGAAAATTCTTATGGCTAATCAAAATTACATATATACATACGTATTTTCAAGTGTGCATGAATTACAGGCAGGCCAGAACAATGCAAGCAGAAGTGTGTTACTAAACCAGACTGGTCTTGTTAAATGGAAGTGGAGGTCACTGCTGCTGTCATTTTCACTTCAGAATAAATTCTCAGAATCTTTCATGTCTAAAAAATCTAGCTCAGAAAGAAATGCATATAAGTTTAAAAACAATTCATACAAGCCCACCTTCACCTCATCTGCAGTCACCTTTATTTTCCTTTGTATCACAAATGTTGTGACACTGCTTTCAATTACTTTATCCTGAAAGACTTGTGAAATCAGAAATATTATTGAATTGTCGAGATAAACTAGTATGTATGAGAGGTTTTTATCCAAGAATAATCTGTCCAAAGGGCAGAGATGATGGTTATATGAAAAAAAATAACAGCTATCAGCTGGCAGAAAAGTAAAGAAAAGAACATACTTGTGACAGCAAGTTGGAGTAATTAGATGTAAGAACGACCTTTCTAGAGTATCTGACTCCTGCAGGATGAAATTAAAATTTAAAGTTCTGCTGTAAGAATAGGTATTTTAAATATTGTACTTAGGAAAACTGCAGGCCTCAAGCAGCCCCAAACAGTCTTTACCAGGGGTTAGTCTGGGATAAAAACAACCAAGAGCAGCAGTTTCCCATTTCTGCACAGCTGGCATTGTAAGCAGTGCATGGTCACCCTCCTCTCCAAGAAACACTGAAGAATATTTCTTAACTCACCTATGCTATAGGTGAAGCAAACCCCTGCATTTTTTCATATTTTCACTGCTGAGTGTATGACAGAATAATAGTCAGAACTATCCCGAGTCCCCCATTTTCTTCCAGCTGCAGGGGGACATGCTCTGGGCTGACAAACAAACACTGATAGTAACAAGGACCATCCCCACTATTTTAAAGGGTCTGTACATGCAGAAAACTGATGAAGAGAGAAATGGCTTCTTTGAAGGAGGACATAATGAAACCTTGCTTTAATCAAAAGATGCAATAAATACAGAAATGATAAAATAATATGTGCAATTACATTTTCTTGAATGATACATGGCAAAAAAAAAACCATACAAAAAAATCTCCCCCTTTTCATTATCAATTTATTTGATTGCAGTAAAAGTTATGCTGAACAAGATAAAACAAAACAAATGAAACAACAAATCAATATATTAACACATTTGTAATCTCTTGAGAAAACATCTAAATGTGGGGCAACATTAGGGAAGCTAAATTCTGGCTAGAAGAGGTAGACATTAACCCCAAACAGAATTTTCTAATATGGCAATATCATTCCTGACAGGCACTTAAAAATGTATGCAAACATATTCCAACATTACCTATTAGTTTATCTTTCAACTTGTTTGGCAGAATTGCTAAAGATGGAGTTCATTCCACTCCTCTTTTGATAGATAAGACTAAGCACCTACCCTAAGCCAACTGTCTCACTCCTGCAGGCACTGGAGAGACATGAACACATCTGGAAGGTGATTTATTCCATCCTAGTTAAATAACTAGGCGTGACTAATATAGTAAATAATAGTAAGTGATTTGAATATCTAAGCACCTAGGATCAATTTTCTTACAAAATACCTTTTATCTCTCCATTGATTACAAGTAATTTGAAAACAAATTACTATGTTTTATCATGGCTTCAGGCACTACAGAGGTGGGAGCTTTGAAAGACAGCTTTCCCCCCTGAGCTGGGTTACTGATACTGTGAACCAAAGTCTATAAAAAGTTGGGGCAATTTTAAGTATTTGTGCTTGGTAATGTAACGAATGCACATACTCAACAATGGAGTGAATGCACAATCTTATTCATGTCACGAGAAAACTACTTCTCAATATGAATCTGCTGACTCAGGGGAGTTAAACCTATGTGTCTGTGTCCTGGTGGCTTAGCTGAAGATGCCGAGAATGAGGCAGGGTATAGACTTCATCCTGAAAACACACATCTGCCTCACACCGTACAATAAATCATGTGATGCTACTTTAGTCTCCACAGGGGTCTAGTTACATTAGATCAGAAGCACAGCTGAGAAAAAAGCCTCCTCAGCTCAGCAACTCCACCTCCCCCGCAAGCCCTGCGCCAGCCCACCCACACTGTTAGCGCCGCACTTCTGCAGCTCCTGTCTCTCACCCGCAGCTCCTGTGCCTCAGCCAACTGCAACCCTCAGCTAACTGCACTAACAGGTCATCAAAACTGGTACATCCGTCCCAATGCTTCAGCTCCTGACAGATTTTCAGTTCACTGAAGGTTAATACTCATCTTTGCATTTCCTTTCATTAATCTAAGCAAGCAGTGAAGACTCTGAGCTACCACAACTCTCCAAAAAACTACCACAGAAGAAATGGATGAATATATTTCCTTTGGGACTTGTATTTGTTTGCCATTAGAAAGCATTCAGAGCTGAATTTATTTTCTGTGACTGCAAAAAAAGGTGGTTACAGCTACCACATTCATTGCAAAGCAAGTGTCAATCTCTGAGGAAAAAAAAATTGTTTGAGGAAAATGCCATGTACCTCAAAGCCTGTAAAACAAGCAGAATACAGAGCAGCATGGGCTGTAAGGAGCAGTAGCATACAGAACATTACAGGAGTAAGGAAAGGTCCTGGCAAAAGTGAGAAGGCAGCAGGGAAGGTAAATGTAACTGATGTTGACAGGGTGATCTAAGCAGAGGCCTCTTTATCTAAGGAAATGTGCCAAGAAAGGCGTACTTTCAAAAAGAATATTGGAGTTTATGGAATTCATCTGTCAGGAGTCTGGTAAATGGTACTAAAAATCACCTACATGATGCACAGCAAGGTTTTTTGATATTTTTCTTTTTTTTCCGGAGTCCTTTCCTGTATGTATTTTATCCAAGTGTTGATAACAAATGAATATTCTTTCATGCAAAGCACACACAGAGACATCTTGGTTTTTTTTACAGAGAACAGAAAACACATGTTCACCCTCTAAGAAGATGCATCAGTTGTGATTAGGAGATAGTGAAAGAAGAGGCAGCATCACACCTGTAAGCCAAAGCATGCCAATCCATACTGCTGTACTATTTCACTAAACTGAAAGATAAAATAGTGAAGGGAATGATTCAGTATCTTGCTCATACATCACAAGAGGAAGTCATCATTCTGTGCCAACACTCTGATAATTAAGAAAATTATAAACTCTGCTGTAGCCTAGGAAGAAACCCCAGCAATCCACACTCATTCACTGACACAATTTCATCTGCAATTTTTTAGTATTAATGAACATAAAATATTCTGGGAGTTTGGTATCAGTATCAGAGACAGACATGCTTTTCAACCCTCATTACTTCAATTATTCTTATTTATATAAACTTTAGCTTATATAAACTTTAGTCAAAGGACAAGGAACCCACGTAGGAAGTTTCTTTAAAATGTAAGATATTTTTTGTTCTTACTTTACCACAATATTTCCCAAAGTCTTTGCCTTCACTGGTTTCTTATTTTCATCCAGAATCATGACTGTAAAAAAATAATATAGGAAGGAAACTCAAGTTTAGTAGTGTATTTTTAGGTGGAGGAAAGTGCCTTTATGGGTATCAACTTATGTCACACTTCAGAATGGCAATACACCAAGCAATAAAAGGAATTAAGTAATTTGGGAGTGCCAAACTGGATAATCTCATGACTTTATTAACATTTAGCCTTAAGTACAAAAAGTCTTAAATAAAGTTTGTGCTTTGGAAACAGAAATAGCACAAAGTCCCAAAATGGAAAAACACAGAACTAAGAAGTATAAGAAGCTTTCAAACTGGAAAATCTAAACTTCCACATAGCAAAGGGCCATTAAGATACATGACAAATACAAATAAAAAATATGTGGGTAACATGAGCAAAAAATAACAACCAAGATGACTGTAAATAAGTATATCTGGCCTTTTCCCTGAATGACACTTGTCCACCACCTCCAGTGAAAGCAACATATCCCAATACTGAGAGTTCTGAGGAAATCATCTGACATATCCTCTTTTGTGCAGTTATCTGGAAATGATGCTACTACAACCATTCATTCCATCTCAAGGTGTGGACATAAGAAAGGAATGACGGATACCAGCTTGGACTATGATAATGGAATTACATAAGGTGAAGCAACTAAATCATAATAGAACAGGAAGGGAAGATTTTGACAGACTGATAAGGATTACATGCTTTTTGAAGCCTGCTCAAGCAATGAAAGCAATGTTCAGCTGTATCTACATCTCCACAAGTAATCTTACACTCTGTATTACAAAGTTCCAGAGGAAATAGGGAAAAGTGGATGACAGACTTCTGACTAAAACTCTGCTACAACTTGAATGAGCAATATCATATCCTATCTCTTTAAAGAACACCAATATCTGTAATTTACTACTTCTGGCTGAAGCTACTCCTTCAAAGATGACGGCAATTTTAAAGTAACTGAAGAGCCTGCTGGAACCAATATCTCAGCACCCAGTATGTACACAAGGCCAGTTTTACAAAGACCCACTTGTGCAGCTGTCTGTGTTTTCTCTCCTCTGTTTATGATACTAAGTAAAATCTAATCAGTAACTGTTTCATCAAGGTACCAATCCCAGTATTTATTGCATATTTCAATGTAGAAAAATTTGGCAAAGTGAAATACTATGCTGCTCACTCCTGAATTACTGAAGAACTGACTTTTTTTTTCAAAATATGGGACCTGCTTCAGTCTGAAAATGCAAATGCACTGAAATTATCTGCAAAGGTTCAAGTAGATCAAGGCAAAAACACAGTATAATGTCTGGTTTAAGGCAACAGGCAACAGGCATAGAAATTAATATAGTATCTTGACTCACTTTTTAAAGCAATTTGTCACTGCATTTTGATATTTTAACTTTTATTCCCTTTTTTCTTAAAAATCAGCAACAAATCAGTTTCTTTTCAGGAATATGTAATAGGGTAATAGGAAAGAACTTGTATGTGATTAAAGAAAAAAAGTAGATCTTGTAACTTGATATTGCAGGATGTCTACCAGCCATTAAGAGTTGCATGTATAAACTGAAACCACAGTATCTTCTAACTGGCATAAGGATCTCCTCTAATAAATATAGTAACAGCAGGAAAACACCATCAAACAGAAGTGGGTGACAGCAAGACAGCAGCCAATATAGAGTAATTTTAAAAAAATCACTAGTTTGTGAATAGCTGCATTACAGGACGTATTTGGTCAAAGACTGAAAGAGGTAAAATTATTCCATAAATCTTCAGTGAAAATCAGTGCTCATTTTTTGTTTCCTTTATAAGGTATGCTAAAGACATTTCCTTCATTTTCTTAGAAGTTCTTTACTTACACTAGTCAAATGTTCCAAAATATTCATCAGGAATTTTTATATTCTTGCTACTCATATTTCTTCCTAGTCCTGACTGGTAACATGTGTGATGCAATTACATTCTTTCACTCTTTCCTACTTATTAGAACTCTGGAGAAACTTCACAGCTTTGTTTTTATGCTGTTTTTAAGCTATTGCTCATCTTCATGCCACAACTGTAAATGCCAAAACCAAGAGCTGCTAAAAATATTTGGGTTTTTTTTGAATGCTCACCACCACTTACATGTATTAAAAGAAAATAACAGCTTAGATGTTTCTCACCAATGATGTGAGAATTTCTCCTGAAGACCACTTGATCTTTAATGTAATTCTTTTTCAGATTTCAAGTAATTCTTGAAAATTGTGTTAAAATCAGGGTTCCCAGATATTTAAATATTTTGCATTCTCAATCCTGTAGCTGCATCCCTACATGCAAATACATTCCAGACAATGAGTGCACATCCTTTCCGTGCTGGTCTATTGCCTATCATTTCTCCTGGCTGGAAATAAAAATGCACCACAGGTTCTGAAAGATAGTTTGCTTAACAACTCTCTCAAGTTGTGTAAGAAGGGCCGAAGTGCATGTAGAAGTATAGACGAGTAATGTGTCAAAGTGTATGCTAGCCTTTTCATATAATAAAGGCAGAAGTAGTTGATTAATTTTCTTGAAGATAACTCCAAATTTTTTATTCACAATCACATTCCACAATACACAAGAAAAAAAGGAAGGAGGAAAATATCTTAATAAGACTGTAATTTTATTTTTCTACAAGATATAACAGTTAAGGAGCACCTACTCAGGAATACAAGCAATGTCCTTTCCCAGTAACATTTTTAGCGGAGTCTTACCATTATATCCTGGCACTGGTTTTCCTGCCTGTCCGGGTGGAGGTGTTGTAGAGTTTCCCAAACCAATGCAGGAAGCCGTAATTGCAGAACCAGATTCTATTAAGAGAGCATACATATCATCAGTAAGGCTAGATTTAGTTCCATTCAGTAATTACTAGTTTTAAGATTTTTGATGCTCAGCACATCAAAATTAAAAAAAAAAATATAAAAATCCTAGGCACACAATGAAGATTTAGAATTCACAAAATCATAGAATATGCTGAGTTGGAAGAGACTCCCAGATATCATTGAAGACCAACTTCTGACCCTGCCTGCAGAGGACTCCCAAGAAGTCACACCACGTGCCTGAGAGCATTGTCCAAACACTTCTTGAACTCTGTCAGGCTTGGTGACTACCTTGGGGAGCCTGTGCCAGTGTCCAACCACCCTGTGGGTGAAGAACCTTCTCCTAATATACAATCTAAACCTCCCTTGGCTCAACTTCATGCCATTCCCTTGAATCCTGTCAGAGGTCACGAGAGGGAAGAGATTGGTACCTGCCCCTCCACTTCCCATTGTGAGGAAGTTGAAGGCCACAGTGACATTTAACCTCAGTCTTCTCCAGGCTGAACAGACCAAGTGATCTCATTTGCTCCTTATACAGCTTCCCCTCAAGGCCCTTCACCATCTTCACAACCCTTTTTAAATAGCTTTATCTTTTTTATATTGTGGCACCCAAAGCTGCCCCCAGCACTGGAGGTGAGGCTGCCCCAGCTCAGAGCAGAGCAGGACAATCCCCTCCCTTGCCCAGCTGGACATGCTGTGCCTGATGCCCCCCAGGACAGGGTTGGCCCTCCTGGCTTGCCAGGGCACTGCTGGCTCATGTTCAGCTTGCCATTGACCAAGACCCCCAGGTCCCTTTCTCTCCAGCCTCTTACAGCCTGTACACCCAGGACTGCTCCATCCCACATACAGAATTCAGCACTTTTCTTTGTTTAACTTTCTTGTCTCATTTCTGCTTACTCTGACAACTTCTCTATATTCATTTTAAGTGGCCTGATCCTGCTTCCATCTCTTGTGTATTTCCTGGTCACACTTGAGTAATGACACGAGTTCTTAATTCATCCACATAGATCTCTTCCCCCTTTGTCTGATGTCTTGCTCATCAGGATGCATTCTTCTTGAGCCTGGAGGAAGTGTTCCTTAAATATCAATTGGCTCCCTTGAAATCCTCTTCACTGCAGGATCTTTTCCCACAAGATTCTTTCAAGAAGACCTTTAGAGGTTAAAGTTAGCTCTCCTGAAGTCCACGATTACAGTCTTACTGCCCTGTTTCCTCCTTGCCCACTACTGAATCCCACAATGGTCACTACAGCCAAGGCTGCCCTCAACCTTCACATCTTCAACAAAGTTTGTTATTATAAGGTTTATTGTTTGTATAGGCTTGTTTGTAAAGGCTTGCTTGTTATTATACACCATTCCTCATGGGATCCTCCACTACCTGTGTAAGAAAGTTGTCATCAATGCTTTCCAGTAATGCTGACACGTTCCTAATTATCCCCACAGTCAGGCAGCTAGAAATCCTTTCCTCCTCATCACCAAAACACAGGAATTAGGTTTGCTGCAGAGAGACAGGGAACACAGCACCCCTGTTAGCCTGATGTACCAGGAACATTGGTGTGGACTGGGAAGTGACAAGCATTTCTCATCAAGAGTCTCAACCCAAAGACCCTAAGGGGAGAAGAAGAATTCCTGAAAATCAGTTTGGGTTTGCCTGAATCTCTAGTACACTGCTAATGAAATCAACAGAAACTTGAAAGGAAACTCCATAGTACCAACTTCTCTGTTTTTCTACCTGCTTTTTGGACAACAGTGACTAAGCCTGAATGAAAGTTCATTTATCCTGGAGATTCACGCGTTCTACAACTCTGTGAAAAGATCTTTACAATTGTTGTTCTTTCTTCTATTGTCTTTTCAATTGTCAACACATATAAAATTTTCATATTTACCCAGTGCTCTAATTTCTAAGCCATAAATTCAGTTCCCACAAGCCAGTACAAATTTTTATATGCATGAAAAAAAACCACAGGGTTTTTGGTACTTGGATCAGATAATAATTCAGAGAGGGAATCCCAAAAGCATCTGCTCTTTGTGTTAGATTAACTGTTCCTGAATGCTAAAGATTCTCTATCAATGTAGAATCACAATGGAGTATTGTCAAAGGACAGCATGAAGCTTTGTGCTGTACATTTCTTGGGAAATCAACATACATCTTTCAAAGAGGATGCTGGATTGAAATATCAATTTCCCAAACCTATTAGGAAACAACCGCCTCTTTCTAGGACATTTTTTTATCACCAAGAAAACAGTCTGAGTTGAAAGGGGAATTCAATTCAAAATCCTCCTGAAAAGAAATCATCACTTTTCAGAAGAACATAAGATTTTAAGTACGAAAAAGATATTGTATTTAACAAGTATGCGTAAAACAATTACTGTGTGGCCCTTTATTAAAGGTTCCAATAAATAAAGTTGCTTATGAATCTTTGGTTTAAATTAAGGTTAGTTTCTTTACAATTCAAGTCAGGATTTGCATGCAGGTTACAAGATTCAGGTCTGAAAAGTTGAAACAGTAACAGTCTGAAGAAGGATAACACTTGTCAAGTGTACATTGAATTCCACCTATCCCTTAAATCAGGTTTCTGCATACACCAACAGACACCCCCTACCTGACACTCATTTGTTTACCAGTGAAGATTCTCTAAAATTAATGCACAGCACCTAGACACATTTCCAATGTGGAAGACTTTAGGAACTTCCACATTTTTAATGCAAGGAACAGAACAATAGGTCTGACTTATAATCTCTTTTGCAAACATTTGCACATTAACTGTCCACTCAATAAGCTACCAAGTTAGTTTGCCCTCCAGCTGTGGAATGCTTTTCAGGGACCACCAGATCATAAAACCAATTTCCTTTCTGCATAACATCTTACAATGTGACAATGAAACAGCTATTTAGAAGAGCAATGTTTTATACTGGAAGAACAATGTTTCACAACTAGTCTGGTAAATGTACTCAACATCTGCTCTGAGTTATAATGAAAACAGTATGGTCTACCTCTGAGAATAATGACAAGCACTTCATTGGGGCAGAGAAGACAGTTACTGAGAGATGGTCTTGAAATCAAGGGTGTTCAACTATCCCAAGTCCCTCTTTATGCTTCCTCTTTTCAGGATAAGGGCTAATGTAAAGAAAAAGTCCTTAATAATCACAGATGTGACATTCTTTGTTTTGTCTCACTCTACCAGTAAGTGAAAAGTAGTTATAAAACTATTTTAATATTATTGAAATATACAGTATAAATCTGATAGCTAATGAGTAGTCTGATAAATGCACTTTTATGCACCTTGGAAAACAATTCTTATGCCAGAGAAGGTGCTGCTGATCCAGAAGGAAAAAGTGTAGTCTCCTGTGAGTAGCTAGAGGAGTCTGTCAGTGACTTTATTGATCAGAAAGCTTCCACCTACCCATGTGCCTGACTTGCAGAAGCTGTGCTCTGCCAAATTATGCAAAGCAACAGCTAGTAGCTTCTGTGCTCAAAATCCTCTTGCTCATTCACAGTCAACAGTCAAGTTCAATCAAAATAAACAGTTTTGAAAAAACTCAGAACTTTCAAGATGAAAATCTACCACTTACTCTGTGCCATTTCCATTCCTGATACATTATAATTTCTAGACCATGTCTCATATTCCTCAACATAATAGACTGTCATGCTGCTGAAATATTTGCTTTATTGGTAGGAAATACTTAGGCAAACCACACTGAATTTTTACATTAATATTTGAGCTTGGGCTACACTACATGAGTAATGTAAAGCTGCCTGCTTTGAATTTCTTACGATGCAATGGAGAAGACACAAAAAGCATACTAAAGAGGTAGGAAGTTGTCATGTAGCAGAAGAAAGAAGAAATAATTAACATATTAATGAATTATTAAGAATAATTAACATATTAATGAATGCAATAAATATAATACAAAAAATTCTCACTGTGGCTGTGCTGTTTTGAGACATTCTTCTGGTAAGGCTGACATTTTTGTTGTGGGGAACTAAAGGAATTACTACAGCAGAATACTGCATTGATAAAATGGAAAGGAAGGTCTATGAAGCAGGAAAGCTTCAACTCATTACAAACCCATTCACATCACAAGAATGTACCTCTGAAGAGACTGCTTCCATATGCTCCCTCCACACAGTGGTCATTTTAATTATGCCAGAAAGGGTGAATGATGAATTCAATAAAGTTACAGCAAAATGGTTCCTAGTATGGCAACAACTACTGGGCCTTCTGGAACAGACAACCACAGTACAAGACTAATTACAGGACTCAAAATCTGCATCACAGTACACCATACTGCTTCCTTAAAATAAAACCAAATCTAACAGATATAGTATGCACTGGCAGTGTCCTGAAGATTGAAGGGCCAGATCATCAAGTATTCAAACAGACATCATTGCCTTCATCCTTCAGCATACAGCTGCACAATTTTCCAGTCAGTCCTTTATCACTAAAAGACAAGCAGGCTTCTAAGTCTCTAACTGCTGTAGCAGTAAGTAGCCTCACTCACAGCTTGGATTCAGCACTGTTAACCCTGAAAAATTGTGTCTAGATAGTCATGCTGCAGGTTGGTAGCCCAAGCACCATTTCAGCCTTTTGCTTACTGATGTTGGAAGAAAATTTCAGGTAACTGCTTTAGCCTCTGTACAGTACAGCTCAGCCCTGCCTTCAGAAAGGCCTCTGAAGTATCCATTTTCTAAATGTGTGAAGCTGCTTTCTTCACTGCTTCTCTGGAAATCTACACCAGGATGGTGTATGACACATATCATTATTAATGTGTAAGAAGACCAAGTACACATGGCTGATGTTGGGTATTTAAGTACAAACAATCTGATGCTAATTATCCATCAACACCAAAACAAGGAGATTACACCTGACCACTATTACCCCAGAGCACTAAAGGGCACAGATTAGAACAGTTTGGATAATCCCAATACCATGTGATGTGTGATACTGCCACAAAAATCCACAGCACTGCTGCACCCATATTATATTGCTATG